GCGGAGGCGAAAATCATCATCGTGGGTCATTCTCTAGTAAAACAAGCATGAAATATTAGAATCGAGACAAGTTGTGTCGGTTAAAAATAAAATTGCTGTTGCTGGGGCTGACCCGGGGGCGGCTGGGCGAGGAAGTCGAAGTTCATCGAGTCCATTCCGGTGTTCCATGGGTCCGGAGATTCTGGGGGGAGAGGTCTTGTTAGGGCAAGTCGCGGATAGAGGTTGGGGAGTAGACACAAGAACAAGACCTACCCCAGAATATTTGATCGTAGACGTCCATAGGTGACATATATGTGGAGGGGTCGATGACGGCGGGATCGATGATGCCGTCCTGCATCTGTGGGACGAAGGTCATGCTACTGGAAGACGAAAAGAGTACAAAATTAGTGTAATGTCAGCACGGAAAGCGGGCTACTTGGACCACAACCGCAGATACCACACTTTCCTCAAATGAGCGACACCAGAAAGAACAAAGAGAGATAGTGGAGGGGCAAGAATAGAGATGAAAGCGACGCACTTGGAAAACTCGGAAAGCCCATTTCCATTCTGCATTGTCGCCATGGCGAGGGCCGCATCCTGGTGGGGGTCCAGCGTGGTCGAGACGCTGTTGAGGAGCTGTTGCTGCGGATCTTGGCCGCTGCCTCCTGCTGGCTGCGGCGCCGGGACACCAAATTTGAGCGGCGTGCGGGCGCCTGAGGCGTAGCCACTACTGGCTAGCTCTTTGCGGAGGCCTGCGCCGTTGCCTGTGATGGAGCCGTGGTCGTAGATGTTGCGGAGTGCCATGAGAGCACGCGACAGCGGACCTGACAGCTCGATATCCTTGTCAGAGGGAGTGATGTTGGCGGCTGGTGAAGTGGCTTCCTTTGCGGCGGTGGCCGAAAGTGCCGAGATGAGGTCGCCTTGTAGCTGGCGAACTTCCGGGTCCGCCTTGGTCTCACCCAAGATGCCGAGCAGGACGGCCGAGGAGAGGCCATGGTATGTGAAGGCCCACGACCGCGTTGGTATCACTGACAGCTGATGCATAGCCAGGAACATGCGCACCGTCTCGGTGAGGTTACGTTTGCACTTGTCCGCGAGCTTTCGCTTTTGCGAGCCGCTTAGGCTGGTACCACCTGAATGGCCAGGACCGTGGCTGTTGTTGTCACTAGTGCTTGTACTACTACCCGAGCTGTCATGTGTGGATGTACCCCGATGTAGTGCTGGCCGGCAGCAAACCGAAACGATGAAGGAGGTGTGTAGGCGGATGGCAAAGTAGTGGAGGCGGTCGAGGGCCGACTTGCACGCTTCCTTGCTGCGGAGTTGAGGTTTCATCTTATCACGAATTGCCTCCGTTGTCTGGCAGTTCTCCATAATGTCTTCGTATGTCGCCGCAGCGAGCGCTTCTGGGTTGAGGCGCTGCGAGATGATCTTGCACAAGTGGTACATGCCCTCTAGGTACTCCCAGTTACCAGGGTCAGGGTTGGCGATTGGTATGGGACTTGCGCCCGCGTTCGTCATTGGGGAGCTGCCCAGGGGTCAGCACGTGTGATTTGACGCGACTTTTGCAGAGGCGCTGCCTAGCGGAGAGAAGAGGAGCAGATACGCACCGGTCGAATGAGAGTGATGTAAGAGAGTCATGCCAGACGCACTTCCACCTAAAGCATATTTCCATGTCAGCTAAGGCCATCACACCGGGCTGTACGAGAAGACAAATGCATAGATAGTACCAAAGCTTTCTCCTCACCGTCTCCTTTTGGAGTATCTCGGGAGGTTCCTTTCCGTCGAGGTGCGGGTGCTTGTCAAGACCGAGCGACTGAGCCAGTCTACATGTTAGACCAAGCAGAGCCCATGAGGCTTCTGCTTTCATGTCGTTAAGAAGAACAAAACTGGTCATGAGCATAGCCTGGATGGAGTCAAAATTCGGTCTAGGCAGGTCAGCGATATTTCGATGCGTAAATGCAGAGAACCGCTTCTCTTCAATATGGGCTCTGGACGGTAAAATACGTGGCAAACATACCGTAGCAAGAAATTGCTGATGCGAAGAAAGTGGAAGGATATCTGGATGTATTTCTGCGAGTTTGCCGTTCGGACGTGGTAGGGGGACTCGTGGTATTGTGAGCCCACGGCCAGGATGGCGAACAGGATGGCGAGCCATGATGCCGAAACCGGCTTCGTGGTTTTGTTGGAGGACTTGGCATTCTTGGCACGGTCTTCCAGATAGATCATCAAGCGGGACTCGAGCTCGCTAATGTCGATAACAAACCCCCAGAACTGTTGTGGGATTTCCTTGTAAGTCCGGAACAATCTAGAGTGTAGGATGTCAGCGTTGACCTCTTCATGCACTGGGATGCAGCCGCCTGGACTTGGCGAAGGTGGGCCAACAAACTTCATGACCTCTCTATCAGAGGGGAGCTCAGAGACGATCTCCATTGTCATTCGATCAAGATGCCTGCGGGACATGAGAGGAAAGGGGGCGGACGTGTCTAGTCCCAGGATAGATCGCATCTCTTGGCGAATATGGATGACCTCCTCCTGCTGCCCGTTTTGAGGAAGTTGCTCGCGGAGAATGGCAGGGATACTGTTCTGGCCGAGATACCTGGACACTTCAGAGTTCTCAGGCTCGGCTGCAAGGCAAGGCCAAGGATCGTCAGTATTGTCGCCACCGTTCATGACCTGGCATCATGGATGGCTTACCATAGGCAGCAGTGATCTCACTACTCGATTCGGTCCTGATGTCCTGTGCCTTGTGGTGGGCGTCGTCCTCGTCCGGGGAGTGCTCCCGCTTCTTGCCCTGTGTGGTGGAGGAGGCGGTATCTGATGCCATAGAGCCCCGGACGCCCGATCGATTAGGCTTGTAGGAGCACAGCTGCGCATGGTCGCGCTTGACGCAGTTCTCGCAGGGCTGCTTGTTATCGCATTTCACCTTTTGGTGTACTGACTGTTAGCAACCCCACCGATTACACCTTGTGGCGTCGCTGTCGTTGAGCTACGGCTGGGGGTGTGGGACACGGCGGGCCCGAGCACAGCACGGGGCGGGCCGGCTCAGGGACTGGCCAAGACATTGTTCTTACCTTGCGCTGGCGGCATGGCCAACAAGCAGTTCCTGTTGGAGCATGCTTGGTTAGCTTGCGTTTGGGCTTTGAACGAGGCATCCACGCTCCATCTAGATCGGCCACGTGAGTGGCCCGTCACGGGGCCAGATGGGGACGAGATATAAGAAGGTGGCTGCATGCGAGCACGGGCAGAATTGGTTACAAAGGCGCCCCTGGGGAGCGGTGCTGCTGTCTGGCAGGGCCAGGGGGAGGGTTTAAGCCAGGCGTAGGACTTGAGACGCTACCACAGGCTAAGGGGACATTGGCCTACCATATCGGACTTTCCTGTGCGAGTGGATGATGCGACTGGCTTCTTCGGGAGTCAAGTCATCGATCCCGGTTGGGCTTGCGTCGTTGTGGTCCGACATATCTGCGGGACCCCCGAGGCAGCCCCAGGAAAGGCGCAAATCAAAGCAAGGAGGCGGCAGAGCAGAGACAGGTGGGTGGTTGCGCCCGATGCCAGCCCAGCGGGCGCGAAGGGGGAGGAAGTCCGTTTTGAACACCGATACAAGTCCGAGGCAGCCGTGGAGACGTGACGACAGAATGCCGAGTGCTGGTGGTTGAGCTTGAGGAGCTCAAGGCGCCGTCTTGGAAGCCAAAGCGGGGGTGAGCTGCCCAGAGCTTGCGCAATTGCCGGGGGCCGCAGACTGGTCCATGTGTCAGCGCCCTTGATTCGTCGCAGCGAGCCTGCCAAGCTGCGCCGATTGACCCTGCTCGAATTGGGTGGGGCGGAAAGTGCGGGCCGTGCACGGACGTTGCACCATGGATTTGTGTGGTGCCAAGCTCCTGCGCCCGCCTGTGCCGCCGCAGCCACCCCCCGCACAACACACATCTTGTGCTTTTTCATCACCCATCCATCAACCAGGGTCAAGCAAGCCTGCCACCCTGCAGCCTGTCAGGCAGCCTGGGCTGCGATGGTCGCCCTCCCGCCCAGGCGCGCTGAGGGCAGGCTGGGGGCAGGCTGAGGGTTTGGTGAGCTGATCACGCGGAGTTCATCACGAGAGCCGACAAAAAATTCATCACCGCTCCCGTCTCCCTGCCAACAGCACAAGGACAGGACCGCCGCGGCAGCTGGTGCGAGACTTAGCAATCGCTCTCCACCAAGGACGCACCTCCGACCCGTGTTCCATCTCCCCTCTTTCGGTGGGCCTCTGTTTGCATTTGCTGGTCCAACGGGCCGCTCCCGCTCCCTTCACCTAATTGCTGACACGACTGGCGCAGGTTGGCCGACCTGGGTTCGCTGTCTCGGCAAGCCCAGACCCCGTCGAGCTAGAGCTTCCCATTCGCCTCCCGCCCGCATGGGTACATAGCTGCTGTCGTCATCGACCCGGACCGCCTGCGTCTGGCCCAGTCGCCATGGCTGCGCGGTCTTTCGCCAACACCCGAGGCCAACCGCCGTCCACCCCTACCAAGCAGAACGTCGATGCCGTCCGAGCCAAGATTAACGGCGTCTTCCAGTCACTCAACACCGGCATTGGCCTTCGCCTGATCGCTCCCGACCCCGCCGCTACCCCGTCCTCTCGAAAACAACACGCAGACCAGAGCGGGGACCGTTGTAATCAAATATGGTCCGAATTCCAATACCAGTACCACCAAGGAGATATCGACTTCGTCCTGCGCGAATTCCATATAAGGGCCAAGAAGACATTATCTGGGTGGGTGCCGAAGCCGCGAGCCGATTCACGCACCCTTCCGGCCGCCACTACCAATCCACATCGCGCGCGAGATGACTGCCAGGTCGAGGCGCTTCAGGAGCTCCTCCGAGACGTTCTGGTTGAGCACCGGAAACAGATGCCGCAGCGTCCGGCAAGGCTATTCAATAAGGCTGCTAGCGATGGCGTAGTGCTTGAGAGAAGCAGCGGAGCGAGGCGCGCCCCCGGTCTTTCCACCTCCCGCAAACATGGGGCCAAGCGGATGTCTGACGATGAGACCCTATCCGACGAGAGTATCAAGAGGCCCAAGAGTAGCGGAAGCGAAGGTGGTGTGAGATTGACATTGGAGAAGGCCAACAGCGACCTCGACAGTGTCATGGTCCGAGAGAGCTTCACAACGAAGTCAATGTCGTTTTCTGGCCCCTCTAGCACCCAGGATCCGCGCTCGCAGCCAGAATATCCTACCCCTTCTGCCACCGCCAGGAAACCATCACCCCCCACGATGCAAGTCTCTACTTCTTCCTACTGCGACCGCTCGGCCAATACGAGTAGCACGTCGCTAGCCTCCGCCTTCACCAATGTCTCAGCGGTGTTCTCGGCCGATGAGGACGACAACGAGCCATTCGACACCCAGACAACTGTCGAGGCCTCCAGCCAAGAGCGAAAGCGGATAAATTCAAGGTTGTCGAAGAGCGCCCGTATGGCACCCCGAGCCGAGGTCAGAGCCCCAAGTTCGGGTAGCCGGTTTTCAGACGCAGAGCCGTCTCTGGATGAACTGCAGGCCATGTGGGACGCCGAGCAGGCAGTCGTATCAAGGCCAACGCGCATTCCCGCCATCAGCACAAAGCCCCAACACTCGCCCTCGTCAAGTTCTAGTCGCAGCGCGGAGGCTAGCCCGACGTACTCCTCATCGTGGTCTGGATCGCTCGTGGATGTATTGGCCGAGCAAGCGCGCATGATATCAGAGCCTGTACCGAGCCCTGTACGATCACACAATACGCTGCAAGATAGATTGGATTTGGTCTGGCGTAAGTCCTTCCACCCATGGCTTCTGGTGCCATTTATCTCGGCACACTTGCCATGCCCTCATCTGACCTCGTTCAACTCCTCTTAGCAAAATTCCCCCCTTGGCTTCGAGCCGCACCCTTGGCGGTCGCCTGGGAGGTCTGCCGCGTCGCGCTTCACTGTGGAGTTGATCTGTGCGAGGTCAACGGCATGTTCTATGACAACAGCTGGAAGGAGCAGAAGACGCTCCGGTCTGTACTGTATCAACGCCCGGAATTCCGAACCCGTGCTTTTCCGGAACAGCCCTCCTCCGATGCCTGGGCTGCCGCGCTGGGCTCGTTCAACAGTCGAGGCCAGAACGTTATACTTTCAGCCACCTTGGATTTCAACATGGCTCCTGGTCCGCTATTTAAACTTAGGATGTCTCCCCTGAAGCTTGACGACTCTCACCGTCTGAGCAGGCGCTTCGGATCAGACCGTTTCCTCGAGGTCCTGTACCCATCACCCAACTCGACCAACGTCCCACCCGCGCTTCGAGGTAAAGACGCGCGTACGGCTGCGAACAAGTGGCTTGCGCGGGGGGTTCATCAGCTTGCTGGCAGAGAGTGGGCAGCCTTTTACACCAAGGATGCCGGGTATAAAAAACCTGCAACCCACCTGAGCCTTGGACGAGACTCGGCCAAAGCAGTGTTCAAAGACAGGACTTACTTGTTCGCTATTGATGGACATGACTTCCAGACCCCATCTCCAATGAACAGCTTGCCACCCAAAGATCAGAAGGTTGTCGCGAGAACTCGCCTCTCTGTGTTTCGGATGCTAGACTGGCTCCTCCAACTGCAGAAGAACAAGGGTCAACCATACTTGAAGCTGTTCTCCCGCATCGCTCTTGGTATGTCGAATTTCTAGGGTGCTCAGATCTGCTTGCAGACGACGTTCACTTTACTGACCTGCACAGGACTGAGTCCAACGTATCCCACGGTCACATTTGAGCCCCATCAGATTCGCGCACAGGCAAAGGACCTCCTTTCGCCCCAAGGAAACGTCATGAACGATGGTGTCGGGTTGATGTCTCGCTCCGTTGCTCAAAAGATACAAAAGACCCTTGGCCTTGTCACTGTTCCCTGCGCAGTTCAAGGGCGTCTTGGTAGTGCCAAAGGGATGTGGATCATTGATGTCGAAGACCTCAGTGGTGAGGACTGGATCGAGACGTACCCTTCCCAGCGCAAATGGGAATGCGACATCGGTGATCCCGACCAGCGTACACTTGAAGTACGCAGCCACGCATCAGAGCTCCGTTCTGCCCGCCTGAACCTCCAATTCCTCCCAGTGCTAGAAGACAGAAGTCGAGACAAGGATGCGTTCCGGACCGCCGTTGGCGATTTGCTCGGGGAAAATCTACAGACCGAGCTCGGGGGCCTTCGGGCTGCTTTAAACAGGCCGATACAGCATCGGCAGTGGGTACACGAGAATTCTTCTAACCGCGACACACGCGTTCGTCATGGCCAAGTTCCGTTTCTGGGTGGCAGTCCCGACAAAGACGAGGAGTTGATGAACATGATGCTAGATCACGGCTTCGATCCGAAAAAGCAAAAATACCTGCAAGACCTTGCCTGGGTGCTTCAGAAGAAGAAGTGCGAGACTCTGAAGGAGAAGCTCAACATCACCGTCGGGAAATCCGCCTATGCATACATGGTGGTGGACTTTGGGGGTCACTTGGAACCCGACGAGGTGCACATGTGCTTTTCCAGCAAGTTCCAGGTCGACGACTTTGCCGATACCCTGCTTGACGGCATTGAGCTGCTGGTCGCGCGCTCTCCCGCCCACTACATAAGCGACATTCAAAAGGTCAAGGCCGTCTTCAAGCCAGCTCTCAAGGATTTGAAAGATGTCATCGTCTTTCCCCGCAAGGGGCGGGTGGCACTTGCCGACAAGCTTTCTGGGGGCGACTATGACGGAGATAAGGCCTGGGTATGCTGGGACCAAGCCATCGTAAAGAACTTCGTCAACTCTCCCGTTCCTCGAGCGCCCGACCTTTTCGAGAGGGGGTACCTAAGCAAGATCAAGGACAAAATGGATGACCTCGTCAAGGAACATGGCTTGGAGACGGCCACTTCGGAGTTGATCGAGCGTAGCTTCTTGTTCAACATGCGGCAGAACCACCTCGGTATCTGCACGAACTTCAAGGAGAGGCTGTGCTACAAGCGACGCAACGTGTACGACGACTGCGCTGTTCTCCTCAGCACGCTTTTGAGCAACCTTGTCGATCAATCCAAGCAGGGGATCGAGTTTTCGGCAAAACAGTGGCGAAAACTGAGGAACGACCTTAATGAGCCCAATGAGCTGGATTTGCCTCTATACAAGGAAGGAAACTGGCCGCATCGTCATAAAAAGCCCGAACATATAATTGACTACCTCAAGTTCTCAGTTGCCAAGCCACTGATCGACAAAGAGCTGGGAATATTCCAAAAGGCAATCAGCGGTGCAAAGATGGCGCCGGGCGTCAGTGGCCCCTTTGTATCACCGTCTAAGGGCGGAAGCGGGCAGATGGCCGATAATGTCAGCAGCGAGGCGTATCACTTCGACAGCGACCTCACAGAGCTCTACAACGAGTTCAGCAAAATGGAGTCTCAGCCTATCAAGGCGCTACTAACCAGCCTACAGACAGACATCTGCAACGTCGAGAAGAAGTGGAAGCAGACGATGTCGATGCGCGAGGTCGGTACTGGTGAGGGTGTCAGTAAAACCGGCGCAGATTCCGACTATCGGCGCAAGGTGCTGGAAGTTTATGACGAGTGGGTCGCAATTCAGCCTGACAAGACGGCTCACAGGGCGCTGGCCGACTCCAAGGTCGTTAGCATGCTGGAGCAGCATTTTTGGCACCCCGAAGACAGTCAATGGGCCCTTTTGCGAGCGTCAATGGCCTTCAAGTTGTTCTATCGCACTGGCTACAAGTTTGTCTGGCGCATGGCCGGAAGACAGCTCATGCGTCTCAAATCTCTGGCGGTGGCCAAAACCGGGGGGCCAGCAATGGCTGTGGTTCCGGGCATGTACGCGGCGCTCCGGCCTGATGGCAAGCTCATCAAGCAACTGGTCGCGAGGGATGAAGGTAGCGGATCCCACTACACGGGCGCGGGTGGAGAGGATGGGTCGGATGATGAGGACGAGGACTGGAAGGAATGATTGCCTATTTCCGAAGCGGCTGACAGGTTGGCTAGCGAGTTCTCGTATGCTCTTGGATTGCGCTTGGAGCGTGTTTTCTTTAATACCCTTTGCTGTTCGTTTGTTTGGTTATTTTTCTCCTTTTTTTCTCCCTTTTTCTCGTCACTTTTCTCCTTAACATGTTCTCCCCCTTCCTCCCTACCTATTCCGTACCTCTCCGTCCAGCCATAATGTCCCCTTTCTCATAGTTTCCCTCCTCCTATCGTCTTTGGACTCTCTTCACATTGTCATTCTTTCCCCACCAATCATTCTTTTACTTTGTGCCACAGGCGTCTCTCCTTATCTTGTCCCCATATTTTCCTTTCCCCTCCCTGCTCTGGGAGAAACTCGGCGTGGTGCCGGCTTGGCAAGCCGGCATTGGTTGGCTGTGGTGATGTTGTCAATGGGGAAATTGGACCTTGTCCAATCTGAATTCCCGCTGAACTTAAGCATATCAAAAGGTTCTTGGCCTAAAGTGTAGGTCTTGGACTTCGTATCCTCTCGCCAAACAGGCAGGTCTCCTGCCTGGCAGACTTGAGGGCGAGCATCGAGACGGAAATGGAGTTGGAGAACAGAAACGTCACAGAAGACGAGAGTGGGCGGAACAAAAGCGATAGCGTGGTTGGTGACTCGCTGTCGTGGTCCTGCACTACTAGAGAGGAAGACTAATAAGGAAAGGGGCAGAAAATGTATCTGAGACCTAGAGACACAGGACAGGAGATGCCCGTTTACCCGCGGCCTTGCCAGTCGGCACAATCGTAGTAACCCTGGCAGCACAGCTATTGCAGCCCTCCTCCCAGCCATGTGTATTGAACCAGCAGGATAACCGAGGGAGCCCGCACGAGACGGTCTCCCAGGGCCTCGGAAAATATTCCTTATTTATCCTTTGCTTGACGGCCGCGTCGGCGTTGGCGTTCATCAACCCGTCCGCCCCCGTCTCGGCCGCTACGGAAATGCGACCCTCCTAGCCGAGAGAAGCGCCGAGAAAGCGGGCTACACATCCCTTCCGTGGTAGGGATCGCCTTACTTGTGTGGTATTCCCGGCCGATCTGCGTGGGGCGGCCGTGTCATTGGGGAATAACCCCTGGTCTTCAGTCGTCGCCGCAGATACATAGGGCCACCAGGGACCTGTGCGGTCGAATCCGGGGCGGGACCTCCCGCCGTGGCGTTTGTCCTGGTGGCAGGGGGGAGGCTGCTGATCACGGACCACCCATGCACCCCGGATTTCGCGCGGGTTAGGACTGGTTGGTTGGCCGTGATGGCCGGGCAGCAAAGGCATTGAGGTGCCGCGGTTGGACCGGAGGGGGGCGGGAAGCAAAGACGGGTGTCGACCTATTTAGCCGCCTGAGCCAAGCCCAGCCCTCAAACAAAGGCCGCGTGCATGCCCCAGACCCCCCCGTGCCCGCGACCCGGCATGGTGTTGTGCCGCGCTCTGGTTGGATGGCTGCCGGCTGCCCCTTGCGCGGCTGCCTTCCCCGGTTCTTCCAAAGCATTCATGTAAATTGCATTTCTACAGGGAACAAATCCCGTTTGTCTTTAATAATCCTCATCTGTCGCGGGCGAGCGATCACAAGCTCATCTGGGTAAGATCAACACCTGCCAGCCCGGTGTTTCTCTCTCCGCCATGGAATCTTTGTCCCATCTAGGCCTGTAGTTAGCCGCGCTCCAACATGGGGTTATTGGCTCGGCCGTGGCTGAACGTAGACCAAGGAAGGGCTCTCCTTTCGGCCCACCGCCGGGATGACGGCCGAAAACGTGCTCATCGATACTCAATCTAGCATCAATCCTGCCGCTCCATCTCGGGCGACGCACACTTGCTCCTTGCGATTGTTGACTGTTCTGGGAAATCCGGGGCAAAGACCCAGAAACAATACAGGCTTGAGCAGCGCCACGCATCAAGGCCACCATACTATACGGGGTCAGGATCCCGTCATTACCCAGATATAGATCCCTTGAACCCCGTGCAATACCGAGGGAATGACAGAGAAGCTACTCGGGTCCCCAAGCACACGCGGGGAGACCTTTCTTCTTCGATTCGCCCAAGATGCTGTCCCCCATTGCCATATCATGCACCATCCTCGCCGGGCAGGCCTTGGCGCACTCGCACATCGCCTACATCATCGTCAACGGCCGCATGTTCCGGGGCTACGACGCCAAGTCGGGTGATGTCCCCGCCCGGCTCGCCAACCCGCCCGCCCAAGTCGTCGCCTGGTCGGCCCGGAATCCGGACGACGGCTTCGTCAGCCCGGACAATTACACCTCGCCCGACATGATCTGCCACCGCGACGGGCTGCCCGCCGTTGCGCACGCCCCTGTCAGCCCGGGCGACGCTATCCACATCCAGTGGAACGGCTGGCCGCAGTCGCACGTCGGGCCCGCGCTGTCCTACCTCGCGAGGTGCGGCGGTGGCGGCGGGTGCGCCGACGTCGACAAAGGGGACCTTCGCTTCTTCAAGATCGACAACAGCTCCCCGGTCCTCCTAGGCCCCACGACGGCGGACGGCCGAGGGGGGCCGGCGCCTCCTGGCCGCTGGGTCTCGGACGTGCTGATCGAGCGCAACAACAGCTGGCAGGTCCGGGTGCCGCGGGGCCTGGCGCCGGGGCCGTACGTGCTGCGCCACGAGCTCATCGCGCTGCACTACGCGGCCAAGAGCGACGGGGCGCAGAACTATCCGCAGTGCATCAACCTGTGGGTCAAGGCGGGCAACGACAGCAGCAGCGGCGGCGGTGCCAAAAGTTGGGGCCCCGGCGCGGTGGGCTACGGACAGGGAGTGTCGCCGACGGCCATGTACGGGCGAGGCGACGCGGGCATTCTGATTGACGTCAACCGGCCGCTGTCGACGTATAGGATCCCCGGGCCCACGCTGGTCAGCGGGGCGGAGCCTATCCCGGCCACGGCGCAGGCCAGCAGCATGCCTACCGCGTGGGGAACGCCGGTTAGGGTCGTGAGCGGTAGCACGACCGTCGCCCTTCCCGTCCCAGAAACTTTTGTACCGAGGCCAGCGCCTTCATGAGGCCTCGGCTAAGAAGGGACCTGTTGAGTAGCCATATGATATTATATTAGTAGACCGCTTAGCGACCTTGATGATCCTATCCGAGTTACCCGTATCTTTAGCGAGCGCCAAACCGTAGAGTATATGAGCGCAGCTAGGTATTTGTCGGACAAAATGTTCTCATATCATTTTCGACTCCAGGAGCGTCACACGCTACGCGCGTTGTTATAGGCACACCGTCAGAACACTCCCAAACACAAATGACACTACCCATCCAAAGGGGTAGCCAGAGCTTGAGACTGGGTACGTGCATCAGCCTCAGCACACCGTCTGTTCCTCTCCACACGCCTCCTCCACGGCCGGTAAACAAGGATGGACCCGACGCCGACCACCAGGAAGACGCCGCAGATGCAGCCGCCGATGATGTCAAAGTTGTCGCCGATGGCGCTCACGCCGTCCCAGAACCTGCCCTCCGGTTCAAGGAGGTTCTGGACGAGCGAGAGGACCTGGATGATGCCAATGAAGGCTGAGACGAAGATGGTGATGGCCGTCAGGACAATCGAGTAGTACAGGATGGCGACGACATCCCGGGAAAAGGCTTTGGAGGTGTACAGGGCCATCATGAGCGCCCCGTCGGTAGTGTCGAGCATACACATGCCGGCTGGCGGAATGCCCATTTGTCACTTTAGTTGCTCGGAGACGCGGAACACAAGGGGGAGGATAGTGCGTACCAGTAAAGAGGATAGGGAAGATCAGGATCAGCCATAGGCTCGTGCCATCTGCTCCGTGGATGCTAGCCAGGCCCAGAATGGCGATCTCGGAGCTCGTGTCGAAACCCAGACCGAACACAATCCCCAGCGGGAACATCTTCCAGGGCCGGTCGACTACCTTGAACAGTCTGCGGAAGACGACGGCGAGGATACCGCCACCCTCGACCGGGAGCTGCACGCCGGACGCCGCAGGTTCGTGTCCCTCTCCCTCTAATGGTGCGCCCGCACTCGCATCCGCTTGGACCGCCTGATACTGCGGCAGGGCGCCGCTTGAAACAACATCCACAACATCACGGTACTGCTCCCCGCCCGCCGCCCCACATCCGTCCTCGCGGTCCTCCTCCCGACCCCGGCGGCGCAGCTCCACGCGCAGCCTTCCCACCAGCCGCCACAGCACCCAGGCGTTGCCGGCGCACAGCAGCAGCAGGAAGGCGCCCGAGACGGAGGTGCCGACGACGTTGCCGACGCGCGAGATGTCGTCGAAGCGGTCGCGCAGGGCGCCCGTGGTAGCGGCGACAACGACGCACGTGGCCACGACGACGGCCGAGTGGCCGAGCGAGAAGAAGGTGCCGACGGCAACGGGCCGCTGCCCCGCCGCGATGAGCCGCCGCGTCGTCAGGTCGATGGCCGAGATGTGGTCCGCGTCCAGCGCGTGCCGCAGCCCTAGCATGTAGGCCAGCACCGCCGACGAGAGCAGCGGCGGGTGGAAGTGCAGCACGACGCCGGCCGCGGCCCACACGGCGGCGTTGACGCACACGAGCAGGCCGATCAGCCGCAGCGCGGGCGCGGGGATGGCCTGGAGGGTCTTGGGGAGGGGGATCCTGCCAAGGAGGGAGGTGGAGGAGGAGGAGGGGCCCGCGTCGTCGTAGGGCGCGGATGCCTGCGAGCCGCGACGGTGTATGCTGCGGATGCGGGCGAGGGCGACCGATGGCGACGACGGCGCTGGTAGTAGCGGTGTGGTCTCGTGGCCCGCTGCTGGGCTGCCGCCCTGGACGGGTGACCCTGGGGACATGGTGTTCGTTTGGGCCGCTTGGATGATCTTGATGTGTCCGACTTGCGTCCTGCTCGCAGCAGCCTTTGCAAGATCCGACGGTCGATGGAAAGACGCTAGAAGGAATCACGAGCGACAGCGACGAGAGCGGGTGTGCGGAATGTGCAGGAGGAGGTCCGCATTAGTAGGGTTATCGATCAGTCTTGGCTGAGGGTTTGTGATGAGATTCGCACGCGACGCAAGCGCTGCAAAAGGCCCTCCCGGATGTTTTCTTCCGGCCTGGAAGCAAAAGTCGACTTTTCATTTGTCCCATCACAGCGTTTGAGTTTATCTTGATGAGGGTCTCTCAGTCTCATGCTGTCACCACATTTTGGGCCACCCCACCACGACCCCAAACACCACGTCTCGTTGAGATGCAGCAGTGAGGGGTCGAATCCAGTGATGGAGCATAACTCGGAAGTGAATTACTCGATTCGAATAGCTTTAGCGGATAGATCCTGCAGGTAACGACACCAAAGAAGTCCAGCCGAGTTCCTAAAAGTCCATTTTTCATTGATTAGCTCCCACTTGCCATGCTGTCGATTGAATGTGGCCGCTTTCCATTGAGCTGCCTGCCAGTCAGTGACGTCACGTGTTTGTCGAGTTTAGGTGCTGGTGCTGCCCAAGTCCAGGCCTGCACCCACATCCGACCAAACCGCGAGGCTCTCGAGTCGCGACACGGCTCCCGAGAGAAACGCCGTCACGAGAACTTACCATTGTAATGACGGCATCTTCTTGGCATCCGTTCTTTGTTTCACGCATGGAGTTCCAAGAAACAGCGCCCAAGTCCGAGGCAGAATCGCAGACCCACCAGAGCCCCAACCACAAACATAGGCACTGCCCGTTGTTTGCGAGCGTGGCCGAGCACGGAACCCGGAGCATGAAGCCCAAGAGTGGCTGCCTCCCTAGTCTAGTAAAGATTCATGCGGCGGGTGGATGACCTGGCGCATCGAGAATAGGGAGACGCTTCTCGGGCTTGATTCCGAAGACCGCACAAGTGAAGTGAAGAGATGAGGTTCGACGGCACGTCGCCTTCGCTTGCGGAGGGTTGACATTGCGAATTGCCCAAGTCAGCGCTTCCCCAGAATTTAAAAATTTCGCCTCTTCAACTGGCAGCCGAATCGATGGAACGACATTCCTCACATCTCGGCTATCGTCTCTAGTGACCCATCCGGGTGGGTGCGCCAGGCTTTCGGCTGTCGTCAAGACCCCTGGTCCTGGAGGCTGGTCCCTGTCGCCTGTCAACAGGAACGATAGCGTCAAAGGACCCCAGCATCGACGGCGTTGGCCCCGAAAAGACATGCAAGGCGGGCCGGAAAGAATCCCGAGACACTCATCGACTTTCCTAACCAGGCATGCCCACCTACTCCGAAGGAAACGCCCGGGATGGCAGATACTCATTTATAGTGGACTGTACAAACCGCGTAGCCGCGGTGGACCCAACGACTGGCGTGCCTGGTATGGACAGTCGCATCAGACAAATCTTGCTTCTCGTTTGTTCCTGGGAAAGCCGGAGCTCACTGTCGTTCTGAAAGATGCTAGGCAGGGGTCGTCTCCAAGGCACCGCCTCCGTGGCGATCTCCCGACCAGGTTGGTTGTTTCTATAGAGCAATCCTTGCTCCGAAGAGACCGAGTCCCGCCAAAGCCGCGAGGACATAAGCCTAGGCACAGGCCTGAAATTTTCACCGTCTACCTCCCTCTTCTCCCTCAACCGTTCACGGTACCACGAGGGTTACATCCCGTCCAAATAGCTCAGCCTAACACTCGTTAACGGGCTTTGCACCCGGATGGCCTGACCACTTTCCCTATTCCTGACTACCTACCACACTCATTGCAATCATGGTCAAGTCACTCTTTACCAGCTCGCTCGTGGCGATGGCCTGGGGCGCAGGCGCAGGCGTCGCCCAGCAATCGTCAAGCGCCTTCACGGACCCAAGCACGGGCATCACATTCCAGTCCTTCTCCAGCGATGGCTGCAGCTTCAGCATCGCCCTGCCGGAGGCGTCGTCCAGCAGCGCGGACTTCATCGGCCGGATATCGGGCAGCGTCAAGCAGGGTGGGCCGGTGTGTCGCTCGGAGGCGCCATGGTGCAGAGCGGGCAGCGGCTCAACTTCTGGACGTCGGTCAAGGGCACCACCGGCGACGGGGTCACCCGGTTCATCCAGGGGACGTGCAACTCGCCGGCGGCGGGCGGCGTGCGGCTCAAGGTCTACCTCACGCACGGGCTGACGTCGTCGGGCGACTTGGGCATCACGGCGGCCGGGGCGACGCGGTTCGAGCGGGCGCCGTCGATGAACACGGACGGCGACCGGGCGGCCGTGGAGGCCTTCATGGACCGGCTGCTGGGCATGACGCGCGCGCCCGGTTCGACGCTCGCGCTCGCGGGCGCAGCCGCCACCGCGGCCAACGCGATAGGGGCGTCGCTAGCCAGGGACTTCGTCTCCGGGTCGCACTTTGTGGGCACCGCGCGTCTAGAGCCCGACGACGGACGCAAGGGGAACGGGACGGCGGTGGTGGACGAGAACACGCGGGTGTACGGGACGGACAACCTCTTTGTCGTGGACGCGTCGATCCACCCGGACGTGCCGACGGGCAACACGCAGGCCATCGCCATGGTGGTAGTCGAGAAGGCGGCCGAGAGGATCCTCGCGCTGAGTCCGCGCGGCGCCGGCTGCAGGAGGATGCAGGTTCGGCGTCGCGAGTACGTGCCCCGGCAGTACTGGGCCCGAGCGGCGGCCGTGTCCTCGCCGTGAGTGTTTTTGTTGTTGCTCGTTGTAAATCTACTTCTAACCGGCTTATAGTACACCATCTCTAGGGGAACATGCATCGAGGTGAACTTGTGTGGTCATAACTGTGGTTGATGTTGCGCAGAGCCTGTGCGTCGGGGCTTGTAATGAGCAAATAACCACGACTGCCATAAAATGAATTCGGCAGTTGGCTGACCTTGGCTAGCCTCTGGGATGCCAAGATCTGCTGGATCAAAAAGGGAGGCCGCACCAACTTCAAATGCCGAGCATCCAAGCCACCTGTTTGCTAGTGTGTTCTCTCGACGGTCCAGACAGCTGGCGCTCTGCTCAGCCGCACGGGCTGAGATGGGAGGCAGCCAGCGCATGCCCCGTGTTGCCGCCCAATCAAGCCACTCCACGCCAATGCAGGTTGTGTTCTCGTTCCTGGCGGCAGCTTGCGTAATTGCCTTTCTTGACCCTAACATCAATCTGTCTGTCCTCGACTTGTCGCTCCTTTTGGTCGTGATTTTCGGGAGCAAGGCTTGTTCGGACCTGCCAGCCAGAGAACCTGCCAGCCAGAGTTTGAACCATCACAGACACCATTGACTCAACCCAATCAAAGCTCCACACACACACACACGGCGGGGACCACTGGAACCCACAGCGCAGGGTTGAGGCGATGGGGCCGCTCCAGCGACGGCACAGCTGCCGAAATCGCGCCAACATCAACATCTCACCCTCCAAACTTTTGACTGCACCACGAACACCAGGCCTCATCCTCGTCGTCCTCCTCGCCCTACTCGCACCCACCGCCCTCGCCGACGAGTTCAAAAATGACTTCTCGCTTTACCCCAAGGCCGCCCAGGCGTGCCTCGACGCAGCCGCCGCGGGCAGCGGCTGCGCGGCCACGACGAACCAAGAGATGAACAAGTGCCTCTGCGGCGGCACCGCCTTCGCCCTCTCAACCGCCTCGTGCGTCGGCACCCAGTCCCCGGGCGACCTGCAGGCCGTTTATACCATCATGTCCACGTCCTGCTCCGACTCCAAGGTCAACATGGCCGTGACCAAGGACCGGTTCCTCGCCACTGCCTCGGCCGCCCCTCCTGCCGCGACAACCACGTTCCCGCCCGTCACCTTCACCACCACCTTCACCACCATGATAAGCAACACGCCCACGACAGTCACCACGGTAATAACGACGGCAGCGGCAGCGGCGCAGACGACCGGCCCAGCATCACCGACCCCGACCCCGACACCGGCGACCGGCGACAACGGAATGTCGAACATGGCAAAGACGGGGATAATAGCTGGCGCCGCTGTGGCAGGAGTCGCTATCATGGCCTTATTGATCGTCTTCATCCTGCGGCATCGGCGCAAGCGAGCCGCCGCCGAGGAGGCGCATCCCATGCTCCCTGTCGGTCGCATAGATGGCGCAGGCGGCGGTGGTGGTGGTGGTGCGGTGGGTGGTCCATTCAAGGACCAGCTCTCGCCCTCGCCGCACACGGCCACGCCCTCAACCGCGCACGGCTGGAAGACGGACGAGGCCAAGTGGGGGCAGCACCAGATCACGCCCTCGCCCTCGCCGCTGTCCTTCCATAGCCAACATCAGCAGCCGGGGTGGGGATACGACCCGACGTCTGGGGGATACGGCCAGCAGGCGCCGCCCTACACGCCGCAGCAGGTGTTCGAGGCGCCGGGGCTGGAGCCGCAGAAGCCGGTCGAGATGCCCGCGACGCCCGCCCCGATACCGGACTGGGTGAGGCAGCACCAGCAGCCCCAGCACTTCATGCACACTCCACACCAACCTCACGCAGCCGACCAGCTGCTGTTCCCCGACAACGCCCAGCGGCGACCGCAGAATCGCCCGCCAGGCTCTCCTAGTGTGCATTACATCCCGCATGGAAGTTGAGACCAGAGTACGATCCCCTACTGCCTTAAGTTACTGCATTAGGTGCTGCTTAGCGTTGGAGAAACCGGGAGCTCCGATATCAAGCGTAATCATCCGACGGGAGACATACAACCATCTTAATTACAAATTTCAGATTGGTTTGAGTACTATGATATGGGCGCTCCATTCCACCGTTTGGACCTAGCCACCGCAAGTGACCATCTCCATTGGACAATCTCCATTGGACAATATGCCTCGATAGCGACAATTGACTTCACCTTCGAGACCACCCAAGTCTAGAAACGTGGCGGTCAAGGTTCCATGTCTCAGCGGCAGATAGCACGCAATCACTCCGTCGCCCATGCCACCGAGCGTTGCGTTTTGGCGCCTGCGGGTTGCAGTGCAGCAGCCACCTGCGGCCTCTGCCTTCTCAACCAGCTTTAGACGCCTTCTCCATCAATCTGGGAGAGCACTCGTCCCTTCTGCAAAGTCTCTCCGCTGCTGACCATCGGCTCCGAGCCCCGCGGACGTCATTCAGCGCATTGGAAAAAGGGGGCCCTTCCCCCATCCAGTCTCGATTGATACGACACCCCTGCAAGCTCGCCCCATCGCCGCCAACCCACCAGCCCCCCTCAACTGTGCGGGCAGCCGCGGGTGTTGTGTCTCTTGCAGTAGCTTATTCCACACACACAACACAAAAGCATCCCTTCCCTAAGTCTTCTCCGGCTCCTGCAGCCGGAGACGCAGCTGCCTACATCGGTTTAGCTCCTGGCGCACAGTCGGACGAGACCACGGTTCTTCCCCCTCGCTCTGTCTGGCCTCATGTCAGCCGGCCCTTGCGCGGGGCGGCCTTTACTGTTGGCACCACTTAATCGTATCGACATCCCTCCTCACCGAGTCGTCCCTAGGTAGTCACAGCTCCTATAACCCGGCCTAGATCTGGGACCCGTCAGTCAGCATCCCCTCTAGTTTGATATTCTTGCTTCTCTTTCTCTTTCTCCCCTTTTCATTTTTTATTTCTCCGTCGACAGTATCATCGCAACCTTCGACCTCCGCCTCGATCTCTCGATCTACTCTAGCTTCGGGCGAGCTGGACCCATGGTCTTTACATTTCTTGGATGAAACTTCTTTTCGGCTCCTCCGCAATGGAGGGCGCACATCCAAGCTGGCAGAACCTCCTGCCGTGCTATTCCTGTTGCCAAAGAATCTGGGTAGGTCGTTCCTCGGTGTTTTGGTTGCCGAGCCGAGTTCACCGCAAAGTTGCCCGCTCTCCCCGAGACCCCCTGTCGGCCTCAATCGCCATCCAAGCAGGGTTCCCCACCTCGGCGAACTGCGGCGCAAGACAAGCAGCGAGCCAATGCCCGAAACCAATTGAGACCTGTGCAGCTAACATTTTACACCGGTCTATCAACCAGATCTCAGAGCAGGCGGCATTCGGCAAACACTGCACGGGCATTATATCGCAGATTCCTGTCTACATCTCTTTGCTTGTATTACTGTCAAGATATGCACTTTTCCCTCTCTGGAATCGGCGGCCGTCATGGTTACACTCGTTTGCCGCCGAGTCCGACGAGCTACCCACCGAGACGGGCGACACAGCATCGTTTTCCCCCCTGCCCTCGGCCGGCGTGCCGACTAACCGAAGCGTTCGTGTCACCAACGGCCACCACGTGAATGGTGCAGCAGACGACAACGCCGACAGCGACGACGGCGTGTTTTGTCCGCCGAAATTCAAATCATGGAACAGGCACAGCCTAACCCTGCTATTGTTGTCTGCCCTGAGCGCTGGCTCTGGCTCGGTTGCGGCCAGCATCTACAACAACCATGATTGGGTGTTGGTCATGTCCGCCATGCCGTCCATGGCCACGGCAGCTATCCTGGCGGTTGAGCGGCCGCAGACGGCTCCCGGGGGCGTCTTCTTGATCCAGTCCGGGCTGCTCCTCACTCAACTCGCACTGCTCCTCGGCGTCCCTTCACTGGCGGCCTCGTGGGACTCGCTCATTCTATTCCTGATCACTGTCTTCATCACGCTCGGCTCGGTCGTCATTATCTTGATGATGCCGCTACGCGACCCGCGAATGCCCGGCACTGGAGAGGTCGCCGTTGTGAACCAAGAGCCAACGTCGACGCTTCGCAGCCCCGAAGACAACTTCACTGTCTGGGACTGGATGACCGTTTCTTGGATGAGCAAGCTCATTGCTATTGGGTATCGACGACAGGTCCAGCCAGAGGACGTTTGGTTGCTGCCCTACGAGTTTCAGCACCGGCGCCTTCACCTTCTCTTCCGGCAGATCCGGGGCTCGGTGATCGGGCGCATCCTTAGTGCCAACGCGCCAGACCTCATCATCATCTCGGTGCTGGGCATATTCGAGTCGACCGCCTCTATCGGCCAGGTGGTCCTCCTCAAACAGCTCCTGGGTGCTCTGGATACACCGACCGGGGAGGGCGGAGACGGGGAAGACGGCACCGGAGGCGGGCTGGGAAACGTGCGCGTGGCCATGGCGTACGCGGTCGTTGCTCTATTTCTCCGCCTGGCCGCGGCGCAGTCGGCGGTTTTCTCGCTCTGGTTCAGCAGGCGCTGTTACGAGCGCTCGCGGGGCGAGATGATCACCATGATTTACGAAAAGACCATCAGACGCAAGGCCTTTACGTTCCCGGGCGTAAATCAGAGGAGGGACGACGAGGAGGAGGACGTGGATGGAAATCAGGAGCACGCCGAGGGACAGAATGGTACCAACGGGTCAGCGGGCGCCAATTTGTCACCAGAGGAGGCTCAGAAAGACGCACCAGCGTCGATGGGCAAGATCCTCAACCTAATGCGCAACGACGTGTACGAGGTTGCCCAGCGGTTCTGGGAGTTCCCGTCGCTCTTCACCAAGCCGCTCAACTTTGTCCTATCGCTGGTCCTCATCTGGAACTTGCTAGGCCCCTCTTCGCTGCTTGGAATCCTGGCGATAGTGCTCGCTCAGGGCGTCAACGCCATGCTCATCCGTGGGCTGCTCGGGCTCGAGCGCACTCGACGCAAAATCTCCGACATAAAACTACAGGTGACGTCGCAGTTTGTCGAGACGATCCGGCACCTGCGATGGTACGACTGGCAGGACCGCTGGCTCAAGGAGATTCTCGAGATGCGCAACTTGGAGCTGCGATACCGCGTCTTGTCTAACTTACTGCAGAAGGCGCTCAACGTGCTCGGCACTCTTGCGGCCCTTGCTCTCCCCTTGGCATCGTTCTACGCCTACACGGTCATCAGCGGAAAGCCGCTGTCGGTCGACATCGCCTTCCCTGCCCTCAATCTCTTCGCCACGCTCAACACAACGCTCACGGAACTTCCGTTCCTGGCCATGATGCTGGTCAATGCCTCGGTGGCCATGGGCCGCATCGAGAGCTTCATGGCCGAGCCGGACAAGGAGGACGCCGGCCGCGAAGACCAGCACCATGACGCCAACGGCGACGCCCGACCCCCCGGCGAGCTGAAGCTCGCCATCAGCGATGCCTCCTTCTCGTGGCCCGGTTACACGGATAAGCGCCATGTGCTGCGCGACGTTTGCATGGAGTGCGGGCCCGGCCTCACGGTAGTGTGTGGCAAGGTCGGCGCGGGCAAGACGGCTCTGTTGCAGGCCATCTTGGGCGAGCTGGACCAGCAGCCTGGCGGCCAGCGCCAAGTACCGGATGAGATGGCAGGCTACTGCGCCCAGACGCCCTGGCTCCAGAGCATGAGCATCCGCGAGAACATACTCTTCTCGGAGCCCTACGACCCGGACCGGTACCGGCGCACGCTCGAGGCCTGCGCGCTGCTGCCCGACCTTAAGGAGTTTGAGGGCGGCGACCTGTCCATGGTGGGCGAGAACGGCGTGGGCCTGTCGGGCGGGCAAAAGGCCAGGGTGGCGCTGGCGCGTGCCGTCTACTCGCGCGCCCGCGTCCTGCTCCTCGACGACCCCATCGCGGCGCTGGACCACCACACGGCCGAGCACGTTGTGCGCAAGCTCTTCTCATCCGGCGGCTTGTGTGAGGGCCGCCTGGTGGTGCTGGTCACACACCGCGTCGACCTCATCCGGCCGTGGGCGGACCAGATCTACGAAGTGTTTGCGGACCGGGCCTCGTCGCTCGAGAAGCACCGCCCCGACGAGCTGGACACGGACGCCGAGTTCCACCGACGCGTGGCGGCCGAGGAGGCGGCCGAGGAAGCGGCGCTCCAGCAGCAGGAGGAAGAAGGCGCGGCCGACCACGGCAACGCGGCCCAGGCCATCCCGGACAAGTTCATCCAGGAGGAGCACCGCGCACACGGCGGCGTCATGGTTTCGGTCTACTGGCGCTACGTCAAGGCCGGCCGGCTGTGGCTGTGGGTGCTGCTGATGATCTTGTTTGCCGCACACCGCTTCTCCAATATTGTATACTTTTACTTCCTCAAGGTCTGGGGCGAGGCCTATAAGCAGGGCGGCAACGGCACCTCGGCCGCCGCTCGCGCCATGTTCGTGCGCGCTCACCTCTATGGCATGAGTCCTGTACCCGGCCAGGCGACTTTGCTGCTCAAGTCTGACCTACCGAACACATTCGCTTCGGTGGATACTTCCAACGCAGGAAGCTCCCGGCTAGGGGGCGGCGGTTGGATCGACGACATCCGATTTGGCCTGCCTCCCCCACAGGACGACGTGCAGCCGTGGCTGTACTGGTTCCTGATGCTGTCGATGGCGCAGGCGGTGGCGGAGCTCTTCTCGGACCTGACGCTGGTGGCCATCGTCTACTCTGCCGGAAAGCGGCTCTTCGAGGACGTCATGCGGCGCGTGGCGGCGGCTACCTTCCGCTTCTACGACGTGACGCCCGTGGGCCGGCTGATGAACCGGCTGACGTCGGACATCAGCACCATCGACGGCTCCCTCGCGGGGCAGCTGCACCAGGTGGCCTTCCACTCCATCGCCTGGGTCTCGGCCGTGGGCGTCATCGCGGCGACGACGCCGACGTTCCTGGCCCTGGCCGTGGGCATGACGGGCGCCTTTGTATACATATTCAAGAGGTTCCTGCCGCTGTCGCAGTCGCTGCGGCGGCTCGAGATGGTGTCGCTCTCTCCCCTCATGTCCAATTTTGGCACCCTGCTCGAGGGCCTGACGACGGTGCGGGCGTTCCGGGCGCAGCGCCACTTTGAGCACCGCATCGTCGTGACGACGGACGCGTTCCAGCAGATGGACCACTTCTACTGGTCGCTGCAGAGCTGGCTGGCGTACCGCTTCGACGCGCTCTCGGCCCTGTCCACCTTTGCGCTCACGGCCACGGCCCTGTGGTCGGGCCTGTCGCCGGGCGCCGTCGCCTTCGTACTGGCGGCGGCGGCGACGTTTGTCGAGACGACGCACGTGCTGTGCCGCAAGTACGGCGAGCTGCAGATGATGTTTGTCAGCGTCGAGCGCGTCGTCGAGCTGCTCGACCTCGAGACGGAGCCAGAAGTTGGCAGCGGCGGCGGCGGCGGCGGCAGCCCGGGCCGAGATGGTGGCGCAACAGGTCGCGGCGGCGCCTCGTCTTCGCTGTCGCTCAGGACCCTCGACACCACGGCGGCGGCACCTCCCCTGCCGCTCACCAGGCCGCCGGCCTCGTGGCCGACGGCGCGCGACGACATCGTCTTTGACCGCGTCACGCTCCGCTACGCGCCCGACCTGGAGCCGTCGCTGCGCGACGTGTCGTTCCGCATCCCGGCCGGCTCGACGGTGGCGGTGACGGGGCGCACGGGCTCGGGCAAGAGCACGCTCGCGCTGGCGCTGCTGGGCACCATACTACCGGATAGGGCTCTGGAAGACGACGCGCCATATAGTGATGACGTCGCGGCGGAAAATGGTGACGGCGCCCAAGGCCGAGGTGGTGGTGTCGGTCGGGTCGCTAGCTCCAACGATCTACTCGACCTGGGCCAGGACGACACGACGACGGTAGCCCGCAGCAACGGGGAGCACGGTGCGAACGGGTCGTCGTCGTCGGGACACGTCCCATCTCAAAGCGGCGCCGTGGTGGCATCCGGGCGGACACGGCGGGCCAACGACGGCAGCGGCAGCGGCAGCATCTGGATCGGCGACGTGGACATTGCGCGCGTCGACAAGCACGCGCTCCGGCGGCGCGTGTCGTTTGTGGCGCAAGACCCCGTGCTCTTCCCCGGCACGCTGCGCGAGAACCTGGACCCGCTGGGCGACTACACGGACGTCGAGTGCGAGCTGGTCCTGTCGCGCGTGTTGGGGTCGGCAGCCGCCACCGATGACAACAGTGGTGACAACTCTGGGGCAGCAGCAGCGGCAGCAGCAGCAGCAGCATCGAGGGAGCAAGCAACGTCATCATCCGAAGCACAAACGGCAACCTTCTCTCCACCCCCTCCTCCCCGCCGCCGCCCCCTCCGGCTCGGCACGCGCGTCGACGGCGGCGGCCGCAACCTGTCGCAGGGCCAGCGGCAGCTCGTGGGCATCGCGCGCGCGGTGCTGCGGCGCAGCCCGCTCGTCATCCTGGACGAGGCGACGGCGTCCATCGACGTGGCCACGGCCCGCCGCCTGCAGGCCGTGCTACGCTCCGAGCTCGGCGGCTCCACGGTGGTGACGATTGCCCACCGCGCCGAGGCGGTCCGCGACGCCGACTTTGCCCTCGAGCTCGACCGCGGCCGCGTCGTGCGCGCGGAGCGGATTGGGAGGGCGGCGACGACGGATTTTTGAAGGGGTGGTGGTATACGCTCTTTTTTTTTTGGATTACATGTCTTTTTTGAGGGGTGGTATACGCTCTTTTTGGATTACGTGTCTTTTTTCCTGCCATATCTAGTGTCGTATCCCCCATGTGCACGCATGACAAGTCAACATTCACCTGTGGAACAAAGGTAGAATAGAACCAGACCTGTAGACTTTGACTTTCACTTTACTCCCTCGTTGGTTCTCTGGATGGTACCCCCGAGGCGCGAGGGATTCGGTTTGTCCTTGCTTGTCCCGATAGATATCTGTTCGGCTAGCGCTGTTAGACACACCCTGTCTACTTTGTGCGCAAAAAGAAATGAAGCGAGTCGCATTGTTCTTGTGCGCCCCTACGGGACGGGCTAGGTCAGACCTCCGGAAATTAATCACCTCAAGCACCCTGCAGCTCAATCCCACGGGCCCATCGGGGAGTGGTGTTGCTAGCCCTGATGGGCACAAGCGTGGCCGACTATTGAGAGGAAGTGTGTGTGGGCCGGTATGCTTCTAGTCAAGATTGAGATCGCTTGCTGATGCTCCAAAATGAGCGAACCGTTTTCTTCTCTTTTTTGTTTTTATCCTGAGCTACCGTTGTCCAATTTCCCAGTCCCGCCGTGTTCCCAAAGTGCCCTCTCGTTGTCCAACCGGTGTTGGTGGTTAGCCAAGCCCCAATTCCCATGAAGACCGTCCGTTTAGATAAAAACCTAATACCCCTGACCTTGGAAAGAGATGAAACTGGAAAAAAAAAAGGAAAAAAAAGAACCAAGAACAAGATTGTGAAAATAGAAAAAAAAAAAGGCTGTATAGCGCAGTGCACAAAACCGGCGGGTGAAGCTTGCGCTGCGGGTTGGGTATCAAAGCTAGGGCTAGAGAGAGTTGCCAAGGCCCGATCTGCGAGAAGGGGCAAAACGAGAGATTGTGAAGTTTGGAAGATGAGAAGAGTCCCAAAAATATAAATAAAAAAAATAAGCATGCTCGCTAGAACCGCTTACCAATAGAGTATTGTAAAAGCTGGCAAAGGCAAGCAGACGGAAAGAGATGAGATGGGGTAACATGGAAGGAGACAAAGAAAGTGATACAAAGGAGACAGGTCGGTGCTGGATTAGCAGTAGAGATTAAGGATAGACGTGGTGCGGCATGTCGCGTCCGGTAGCCTGAGTAGAGAAAAAAAGATTATTAAAGGAAAAAAAAAAAACGTCTAGCGGGCCCCGACCCCCGACCGAGCAGCAGCCAGCGGCCGGTGCCCGCCCAGCTCGGGGAACTGGTCCCAGGCGGTCTGGAAGTCGGGCCCGTCCTCGGCGATGGCCGAGATGGGTCGCGAAGCCCCGTTGATCGTCCACCTGCGCGGCGGGTAGCCGGTGCCTCCCATGCTATGGCGTGCGGCAGGGTGGTTGCCGCGACGCGGGTGGTCGATGGTGGTGGTGGTGGTGGTGGTGGCGGCCGAGTGGCGCGGCACGGCGGCGCCGCAGTTGGCGCAGTTGGCGCAGCCGGCGGCCGGTTGGGGCGCCACGCGCGTGATGGCAGCGGCCGCCTCGGCGGCGGCGGCGGCGACGGCGGCGCTGATGTCCGTCTCGATGCGGGCGGGCGACGGCAGCGAGGGCGCCACCGACGCCGAGTGCATCGTCACCAGGCGCAGGGGCCGGAGCGGCTGCGACTGCGACTGCGGCTGTGGCCGGAGCTGGAGCGAGGAGGAGCGGCTCGGGGCGGCAGCAGGGAGGCGCGGCCCGAACCGTATGTGAGGCCCCGAGATCCTGCGCTGCGCCCGGGCCAGCCGGTCCTCGAGCGGCGTCTCGGTCGAGACGGGGAGCCCGGCCCAGGTGCGGCGCGCGGCGCTGCGTTTGGGGACGGTAGGGGCGGCGGCGGCAGCGGCGGCCATGGCGGCGAACATGCGGCCTGGGGCGCGGGGCGGGATGGGGCAGGGAGGGGGTGATGGTGTGGGTGTTGTTGGTAGCTCGATGACTGGCGAGGGAGCAGTGGTAGCAGTATCGGCTGGTGGTGGGGTAGAGGCGGGGGTGGAGGGCTGCTGCTGCTGCTGCTGCTCCGGGACGGTGGCTGCCATGCCCGGGATCTTGTCCCATGGGTCAAGGCCGCCGTGGGCCGTGTGGGCCGGCGAGCTGGGGACCGAGGAGGCGAGCGACGTCGCGGCCGTTGTTGCGTTGCTGGTCTTGGTCGCGGTCGAGCTGTTGCTGGAGTTGGACGACGTGGAAGCCGACCTGTTTGCCACCACTTCTGGCGCGACTTTGACAGGGATCTCTTCCTCGCCATCGTTGTAGGCAGCCGTGTCCATTGGAACTCTGCTGGCGCTTGTGTCGTCACTGCCGGCCGTCTTGTTCGTGTTGCCAGCCGGCCTTGTCATCTTGCCGACGTTCCCATTCTTCTTGGGCGCCGTCGAGTCGCCAACTTTCATAACATCAAGTGTTCCGTTGCCATATCCCTGCACAAAGATCTCCCGATACGACAACCTGCGCGACTTGCGCCAGATTGACCGGGGCGGCAGCTCAAACGTCTCGGGCACCAGCGGCGTGGAAGTCAGCGGCCGGTCGGTAAAGGACGATGCCGACGACGCGACGCCTCCCCTCAATTTGCTGAGCGTCTTCCGGAACTGGCTGCTAGCAGACGCGCTCCTCGACAAGCTCCCAGTGTTCTGATCGCCAGCTGCAGTAGTCGGTCGTGATGGCGACGATAGACTGCTGCGACGTGGAGGCACCTTGAATATGGAGTTGTTGCTCCCAGTCAAAGGCCGAAGTGCTCCAGATGCACTGAATGTGCTCATGGAACGGCTCAAGCTTCCAGACACGGGTGGCCGAGTCTCGTCCCGGTGCGTGATGGCGTAATAGTCTACATCCGGGCGGATCTCGAGCATCAGGGCGGGCGGCGCGACGCTCGGGGGAGACCCTATTGCTTCGCTGGCCACATGTAGCAGGTCGCCCTCGACCGACTCGTACGAAATGGTCTGCTCCTCCCACGGCGGCAGCTCCGTAGTGTCGACACAGAGGCTATAGGGGGGAAGTTGCCGCTCCCCGGCCGATACACACCGCACCTCGGCCGGGGTGGCGGTGCAGGCCCGGAGGGTCTGGTGCATGCAGTAGACGAGGATCCAGCGCACCTTGCGGGCATCGACCAGGGATATCTTGGCCTCGGCGCGGTCGAACTTGTTGCTGGTGGTGGCGGCCAGGACCGAGTCCTCCTCAAAGCGGCGATAGGCGCACACGAACCGGTTCTCCAGCAGGTGGACGTCGGTGGAGTTCGTCGCCGTCATGAGCGCCGCGTGGGACACGAGCTTCTTGTCGGGCCGCAGCTTGTCCAGGCTGCTGCTCTGATGCCGCGACGTGGTGCTCACGGCCGCCGCCACGGCTGACGAGAACCACCGCCTGCGCCTGGACGACGTCGTGGACGGGGCGGGCGACGTTGTGGTGCTTCCGCCGTCGGGGATGGACGACGGCGAGGGCGACGAGCCTGCCTTGGCGCCGATCTTGGGAAGAAGGGGCAGCGGGTGGTGGAGCGAGTCGAACTGGTAATGGCAGTCGAAGGCCTCGACGCTCTGCAGGACGCAGATGCCGCCCTGGGCGAGTGCTGGGCTGGAGTCGGTCATGGTGAAGCTCCGGTCGACGAGGTAGCTGTAAAGGGCCTCAAAGTCCTGTGCCATGGAGCGATAGATGTGGGCGGGGAAGATTTCGGTGCCAGGGTCGACGGGGAGTGGCGGGTAGTAGCCGAATTTTGAGGCGTAGAAGGAGTGCACAAATGCGCGGAAACGGTCGAGGTGCGCTCGGACGCCAGAAGTGAGGCCAAGCCTAGACTCTGAGAGGTCATCCTCGAGGAACGTACGGATCATGGTGCCAGCCGAGCTGAGCCGCGCATCCATTTCGGCGCGAGACTTGCGTATCAGTCGCCTGGACCTTGAGCTGATGTTCTGCGAGGAGAAAGAGGGAGGTTTAGCAAGATTGAAGAATAAAGTCCATCCATACCTGAGAGAAACTCCCAGTGAGAAGTTCCCAGTAGTGCGGGCTCGGGCTTACATGATACTCTGGGCACCTGTACAAAATCTCGCTCATGCCGACGCAGTGCACATACGAATCGATGAACAGGTCCCCCAGCCGGAAGTTCTCGGCTAGGTAGAGCACGGCCAGCGCGTTGCCGGGCAGGCCGTTGAAGTCCAGGTAGCCCTCCTCGTCCATGTAGGCGACGAGGTCCTCGACGTTGCTGGCGCCGGCCTCGCGGAACTCGTGCATGCTCTCGAGCAGCGTGGCCAGGGCGCGGCCCAGCTGCTCGCCGACCATGGACCGCCCCATGGCCCAGGCGAAGAAGTTGCGCGTCGCCAGGTGGTGCTCGAGCGCCTGCCTCTTGTCCGCCAGCGGCGGCGCCGGTATGTAGAGGTCCACCCTGCCCGCCCAGCGGTCGGGCGGCTGTCGGGCGGCCGTGACGCCGGCCATCCTCCCCCGGGCCATGCGGCGCCGGATCGGATCGGGCAGCGCGCTCGGGGTCGTTCTCGGTTGCAGCTGGAATGTCCTCGGCTCCTTGCTCGTCTCCGACGTGGGCGACCTGTCCGGGATGTCGCTTTGGTCCCAAGCGTCCAGGAATCGCTCGATCAGGGGGAAGCATTTCTGCTCCTGCAGCGTCGAGAAGGGCACCTTGAAAGCAGGACCCCTCCGCGACTGCCCCTGGGCGTATAAGTGGACGTAGCAGTTGCCGTGGTTCCACCACAGCTCGGGATCCTGAGTGGGGGATGGGGTGTCAGGTCTGTCAGCTTACAACATGGAGTCAATCGGGCGCGCTGGCAGGCCGTCACTTGCTTGCATGGCCTGCACGGCCTACACTACCAGCACCCAACACACCGAATAAAGCCAGAGAATCCGCAGCCACTCACCCTTCGCAGGTTGTCCCATGGCTGGTCTGCCCGAGCAGCGCCGTCGAATCTCCTCACGTTCTCGAGCCTTAGTTGCCTGCCGTTGGTGGCCTCTCCAAACCTCTTGGTCTTGTAACAGCTCGGCCGATCCGTCGAGTTGCTGTAGCCCGGCGCAGGCGGGCCCCTGCCGCCGGGGTTGGTTGTCGACATCATCGTGGGCTGCAACGGACGGCGCCGACGCAACGATGGGCGGGCAGAGGTGGGCACACCCTCGGGCCGCGATGGTGCTTTGAGGGTGGTGGGCAGGCCGCGTGGTTATACCCCTTGGTGGTCGTCAGCCCGCTGGCAACCCAAAGGAGAAAAAAAAGTGTGCAAGCCCAAGCAAAGAGCTTGCCAAAAAGAAGCCTCGAGCTTGTGAGAGAAGTTGGGGGTGGGGGTGGCCAGCTATTGGTCAAGTCTTGAGGCGAGCGACAGGCCAGGAATGCAGACACCCTGTCGGTACGCCAACGGATGGGCCGGGGCAGGGAGATAGATACAGCCCAAGACAGAGCTAGCTGCCGAAGAACTTAGCGTCGACTCTGTCGCTGCACTCCTCGGGTTTGCTGTCGCCCGGCCGGGGGTGTCCAATTAGGTGCGGGTGGGCAAAATGCAAAATGCAAAATGTGCAGGGCAGGCAGGCACACAGGCAGGCCGGCTCCAGCTCGCAACAGCAACGACGAGCTTTCCCCCAAACGGCTGACAGGAAGCGCGTTCTGGACCGATGCCCTCCTCGCTACTATTTCTCCTTCCCTGCCTCGCGCGCCTGTGCAGCTTGCCACTCGCGGCGCCTCGCCGGGGTCGCCTTGTCGGGGCCTGGGCGCTGCGAGCAAGTGGGAGGGTTCGTGCCACCCTTGACAGATGCTCGCCAGCAGGGTCGCGGCGGCTCGCTGCTGTCAGAGCGGAAGGGGTACGAGGTTGGTGGCAGGCCGGATCGGCTGGGTGCTGGGCATTGTAGCTCGAGGCCAGCGAGGAACCGTCGTCGCAAGCAGCAGAGGTGGCCGCCTCACCGGCTGTTCCAGTAAGCGAGAAACGGAGTGTGTGTGTTTGTCTGTATGGTTGTCTGTATGGTTTTCTCCCCGGGTGCTGCAGCTCCCGGCAGCCAGGCCCCGCTGCTGCACGCACTCTGCGCCTGGCGTCGTTGCAACCCGCTGTTGGTCGATCGAGATATGAGCCCAATTTGAGTTGTCGCTGCAGTGTGGGGGGCCTCACCGAGTCGACACCTAGGGGTGATCGACAGACGCCCGCAGCGAGCAAATGAGGCGGTCAAACGGTGCAGAAAACAACGGCAGCAGGCAGCCAAAGAAGAGCGATGAGAGACACATGTGGTTGCGTAAAGGTTGGCCGCGAGGACGAGAGCAAAGTCCCTCCCTCGGCGGTTTATACTACATATTCGCATAGGAGGGGGAAACAGACGGGAAAAAAAAGGGCCTCGGGTCCAGGGCGCACACACGGCCTCGCAGCCCGCTCGCAGGCACGTCCGTTACTCGATTCAGACCTAGATGCGCCAGGCACCAACCAATCTTTCTCGTCTACTGCTTCTCCGATGTTTTGTTCTTTCTTCCTGCGTCCTGCTGACGTAGTAATGTGGTCTCGAGTATCCTCGATATTTCGTGCATTACGCTCACACACACCGACAACCAGAGGAGGCTGTTGGGCTCCGTGGCGGCGAAGGAGAAGAAAACAGCACATATGCAAAAGGGGTGAGAAATAACAATTCGGCGCCAGAAGGAAAATAAGACCCGACGTGGCACCGCTAGCCCCATGATGGCGTCGGCTAGGGAAGGGCCTTGGCGTCAGGTCCAACCTCGATCCCTGCCTCGCCATTTCACTCTAGTTGTTTTGATAATTTTCCTCGTCCATATCCTCTCCTTCTAGCGTTGTCCTTGTGCATATCTCACCCGGTTATGGCGCGGCTGGCGTCTTCGGGACAATAGATCTGCATAAAATCTGATGGTGGTCCCAACACCAATGTTCCCATCCCGCAACTGCACAAATCCCACATTACAGTCACCCATATCCTAGCGCACCGACGCAGCTCTTGGTGCGTGCTCTGCTGCTGACCACATACAGAACATGTATGCCGTGATGCGGGAATGGGGGTTTGCTTGCGTCTGCATCCGCTCCTCTTCCTGGTCGCTGAGCTGCGGTGTGTGAATCAAGTCTGGTGACCCCTGCTGTGCGCTGTGCGCTGTGCGCTGTGCACGCCAGCCTCACGTCGTCCAGCGCCGCTCCTTGCCCGCACTTCGGTGTTTCAGGGGGGCTGGACTTGATGATGTCCAGCATTGGATGATGCTGAACTTGAACCAGCCCCGAATGGCGCCAACTCCCAGTCCCAGTACTAACGCACCGAGTCTTTTGGCGCCTATCCTCTCGCTGATGATCCCGACTCGTGCATCAGCTTGTTGCTCCCAGCCGCAGCATTCACACAGCATCTCGCCTTCGCCCGGGCCTACAACCCAGACAAATCCAGAAGGGGTCGGGGCCCTTGGGACCCTGATGTAACTTATTAGCGGCTTTTTTTTTTCTCCCTTCTTTTTTTTTTTGCTTTTTCTCATCGCGCCCAGTCATCTCAGCATATCGCCTCTTCCCAGGCCGCCAAGTCGACGGCTGAATGATGCCATTTTCATCATCAATCAGCCTTTGCCAGCCTTCCCCACCGCCACTTGCTTTTCGCCTGCCTGACCCTTTTGCTTTCCTCTTTTAGGACCATCTTGAATCCTTGCCAGTCACTGTTGTGCGTGCTCTTAACCGTGCCCGCTTACGGCACATGTCCGCCACTTCCCCAAGCTCGCCAAGGTGAACAGCCGATCGAGGGGCCGTGAGGACTTGGAAAAAAAAGTCTCCGAAAATCGCCGCACTGACTGGTAGTGCGGGCGTCTGTCCACCCGCGATGGGAGGCGATCTTTTCCAGGCGCGGCCATGAGCCTTGCATCATTTCTCATGCGCCCAAACCCCACAAACGCAGCCAAACTGCACCTTTCGGTCTTTCCCACAGACACGCTCACCCGCAGTCGTAGTACCACGACTGCCCAGACCGGAAATGGCTCAAGGATCTCTTGGCCAGTCCCGGCCCGCGAGCAAAGCGAGCCAGCGAGCTCGACCGCTCGCCTCCCCCGACGAATCGGACCCTGGCTCTGGCCGAAAACGGCCACCTCGTCTGACCGAGAATGGTTTAGGGCACACGCAGCACCGGAGCTGAGGGCAGACTAGAAGAGGTAACAACAGAGCAGCCCGAAGAGGGATGAGGCCTGCCTGCCTTCCCGCCCGCCTGCGCGCGCCGGTTGGACGTGGCCCAGTCGCGGGTTCCCTTTGAATCGTCTTCCCCCTCCCCCTCCCTACCACGACCCGCCCCCAGGAAGCCATTCCCATTCGCGGCGCTTCGAGGTTCGCACTACCCACGCACGCCGAAGGCGCCTTGTCTTCTTCTGCGGTACTTGCGGTCGAGTGCGACGCTAACACTCTGCAGCCCCCGGCATCCCGCAGGGGCCATCCACGTTGTCTCCTGGCTCCCCAAGACTTTCCCTTCCCAGCGGCGCAGCGTTGGACAGTTGCTTTTTTTTTTTTTTTTTTGCCTACCATTTTGTGTATTTCTCCGACATGCCCGAGTTCCCCTCGGCTTGGGATCGCCCTGCTTCCTTCGGCATTTGAGGCGATGCTAGTTTTTTTCCTAGCTGCATCAACCTTCCCCTTCAGGCCAGCAAGCAAGGGCTGACGAGGACACGATGGCGCGGCCTCGAGAGGGTGACATGAAGCCGCCAGCACAGTAATGCACCATCGACACCGCTCCTCTCCACGATGCTGCAACACCACAGGGAGACAAGGCCACATGCGCCGGGTTCCGCGGACGCATTCCCCACCCGGCGAGACACAAAGCCCCCCGTGCTCCAATCCGGGCCTGGCTTGACCTCGTCCCGGACTCCCGCATTGATAAGGTCGCACCATGACATGCACGCTGCCGTGGAAGCTTCGCGCCCCCCCAACCAGCCGAACCACCACCAATCGCGGGCCCTCTACCCATCTTGATCTCCGAGTGTCGGAAGCTTTTTGATGACGACGCCCGACCGACTAGCCGGTTTGGGTCCTCTCGCCTGCCGCATGGTGATTCTACTTCCGAAAAGAGAATCCCGGGTATGGCATCAAATCTCGATCGGACACACATCGCCATCTATCGCCTTCCCCGCTTCATACATGCTTCTGTACCAGCCTTTGGCCATGCAAATCCGCGTCTCGTCGGGCTCGCCGACGCGAATTGCGTGCCAGCACCCTGCCGTGTCGCCTTCATGTCCCCATCCTCCACGAGCTGGGGAGTTACGTGCCACTGCAGATGCGGTCCGGGTGTGACATCGGGCCGGATGCTAGCTTCACTTTTGGAAGGAGAGCGTTCTTTTGTCTTAATTTTAACCACTCTCGTCGCACATTTCCTTAAAAAAAAACCCCTTTGTTAAAAGAATAAACAATACCCGGCCCGGTTACTTACTAACAAGCTGAACTGTTGTACTCCTACCCAACCTTGGCTTCGTATCCAGCATCGAAGTAACCCCCCGTCCTCGCACAAGATTTAGACATGGCGAATAAAGTAACCGTCCCTCACATGAAGGCGTATATTCGGGCACCCGCAGGCGTCCCTGGTAACTCTTGATACCTCACCGCGGGTAAATGCAGATGGGTCACAATGGCTTTGGCTCGAGGGGTGTGCGCCAGCAGTTAGCAAGCGCGGCAAGCTTACTAGCGGGTTGCAACCGCGCATCTGCATATCGAGACAGCCGGCAGGGTTGCGCTTGGTCCATCCTACCATCCGATATCACTTCTCTGCGAGCTGGTCGTTCCAGAACGCGTCCTGATAGGCGGCGAGCGGTTGGTGAGACCCAGGTGCTGCTTGCCAGATCGCAACCGTGCCTCCGTTGACGAGGCCACTCCGGTTCTGCTGGCCAACGAGAGCCCGCTTACGCCGTCGACATGGTCCGTCCTCCCGTCTTGCAGCTGCACAGGCAAGGCGTAAAATTATGTTCCGTGGGATGAATTACCTTATCAAAGGGCTAGCGGCGTCTTGTCACTTCTGGCGATTCGCGGTCCGTGTGCGAGGAGCTCGGGGTTCGATGAGTCTCGCCGTTTGCTGCGCCTTTCCTGACATGCACAGAAAGTATTGACCCCAGCTTAGCATTTTCATCGACTGCGCCGGGCATCGTGGCGCCGACCCGGATCGGGCGCGTGCGTCGTCAGCCCAGCCGCCCGTGTATGTGACGATCAACGAGGTCGGCTTGGAGCGCTGCGCCGACGACACTTTAAATCTGGAGACGAAAGAGAAGCCAAGAAGCTGGGCGAAATAGCTTGCGAAGTACAATGTTAGCTACGGACGCAGCGAGGAAACAACATAACATGGAAGCGCAGTAGTATCAGTTATATGGTTACAAAGGCCAGCGGGAGCTTGTCCCGAAATGTAATATGTACAAGTATAATTCAAAGAGCACCCGATCAGCCTCGCCAGAGCCTAGTCGCCGTCGTCGTCGCTGTCGTTGTCAGAGTCGTCACCCTTGCCGTCCTTGCCTTTGCCCTGTCCCGCGCCCAGCACGACTGGGGTCGCGCGGGCCGACGCGGCGACCGCCTCGCCCGCGAGTGCGGCGACGGCGTCGAACTGAGCCTGCGCCACGCGCGCGTTGCCCAGGCGGGCCGTGAAGGGCCCGAATCCCCTCTCGTGAAATCCGAGCCTGGCTCCCGGGTTTGCGGCGTCCGAGACCTGGCGGGCCGACAGGGCCCAGCCCATGACGGCGTCGGCGGACGCCTGCTCCGGGCCGAGCCCGAGGGCCGGGTCGAGGCAGTCCTCGCACAGGAAGGTGTAGAGCAGCGAGGTGGCGTTGACGGCGACGCCGCGCGCGATGGGGCGGACCTTGAAGCGGCCCGTCACCTCGGGCGGGTTGTCCTCGTCGGTGGCCTGGCGGAACGAGGCCTGCACGCCGCCGCCGCCGTCGGGCCAGACGGCCAGGATGAAGTTGTCGTCCATGTCGCCGATGAAGCCCATGGCGCCGTAGCCGTTGCCGCTCGCGAGCGGGAACTGGAACTGGCCGATGAAGGAGGCCGACGTCGTGTTTTCCGGGAGCGCCATGGCGTAGCCGAACGAGGTTCGGGCGCCGAAGAAGCGCTCCATCGTCAGGCCGGTCGCCTGGTCCACGAAGGGGGCTGACTTTTGCGCAGCCGAGGATGTGGCGTCCTTGGCTTGCGTGAGCTGGCTGAAGAACGGGAGGAGGAGGGCGGTGGCTACGATTTGGAGGGCTAGAAGGTGGGAGAGCGAGGACGGAGGGCTTTTGCGCCCGGGCCTTCCGTGTTTACGTAGTAAACGAGACATGATTTTGGTGATGGTACTCTGCTATTGCGAGTAGGTTGCTCGGATCGTGGTCTCGATATGCGCACCCACCAGGTGATATGAGATAGGGGATGGGGCTATGAGGAGAAGAGCCCGAGTGGTAGCTTCGGGGCGACTGCCTATGATATTTATGCTCCCGAGATCAGCGAGGGCGCGACATCTTTCCATCCAAGACGAAGGGCGGCATGGCGGCTCGAATGGCGGCTGTCCTAACCGAGGAGGCCTAGCCGCCCCCGCCATACAGCCCGGCCGATATCCCTCATGGGGTCGGACATGGCAAGAGTGAGACACGTTGACGAGCATGTGCGGGCCATGATTGCAAGCTTGTTGTTGGGCTTTGGAGTGAAACATTACCAAGGCGGCGGCAGGGCAAGTGTTTGCGAGGAGCTGTCGATCCGGCCGTCGCCGCACGGCTATGATTGGCGAAAGAAGTCGGCTAGGATGACTATGGAGAAAAAAAGGTCTGCAGGGATGCGGTCATGGAAGCGGCTGCCTCAAGCAGAGCCCCTGCGGCCATCACAAACCAGCCCCGGTTGGGATCTATCATGTGCTTGCATTGGGATTTACACAATACACACACCAACGGCGCCGTGGAGTTTTGCTCCTTCATCCGTTTTGCCTGGAACCGTTGGAGGCAGGTCGTCGCGTGCGCACTTTCTGCTTGCGGCGGCTGGAGCCCCTCGTCCCATGTTGCATGTTGGGAAACTGGAGCTGGCGGTTGCAGATGGGTGGAACAGATGGGTTGGTTGGGTCTAGAGGGTCAGGAGGGAGTCAATGCCTCGACTGTCGGTTAAACCTGTCTTCAAATTCACATCAACTGCACTGAGGAGCACGAATTCAAGCGGGCGGCCTCACCCGCACTGGGGCTCGGCTGTCTATCCGGAACGCCAGCTTTTGGGTTAATCAAGAGGAGCGCAGTCAAGAGTGGACTTGCACGCTCGCAGCTTGTGCCGTCACTGATTAAGTGCCAAGATTGCAGAGCCGCCTAAAGTTTCTGGCCGTTGGAGTCCATCATTGCATTGGATTCTTTGCCAGGATTGATCCTGGTGGGTCAAGCAACCCACTGCCACCCCACGCCCAGACAAGAAAACCCCCATCACGAGCAGCCTTCTAGAATTCCTGGGCGTTGCTGATCCAACACATCCTCCTTCCCTTGGCGCCTTATTCGTCACGCACATCAGGCACGGCGCAGATCCGAATAGACCAGTATCGAATTGGTGCCGTTCAGGAGCATGCAGTACTGCTCGTTTGGCGACACCAACACACGGGCTGCTCCAGAGGCTTGTTAGCATGGGGACCTCTCCCTCGTTGACACCGACACACGGATTTCACCCACATCCAAGACTCCCCCAGACCCATCCGCCGCAGTTGCGCTCGTACGTCTCGAACGTGTACCTCGTGCGCGCCGTGCTCTTGACCTCGATCAGGACGGACGACGCTGACGAAGCAGCACCCTCGATCGGGTAGCACATGCGCTGGAGGCGGTGCGAGGTGACGTTCTCCTGCCCGATGTATTCGCTAGTGCATCGCTCGCCGACGTAGTAGCTGAATGCATACTGGATCCCGGTGTTGGACGGAGGGACAAGGTTCCCTATGGTTACGCGCGCTGCGGCCAACGACAGATGCATGGCGAGCAGTCTTTGTGGTGTCTGGTTCGGTACAAGATGGCGGGCTAAGAATGGACGGGTCGATGCGAGGACGATTGTTCGTCGTCGTAGGAGTGAGATGGTGGCATCTGGCAAAGAGGTTCAGGCCTCCCGAGCCCAAGGCACTTTCTAGGATGTGTGCATCTCTGTAGTCAGTGGCAGAATGGAGGCGTGGTGGCACCCGCCAAAAGCAACACCTGCCATGTGAATTGCCTCATTCTTCTGGTGCACACTTTTTAGGCTTAAATGGTTCCCCCTAAACTTTTTCCACGCCATGCGCCATTCCACTTATTGCGAGCAAGGCTTTAGCCACCGACCCTCGACGCAAGCGAATCCAACTTAACTGCGACCAGAGCGGTTCCATTAGTCGGGGATATTTCGGTTCAGGAACTTCCCTCTTGGCGCCGATTCATATTCGGTTGCTTTAACATCTAATATCGCAAGCGAGGGAGTCCTGCAGGTCGCCGCCGCCACGACGTCGCTCAACAAGGAGAATCCAGATTCCACCACTCGGCAGCGCAGGCTGTGCTTGGCAAGCCCGGGACTTTGCGCAAGGTGGATAGCCGACAGAGCTCAAATGGTGGGGATTGTTGGGGAAGATTACCATATCCGGAAATCATGGCTGATCTGCCAGGGGACTTTCTCCGCATCTTTGGAGGCTGCCCATGAGGTGAGCAACCACATCGTGCACTCGAGTTCAGCTCAGGGGTCGCTTCCTACCCTCTGGGTCCTGCAATGTGGGAGCCTCGATTCTGACACGATCTCCGGCTGCGCGTGCGCGTGTGCTGGGGAGATTTGTCCTTGCCCAAGATTGGTCGTGATGTTTGCCGAGGCCAAGTCCTGTGGAGGAGGTGCATGCAGGAGGACACCGCTCCAAGAGTGTGGGTAAATGAAGGCCTTCGACATGACTGTCCATATTAAAAGCCGTCGGCGACCTGCTCTCTGCTCCATTCTGCCAGTCCCTTGGTCCTTCCTTCCTTACCGCACCCAGCCGCGTTGCAAAAATGAAGCTCAACTCCGCCGTCCTCGCAAACGCCCTCCTGGGCCTGTGCTCGCAAGCCGCCGCGGCCCCTCCGCCCGCGAGCTGCTACGGGACGTGGACGGTCGAGGGCTTCGCCAAGGACAACCCGATCGGCAAGACTACGGGCGGCGAGGGCGGGCCGACGGTGACGGTGGACAGCGCGAGCGCGCTGGTGACGGCCGTCAAGGGCACCGAGCCGCGCGTCGTCGTGGTCAAGGGCGACATCGCGCTGCCGTCGCGGCTCAAGGTCGGGTCCAACAAGTCGGTGGTCGGGCTGGGCGGCACGGCGCACATCACGGGCGCCGGCATCGACGTCTACCACGGTGACAACGTCATCCTGCGGAACCTCAAGATCTCGCACATTGTCGGCAACGACGGCATCACCATCAGGAACACGACCAGGGTCTGGATCGACCATAACGAGTTCTTTTCCGACATCAGCAAGGGGCCGGATTTCTACGTACGCAAACTCACTCCCTCTGTTTACTGTGAAAGAAGGGCATTACGGTGTACTAACCATCGGGTGGTGACCTCACCCTTGAATAGGACGGCCAGGTCGACATCATCCGCGCGGCCGACTGGATCACGGTGTCGTGGAACTACTTCCACGACCACTGGAAGTCGTCGCTGGTGGGCAACTCGGACGCGCTGCGCGACGTGGACCAGGGCCACCTGCACGTCACATACCACCACAACCACTGGCGCAATCAGGGCACCCGGGGCCCCGCCGGCCGCTTCGGGCACCAACACATCTACAATAACCTGTACGAGGACTTCCACTACCAGGCCATCCACTCGCGCTCCGACAACCAGGTCCTCGTCGAGGGCAACGTCTTCCGCGGTAACACGACCGAGGCCCTGAGCACCTACGGGCTCGTCATCCCGATGGACTCGCCCAACACGTGCCCGTGCGGCGACGAGGAGCTGGATGGGTTCGCAAACCTGGGTGCCTGTCAGTGTCCCTCATCCCCCGTGCCATTTTCTTGCTTCAACTGGCTGGAATCGTCTGCTAACATTTGTGTAGTGAATGACTGGGGGCCGGCTACTATCAACATCACACAGACAGGCAACTTCACCGAAGCCCCTTACAAGTTCAAGCTGACGCCTCTCGAGCTGGTGGGGGAGGTGGTCAAGAAGGGGGCAGGGATTGGGAAGGTATAGGTGGTGAAGAGTGATCAACCAAGGAAAAGTTATCAAGCGTCACTGCCACACATGTAGTGATGGGACAAGCCTAGCTCTGCAGTCTGGTTTCCAAGCGAGAACGTCCAGTGATCTCCTTGACTCTCTGTAGTGAAGACCGGTCTCCACAGACAACAGATTCAATGCCGCAGCAATTCGTCAGGCATCACCTCCATCCCTATCGCCCTCCATGGTGAAAAGGTGCAGTCAAGTCCATCGCGGCTTTCAACACCGGACATGCATATCTCGGGGTGGGAGAGTGAATGGCCCCAAAGACGCCAAACATTGAATGTATACGCCTTTGACGCCGCCTTCGCCACGAATATTGTCTTTGTTCGCCGAGTACCCATGTAGGAGTATATAAGGGCCTTTTGTTGCTCCTTTCATGCTGCCATGTTGGTTTGGAGGCACCCGCAACCTCAACACTATCAGCAACACCGGTATCTGCTCTACATCCGGCAACATCCAGATTCGCTCTGCATCGCCGGTTCGCACATCTACCATCTGCCGCAGCTTGCCCTTACCGACTCTATCGTCTACCCGTCAACACCTACCTCTTGACCGACGCCTCGACTCGCCAGTCTTCAGTAGCAACAATGGCTGGAAAGTGCCCGACCCACGGCGACTACTCGGGAAAGTCGTGCACCTTCTGTTGGAAGGTGGACATGTCCGAAGAGACCCAGGAGGAGAACGATGCCTGAGCCTCCTCTCCGTCCCAAGAATGGCTGGCGGCCTGCCCTGACGACAAGAGCGACGGCTGCTGCTCCGACCACCCTGCCGCTGACGGGTCCGGACGGCCGACAGAACGCCACTGCCAGGGGGAAGATATAAGGGGAAGAATGAATGGGGGGAACTACGGCTCGCGCCTCGAAGGTATCTGTCGTATGGTGTGAGCGCGGCCGACAGATACATTGCTCGCGGATCCCCTCTGGATACCTTGTTAGGGGTCCAATCACCCAACTATAACTTATTAAAATATTATCAGATTCGAGGAACCATGCTATTAATGCTTGCGCTGTGACTGTGTTTTTGGCGGCTGTATAAAAAGGCTGCAACCCTTTGCTCTCTGACAAGAAAGATAACCTGCCCCTCAATCTTTGCACCTACAAGACTCAGCCTCTACCGTTAACTTCTTACAGATTGGCCAAGGAAAACCGCAGGCGCTTCGAAAGCCTATCTCGAGCAACAGACAGCCCTTGTGCAGATATGCAGGCCACAAATATCCTCAGCGGTGCTTCCTACCGTCAACAGAGCGATCGGGAGCCACCGCGGACGGTCTGTCCCAACTGCGGGAGGACTTTGGAGAATGGAGCGATATGCAAGAAATGCGCTTCGCGGGAGGGTGCGAGTGATAAGGAGCCACCGCAAACAGTCTGTCCCAACTGCGGGAGGACCTTGGAGCAGGGAGAGACATGCAGGAAATGCGCTCAGCAAGAGGGTGCTTGGCCGTGCACCCAGCCAGTTGACCATGTGATGCAGATTAGCCACCAGAGGGTAGGCGGGAAATGAGGATTTCGCATATACTGGTCGAAAGTGCATCGTGATCACAAAATTTCACAGATAGCAATGAACTAGGAAAGTAGAAAAACAGTATCTGCATATGCGATGCCCAAAAGAGGACGGCTACAAGAGTTTGTAATATGTACAAAGTAAAGAACAGGCTCTAGGCCTCAGAACAAGAATCCAGTTCCTCCTATCTCGACGAGAGATGACGGAGAGTCGCGCTGTGATCGACACCCCGGGTGCTCCGCGCGCCCCTGCTCATGTGTGGAATGTAAAAAATGGCTGGTTTGGGGATGCATGTCTGGTCCGAACACGTGAGTGCTGGAGAAAAATGGGAGGTGTGTGGAGGATGCTTTTTACTGCTGGGCAGCCGCCATGGCAGCGCGGCGGGCGCGCAGGGAGCGCTTCTTGTTGCAGTCGGGCCCCGGGGAGGTCGACTTTCCAGGCTGCTGGTTCTTGTCGCCGTTGCCGTTGCCGCTGTTGTTTTTGCCGCTGTTGTTGTTGTTGCTGCCGCCGTTGTTGTTGTTGCCGCTGTTGTTGGCAGGTGTGGAAGGGGCAGGGGTAGAAGGGGCAGCAGCGTTGCCACCACCAGCACCATTGGCAGCAACCTTGACGGTCTTGTCGCCGCCGGCGCCGTTGGCGGAGCCGCGGATGGTGCCGCCAGGGATGACATCAGGGCCGGGGATGACGTCGAAGGAGGTGGAGCGGCCCCAGACGCTGAAGTTGACGGCCTTGTCGGTCGACTTGTAGGCGCCGGGGAACTGCACGGCGGTGCCCTGGATCGAGGTGGCCGAGTTGCCCGTGACCTCGATCTGGGCGCAGGCGACGTAGAACTCGGCCTGGCCGTCGTGGGCGCCGTGCAGCGAGATCTGCTCGGCGCGCATCAGGTACTGGCCGTTGGGGAGCGTCTCGGGGATGGGGGCCGAGATGCCGCCCTCGCCCCACATGCACCAGGCGGTGCTGCGCAGGCTCTCGGCGTTCCCTTGCTTGCAGATGAGGGCCTGGTGGATCTTGTACCAGTCCTTGCCGCTGTCGGCCTTTGCGTTTGCCACGGGGCTGACGTAGACCTGGACCGAGCCCGGGTGCTCCATGCGCTTGGCGCCGAAGCCGAGGTTGAGGCTGACCATGTCGTTGGCCTTGACCTTGAGCACGTCGGGCGCGGGGCGCGCGTTCTTGTTGCACGCGAAGCCGGCGTCGTTGGGCGTGATGGAGCCCTCGGGCGTCTTGTTGAACTTGATGGGGAGGTAGTAGTTGTCGTGCTTGCGGATGTACTGGTTGTCCCCGCCGACCTGCTTGCCGCCCACGGCGATCTTGTCCCAGGTGAAGTGGGCGCTGCCGACGGCGGCGAGGCCGGCAAGAGCGAGGAATCCGGTGGTCTTCATGGTGATGGTTGGTTGGGAGATGAGGTCTCGGTTGGAAAAAGAAGGTGAGGATGGGGTGATGGAGCAGGGTACGTCGAGAAACAATAAAAAAAAGATGCGAGATGTAGCGATCGGACGTCAAGTCGTCGTATAGGAACGAAGCGAAATGCACTGGGCAGTAATGGCCAAACTATGGGCAAAGGAGCGTATGCAAAAGAAAACTGTTGCTGAGCAGGAAATGCAAAAGGAGAGACTCTCAGTGAGGTGGTGGGTGAGATATCAAAAGTGACAGCCGAGGGAGACGGCAACAGCCCCTTATATATCGCACCTTGCAGCCGCAGTTGGTGGCCAGGGCACCACCACAACCGCAGTTCATGGCACAGGGCCGGCGCGGTGTTGCCGTCCGTCCGTCGGTGCCGTCTCCCTGGGCCAGCAAGCTGCCCTGTGGTGCCATTGCCCATGTCGTCTCCCCCATCGCTTGCCCCTAGTGCCTGGCAGGGCGGGCAGCGCCTCAGATCCGCGGCAGGGATGGGGGGTGAGGTCAGTTGGGAGCGCGCCCCTGTCTCGTCGACAGGGTGCGCCTCGCCCGATGCCGTCTTGGCAAGTTGACAAGTTCCTCCACGACGGAAAAAGCAGCTGTCAAGCTAAAACACAAGCGGTTTCGTTTGGCTCGACCTTGGTGAGATAACAGGAGAGGTGCATTGGTTCATCCCATTGGCGGCCTTGTTTTCCCCGTCGTTTCCTATTTTGTTTCTTCGGCCCTGTCAAGATGGAGCATGGCAGGTGGTGCCGATGTAGGTCGGACAGAGAGGACGAGGCTCAAGATCGCCTATCACTACTAATCATCTGCCAAAATCATTGTCCTATTTGATACGTGCTTGTAAACGACAAACGACATGCGGCTAGGTATGTCTGGTGTTTGCGTCACTTTCCTACCTCATTCTTCATCGCATCAGCCAAGGTAACGCCACACTCACGCCGCCCTCTGCATGAAGCTGATTCGTCCCATGCTGCCAATGTGGAGTTCCCCAGCAGCATTGATGATGGCCGTGGCCGTGCGCTCCGCCGTGCCCGCTGCTCCACTGGGCAGGCCAGGACTCCCTGCCCACCTCGGCGATCTCCCGGTGTGGTAGCAAAGTGACACTCGATCTCAACAGCCGCAAACCCTCAACTCTTTCCTCATGGCAGGGATTTCGTAGGAACAGGCTCGTGCGGGGATCCAGGTTTCTCAATCATTAGTGGGCCGAGATAGCAGTATCCCTTCGAGTGCCGTTAAACCCCATCCGCCGATCTCGCGATGCGTTAGCCAATAAAAACGTTCATTTTTTCGGTACTTCCATCTGCACCTTTTTTAGCCCGTGATAGAAGTACCAGCACAAGTCATCATTACAAAGCGGTACGTTGCAATACTCGCACCGCGCTCCTGCAAATTCGTACCTCCGAGTTACAACAACAAACATGGGTGCCTTTGCCGATCGCCTTCCTATCCGGGCAACATGGGGTTTAACGGCGATCCAAATGTCGCATTAACAGCGTCATCTTACGACGGACCACAAGCCAAGACTTTCAAGTGTGATCAGGGAATACCTACAGCTGCCCGGGCTGTGGGGAATTGGTCGTTGTTATTTTCAGTTGCTTCATGTTCCAGCTCGTGCGGCGTGATTTTGCCTCGGCCGAGTGCTGAATGATGGCGGCTGCATTAAGGGGCTCTCGCGTGTGCTCCAAAAACGGCTTTTTTGACATGGGCGTGGATGTTGGGCTGTCAGACCTAGCGGAGCACATCAAAGGGCACAAAAATAACCACACAGGCACAAAGGACAAAGGGCTCGTTGATCCACAGCACACTGATTCGGACAATTTTTGTGTCCCCATTGTGATCGAAATTGGCGGGCTGAGCTCGGCACCTCGACCAAAAAAAAAAAACTGCAGCCCGCAGAGGACGCCAGGAAATCCTCCACGCTCGGCGGCTTGCGCCTTTAACCAGCACATGGGGGACATGCCTACAACGGCTAAAGGAGATTGCAAAGCCATGCGGCTCCGTGTGGCGACAGGGGGAAGCCAACCCCATCTCAGCCTTGGCGCGTTTCACAGCGACGTTGTCGAGGGGCGTTGGGCCAAGTGCGGTGGGTGGGGTTGAAGGCAAGAGCCGACCCTGCATTAACCGCCCGATAGCTCCTGTTAGCGTATCCCCTTCACGTGGCCTCTTTCTGGGGCAATGATTCGGCTTCCGTGGACAGCGGCGGCGGCGGTTGAGCACAGGGTCAGCCTGGCTCGGGGATCGCCGGCTGTCCCGGACAGCTTGGAGGGGCCGAGGTGGTGGGACACAGGCGCCGGGCTTGAGACGATATTGGGCAGTTATTCCTTTGCGTGCATTGCCGTGGGCGCCAGCCTGGGGCCGATGCCGTCACCAGTGCCGTCGTCCTTGGCCAAAGTAATCTGGCCGCGACGACGGGCTTCTTGGCCTGCAAACACTGCTGCAAGAACAACCGGGTCTTCCCCTATTGACAACGGTGAGTAGTAAAAGTATCGGGGTTGGTGGCCCTTCGGTGGAAGGCGAAATTTCCGGCGGGCGGAATATGTTCGATGCTGGGGCCGATCCTTCGACTGGGGGGCGGGTTGCAGGGCATGAGATGCTCGGTGGCGACAGGGAAGCCGTCAATCTTCCTTCTCGAGTCATTTAAGCCTGTGGTTTTGGACTTGAGTGAGATGCCATCTGCACTGTCACTTCTCCGTGCTTCCACCGCCACCGCACCAAATCTTGCGTGCCATCTGTAGATGTTAAAGCCCGTCTCGTTCTCGCCAGCCTCCTGGTACGTATGTTTTAGCAGCATTTTATTCTCTCCTTGAGCGTTTATTTCGCCCTTTAATGGGGTAGAATCCTGTGTTTAGTCGTGCGGCTATCAAACCGAGCAATTGCTCGTCTCCTATCTGGGATTCCTTGGTTCGGCCATGCTCAGATATGGAAGAGTGGGCATCTGTTGCATGTCCAAACAGTCATGTGTGCGGAATGCCGAAGATACGATCGGTGTCACGATGACAAAACTGAGGCTTCCCCAACTGTTCAGCTTTAGCAATCAGCATCGCGTCCCTGTTCAAGGGCGTGTTCCTTCATCCGCAGCTACCTAGATATCTAGCACTGAGAACCCACGCCTCTAGGTTATCATATGTGCATCCTGTCTTGCGTCACTATGTTTGACTCCAACTTGCGAGTCACCACGCAAGCTCAGCTTGGTACTGGCCGGTGCGCCCGTGGGCTACCGCTGGTTTTTGTGGCATACCACTTGAAGCGCCTCCAGCGCATCCTTCTCTGTGCTTGAGCGTTTCCTATGGCGGATCGCAGTCCGAAATATTGCAGAGGCATCAATCTGTATCGTTTTGGGACCACCAGCCTCGTCCATCTCGTATCACTGTCATGCTTGCCAGTATAGCCGTACAGTTGGTGCAACGTGAGAGCGCAGGGTGGCCGCAGGGTGGCTTGGGATGGATTGGGGCTGGTCGTATATTAATATTCTCGGGGTGGCAGCTACTGGTGGCAGGCTCCCGCGGTATGTCACCCGCACCCTCGGTAGGAGGCCGTTCCGAGGCCTAACTGTGAGGCAGTTTAACTCCTTATTGACCTTCCCTTGAGACCTCGAGATTCAAGACGTCGCGAATCTGCGGGGCTACGAGCAAAGCAACCAAAGTCAAGTCCCAACACGGCGACAAGGCGCAGCACCCATTGCATCAAAGGGAAAAAAAGAAAACACTGCCATCAACTCGGACACGGAGATTGTGCTCCCGCCCCGCCATCTTGGCAACCACCTAGGCCTTGATGGTGTACATCTGGGAGTTGGTGACACCGAGCGAAGCGTCAGGAACTCGCTCGTAGTCGGCCGCGGTGGTCGGGCCACCACGGTAAACCTCTCCGAACCAGTAGCGTCCTCCGGTGCTTCCGCTGTTAGTGCCTGCGTTGTCGGTGGCGTGGCATGATCAGCTTAGTTTCTCACTAGTGCATCGACATGGCACGGCAAATACAACCAGGCGGCATACCTTGGTAGCTTGCAGTGGAGGTGCAGTCTCTGAAGCCCTGGCATTTCTCCAGGATGTGGGCGTTCCAGCTCTCAGCGTCGTACGCGGCCAGCTCGGCGTTGTAGGCCGCGATCACGTTGCTGGGGTACAGGCGCGAGGCCGTGAGCCAGTTGTTGGGGGCCGGGAGGTCCACCTTGACCAGGACCTTGGCGGCGGCGGCGGCGACAGTGCTCACGTTGGGGGTCGGCAGAGCCAGCGCGCTCGAGGCGGCGCCAAGGAAGAGAGCGATGGTGGCGGCGAAGTACATGTTGGCTAGGGGTCGAGTTGATGGCTTTGGGCGAGACGGAACGGAAATCGGGCCGGCGTAGGATCCTGGAGGTCTGGCTTGGCGAGGGCAAGAGGACGGACGAGGACGAGGCTTGCCAAGAGATCGCGGACCGGCCCTTTTTATGGTTGAAGAGGTCGTGATGCGGCAGGGGGCTGGGTGTGAGCCTCCTGCCTAAAAGGGGAGGTCAGGCAATCCGGCTTGTGGGCAAAGTAGCATCAATGGCAAAGCAACCCACTTGTGCTGGAACCATGTGATATTGAGAGCAAGGCTGTCCTCACAGCGGGGAACGAAGCAATCCATCGCGCTGGATCCACGGCCTTCAGCAGCTCGATTGGGAGCGAGTCGATCGATACAGGCCCGCAGCAATCTCCATCCGAAATGCGTGCCTCATGCGCAATGACGACTTGCTATCTTTTGACGCGTTGCTCTACGATGAGGCTCTTTTCGACCCGAGCTGATAAGAAAGGCCATCTCGAGTGCGGAGGAACGCACTCGCTGCCGGCGTGTCTATCGGACATCTGTCGGAGCGAGCGGAAATCGTCGTGTTGGGCCATTGGGCCTGGGCATGGAGACTGCTCGGGTTTCTGTTTTCTATTATGGAGCACTGGTCTCTGGTAGTTCATCAGGTCTTGCCAGAGTTGTTAGTGCTCCTGCCTTCTTCATCAACAGAATCAACCCCTGCGACCTTTAGCGGATGACCGTAGGTATGGCTGATATCTCGGTAGAAAAGAACGGGGATTATATATACTTGGAGTTGTCCTTTTAAAGGCAGGACGGTCCCATACTCTGGTCATGTATGTTTATTCCCTGCCCAAGACCCAATGGGGGCGGTGTACCCCCACTCGGAGTGGAGAAGCGCGACCCCGGCCGGACACACTGCCGCTCCAGATTCCCCTACCTCGGATATCTCCATCTTTCTCCGCCACGCATGGTTCGGAGAAGTAACCGACTTCCGACAGTCCTGTTCCCCCCGCTTGGCCGTTTTCGATACACACCTCCCATCTTTAGACCTGCCCTAAGGTCTTCAATATGCCTCGGCCTCGGCTCAACTTCCTGGCGCAGGATGTGCCGGGTGGTGCAGAGATGAAGGCTTCAACCAGGGAAGTCAGCTGGGACGAGCTGCGCCAGCACAGCACGAAGGAGTCTTGCTGGGTCGTTATCCATGGGAAGGTCTGGGACGTGACTGGTAAGTGAAAAGCATTTACCCGGCAATCCTGGCGCTTGGCATGTTTGCGTGCTCACTTTGCTGTCACCTCACCAGGCTTCATCAATGCCCACCCTGGCGGCGCCCAAGTCATTTTGAAGCACGCCGCGACCGACATGACCCGGCCCTATGCGGACGTCCACGACGAGGAGCTGGTAGAGAAAACCCTACCATCGGCTGCCTTCATCGGCAAGTGCGACGAGGCATTGGCCGAGAAGATCAGCACCTGGGATTTCGTTGAGCGGGACCCCGGCTCGGGCCCGCGCCTGAACGCCATCCTCAACCTCGACGATTTCGAGAAGGCGGCCAAGGCCTACCTCTCCCCGGAGGCCTGGGCCTACTACTCGTCCGGTGCCGAGGACGAGAGGTCCCTTGGTGAGGCGCGGGACATTTTCTCCCGCGTTACGCTTCGGCCGCGCGTTCTCCGGGACGTGAGCCGCATCGACACCTCGCGGGAGATCCTGGGCCGGTTCTCGCCGCTCCCCATCTACATCAGCCCTACCGGCCAGAGCCGCTACGCCCACCCGGACGGCGAGCTCTGCATCAGCCGCGCCTGCGGCGGTGAGGGAATCCTCTGGTGCATGCCCACGACCGCCAACCACGACAGAATCTGCCGCGGGCGCGTCCACCCCCAGCAGCCGCTGGCCCTGCAGCTATATACAGGGAGGGACTATGAGAAGACGCGCGCACTCCTCCTCCAGGCCAAGGCTCTTGGCGTCAGCGCCATCTTCCTGACCGTCGACAGCCCCGTCATCGGCCGTCGGGAGCGGGACGACCGCGTCAAGGTGGCCAACGGCGAGGACGTCCTGGTGGCCCAAGGCACCGCCAAGGCCGGCAGCCTTCACCTGCTGAACCCGAGCCTGACGTGGGAGGACCTCGGCTGGATCCGCGAGACGACGGGGCTGCCTCTGGTCCTCAAGGGCGTGCAAACGGTGGAGGACGCCGTCGAGGCCTACAACCGCGGCCTCGACGGCATCGTGCTGTCGAACCACGGCGGCCGGTCCTTGGACACGGCGCAGTCCCCCATGATGGTGCTGCTCGAGATCCGCAAGCACGCGCCGCACCTGGTGGCGGACGTGGCCGTCAGGCGCAGGTTCCAGGTCATGGTCGACGGCGGCTTTCGCCGCGGCACCGACATCATCAAGGCGCTGGCGCTGGGCGCGTCGGCCGTCGGGATCGGCCGCCCGTCGCTGTATGCGCTCACGTGCTCGTACGGCGAGGAGGGCGTGGCCCGCATGATCAACATGCTGCGCAACGAGATCGAGACCAGCATGGCGCTCTTGGGTGCCAGCAGGCTGGATGAGCTGGTGCCGGCCATGGTGAACATCGAGCGCCTCGAGCACGAGGTGCAGCCCAGGAGCAGACTGTGAATAGGCGGGGAGGAAAGATGGATGGGGCAATGGGACCATGTTCATGCGAGGAATACTGCGGAATGCCACGGCTACCTACAGGTATGCAGGCAGAAGCTGCCGGTAGGGCAATGACGGGGTACATGTGGCCTTGGAGGAAATGCCATGGCGCCGCCGAGATCGGCGATCCAATCACAGGGCGGGAGGGCTTCCTGAAGAGGCAATCAACCGATCTTTTGTTGGTGGTGGGCGAGGAGGCGCCTGTAAAACCTTGAAGGCGGCGACCACATGGCCAGGGCCATTTGGGACGCGAAACCACGTTGCCAGTAAAAAAAAGAAAGAAAGAAAAAGGGGATAAAAATACACAACACCCACACATGGGGACAATGATGAACGGTGAGCCAGCTCATCTATTGTGAAGTCCCTCGGTTCCAGGGGCTGCATGCAAAGAGTCCGTACCCCAGAGCCCAAACTGTGCGGAATTCTTGCCGGAAACTTGGGGGAAATTGGGGTAAGCTCCAGCAGCCCCAGCCATCTCTGCCCCAGCATCGCGGGGGTTGATCCCCCACTCAGGGGGCCCCAGCTGACGCTGCCTTGCTAATAGTCTTGATTTCTGACCCCCACAAAGCTGGGGGTCGGGTTGGTGTCGGTGAAGGAGAGTGGGTGGAATGGCGGGCGCGAGGCATGCGCAGACATAGCTATCACCTCTCAAGGAACGATTCCTGGCAATGAAGTTAGGCGGTTTCGAGCTTATGCTGGAATCAAGCGTTGCCTGCCTCGTGCCCGGCCTTGGGCTGCCGGTTTCCATGTCTTGTACATGACATAAATGCCAGCTCGGAGCAAACAAAACACAGTACTATGGAAGCTCTTCACGCGGAGTTGACATCTGATGCCGAACAGACCCCCATATTGCCAAGGAAAGGCCACCGCAAAATAGAGGGGATGGTGAGATTGATCTGGGGTAGAATTGCTGGCATAGTGACAGGCGATGGTTGAATCCACCTCAGAGAGGAGAAAATCCTTCTGGCCTGGGGGCCAGTGGATATCTCCACTTTGGGGAGTTCCTTGGGGAAAGACTCGGACTGACTCGCATCCGACGGGCCATCCGGCAGCGAGCCTTAAGAAGATGAAGAGAGCCGCCCTCGAGGCCCCCGAGAAGCACGACGAGGCCACCCCGACGACGTGCAGCTCACTCCCCGCCCGTCTCCCGCAGCAGCACGAGGAAAGCCAGATCGCACGCACGAGCCTCGAGAGGAGCCAGAATGTCCGACAAAGACAAGGCCACGGGGCGTCCGTCGCTGGAGCACTACGACGATGATGCAAACGACAAGCCGGCCGCCGCCGGCGCCCTCAGCGTCGGCGTCAACGTCATGCCCGCCAGCCTGGCCGCGCTGAGCCAGGAGGAGTACGACCGGCTGGGCAAGCGGGCGACGCTCAAAATGGATCTGGTGATAATGCCCATAATGGTGATAATGTACATTTTAAACTATTTGGACCGCCAAAACATCGCCTCGGCCAAGCTGGCCAACATCGACAAGGACCTGAACCTTAGCACTGTCGACTACCAGACGACCGTGTCCATCCTTTTCGTCGGCTACAGTGAGTATGACATGCTGGGGCGCGGATGAGTTTGGTAGGATAAGAGAGAAGGCCAGGATGGTGGGCTGACCGAAACCAAAAAAAATGTAGTCCTGATGCAGATCCCTTCAAACATGATTGTCAACAAAATCGCATGGCCTGGGCTGTACATCTGCGCTGGAATGGGGGCATGGGGTATCATCAGCGCTCTGATGGCCGTGGTGCATAACTGTAAGTCCAGCCTCTGATATAGATTGCGCGCTGGCGGACGCTGACCAAAGGTGTCGACAGACGGTGGACTGCTCGCCGCGCGCATCTTCCTCGGCTTCGTCGAGGCCATCTTCTTCCCCGGAGCGCTCTACTTCCTGTCGCTCTTCTACAACCGCCGACAGTTCGCCTTCAGGACCGCCATCCTGTACTCGGGGTCGCAGCTCGGCAACGCCTTCGGCGGCCTCTTCGCCATCGGCATCCTGAACCTCGACGGCCGGCAGGGGCTCGCGGGCTGGCGCTGGCTGTTCCTGGTCGAGGGCGTGCTGACGACGGCGCTCGCCATCGCCTTCGGCTTCGTGCTGCCCAACTCCAACAAGAAGATTGCGACGCTGTCGGAGCTCGAGTGCGAGTGGGTGCAGTGGAACTTTGTGTCGGACCAGGGGCAGGAGGACAAGTCGGACGAGATCACAGCCATAAAGGGCCTGACGCTGGCGCTGACCGACGTCAAGACGTGGCTGCTGACCGGGATTCTATATTCGGTATGTGACCAACCTGTTTGTGTGCGTGATGCGTGGTTGGTGCCACGGCAGTGCAGGATTGGATGGCTGACGCTCGAACGAAACGCCCGATAGACCTACATCGTCGGGGCCGTCGTCAACTTCTTCCCCTCTGTGGTGGGCGGGCTGGGATACGACCGCAACACGACGTACGGGCTGACGGCGCCGCCCTTTGTGCTCTGCGTTTTCTGCATGCTCCTCAACGGGTTCCACTCGGACCGGACGCAGGAGCGTTTCTGGCACATCGTGGCGCCGCTCTTCGTGACGCTGGCGGCCAACATCATGGCCGTGTCGACGCTCAACACGGGGGCGCGCTACACGGCCATGATGCTGCTGCCGGCGTCCTTCTACTCGAGCGCCGTGGTGACGCTGTCGTGGATCACGGGCACGCTGGCGCAGCCGGCCGCCAAGCGCGCCAGCGCCATCGCCCTCATCAACGCGCTCTGCAACACGCCAAACATCTGGGCCAGCTACCTGTACGGCGGCGCCCCCCGCTACCTCGTCGCCTTCATCGTCAACCTGGCCGCCACGGGGCTCGCCATCGGCTTCGCGGCCGCCACGCGCGTCTACCTCGGCCGCCAGAATGCAAAGATTGAGCGCGGCGAGGACCTAGGCAAGAACGGGCCGACGCCGGCGCAGGTGGCGGGCGGGTTCAAGTACCTGCTGTGAGCAGCGTCGGCGGTTGGGTGGCTTTCTTGTCTGGCGATAGAAGAGATGGTCTTTGCCGAGGGAGGAGTGGCCAGTCGAGTAGATGAGGTAGGATGAGTGTGCATTCTCACTGCAGACCACCCACACACAGTAGGTGTGCAGTGTGCAGTGGTACTGAAGGGTCAGGAACGGCTCTCTGTTAGCTCAATGAAGATGACAGGCAGGTGTAATGAATCAATCCCGACTGCAAAAGTTTTTATGGCTCCAAATTAGTGTGTCAAGAGTCGCCCCAAGTCCCCGAGACAATCGATTGACCAACACACGTCTTGGAACGGCTTCCTCTCGGCACAACTGTCATGCCGAGCTCCGCCACAAATGGAAGCCTGCTCAGCAGGGGCGGGTACGGCAGTCGCGTGGTTCGTAGCAACGGCTCGCAGGCGGGATCCCGTCATGGCAGTAACACCAATCATTGACACCAATCGAGCCAGCTGAACCCCTGTCCCCCGCCTTCGACCGCCAGGGACAGACCTCGGCATAGGCGGGCACGTGCGCGAGGGGGAGAGGCCCCGGTTTTGTTAGGCGACACCCCAATCCCGCCACTCTGAGGCCTCAACACTTGCTTGTTGTTGCTCCGCACTACGTCGCACGCGCGTAGGCCCCCATGCTCACACACCAAGAGCTGGGGCTGCCCTTCTGGCGCCAACTTGAGGACGTGCGGAGTTTGTGCGGGTGATACGCCATACGCCTATCAACTTTGTTTTGGGTTCGACAAAGTCTCCATCCCAACGCTACACTATACACTCCCGGCCGAGGAGTGAGGGCGCGCAACAGCACCAGCAAATTGGTTCCGTTCTTGGTCCCCTGTGAGAGGGGCGTTTTTGGGAATACGCTCGTTTTCGCACTCAACGCCTCTCCTGGGACGAAAAAAAAGCAACGCTAAAAAAAAACAAAGCCAAGAAAAGAACAAAAAGGCTGCGTCAAACTGGCTGCCTCGCCGCGGCCGAGATGGCGCCGATTGAGGCAGCCGATGGCCCGCCTCCGCCCGTTGCCAGGCGTAGGACGCACCGCAAGTCTCGCTTTGGCTGCACGTACTGCAAGGGCAGGCGTATCAAGGTACGCTCGTTATCTTCCTTGGTGATGGCCCCTGGCGAGACCCCAGAGACCCCGCGTCTTGTCACAATGGGTGGCGCTTTTCGTTCATGGCATGGGGGTCGATGTTGCTGTTCTTGTCTGCGACTCTCAAATCAAAAGGGATGTCTTGTTGACTCGCTCACTCCCCCTCTCCACCAAGTGTGACGAGCTGAGGCCGGCATGCTCAAACTGCCTGATCCGAGGGCTCATCTGCAGCCTCAGCATGGCCGGGTCGACGCCAGCCCCCGGCCCAGCGGCGCCCGGTCCCGCTGACGGCAGCGCCCCTCCGCCAAGCGTCACGGTGCCAGCGCCGCTCGTCTTCGCCGACGCCCTCCCGCCGATCCGCTCCCCGCAGCAGCAGTCCCAGCAGCCAATGTCTGGCGGCGCTCCCAGTTTCGGCCTCTTCCCGCTCGGTAGTCTCGGCACCCTCGCCCTGGCCGCCTCAAGCCCGCGGGCCGCCCTCGGGCAGCCGGACGGCGGCCCTCCCAGCGCGGGTGCTCCTCACCCGCCCAACTCGGCAGGGCTGGTCGGCGGCGGCCCGCCGCCGCCCTTCCACTCGCCCATCGACCGGCGGGTCAGCCTCGCCAGCGGCACCTTTTCGGCAGGCGGCTTCATGAGCGCAGGGGGCGGCGGCGCAGGCGGGAGCCTCGACATGACGGACCTGGAGCTCTTCCACCACTTCGTGACCTTCACGGCCGTCACCTTCGGGCACGCCCGCACCATCCAGCGCTTCTGGGCCATCACGGCGCCGCAGACGGGGTTCAGTCACCCCTTTGTCCTGCACGCCATCCTGGCCGTCGCGGGCCTGCACATGGTGCAGCTGGCGGCCGACCCAGCGCGCCGCCAGATGCTGCGGCGCAAGGTGGACGAGCACTGGGATGTGTCGCTGCGCCTGGCCACGCCGCTGCTCGGCGACTTCAACGACGGCAACTCGGACGCCCTGCACGTCTTTACGAGCCTCACCTGCCTCTACATCTTTGCGCGCGGGCCCCAGCCGGGCAGTTTTCTGCTCTTTGATGCGGAGCCCCCGCCGCCGCCGCCGCCGAGTGCGCAAGACGTTGCTGGGCCCGGCGGCGGCGGGGTCGAAGGCGGCGTGCACGACAGCGACGGGCTCACAGCAGGCGGCGCCGTTGCCGGCAGCGTGAGCAGCCACGGCGACTACGGCATGACGGCGGCGGCGGTGGCGGCGGCGGTGGCGGCGGCGCAGGGCGCGAGCAGCACCGAGGAGTGGCTGGTGTTCTTTAGGGGACTGCGCTCGGTCATGAAGGCGACCAAAACGGCGCAGCAGGCGCACGGCGGCGGCGGCGGCGGCGGCGGCGGCCTCGGCCCGCGCGAGGAAAAAAAGAGTTGGGGGCTGATCGACCAGATGTTCGGCCCGGACGCGACGGCAGAGGACATGGAGCACGACGAGCACATGCTGGACTCGGACGACGGCGAGGACGAGGACATGGCGGATGCTGAGGACTCCAAGGACCACCTGCAGCAGGGTGGCCACGGCCACGGCCACGGCCACGGGCATCACCACCACCACCACAGCCACCACAACCATCACCAATATCACGACGGATCATCCGTCAACGACGGCTCATCCATCGGCGACCTCCCACACATTTCCCACCCCCACCCCTCCCTCCGCCGCAGGCGCTCTAGACGCGAGAGCTCCCACCTCGGCAGCGACAACAGCAGCGGCGTCGGCATCGGCATCGGCAGCAGCAGCGGCGGCGGCGGCGGCTTCGCGGCGCGCAGCGAGCCGATGCGCGACCTGCGCGACGTGATCCGGCAGCAGGTGGCGGCCGGCGACCCGGACCGGGACGTGTACGCGTCGGCCTTTGCGGCGCTGGCCACGTCCTTCGCCACCGTCTTCGACGCCGACATGAACCCGCGCCACCGGAGCGCCCAGGTCGTCTTTGGCTGGATGTACCACGTCTCGGACGACTTTGTGGCCCGCGCCCGGAACCGCCGCCCCGTCGCGCTCGCCATCTTTGCCCACTTTGTCGTGCTGCTGCGCGTGCTCGAGCTGGGCTGGATGACGAGGGGCTGGCCCGAGCACCTCATCGCCGGCATCTACGACGCCCTGTCGCCTGCCGAGAGGCTGTGGATCAGATGGCCCATGGAGCGCGTCGGGTGGCTGCCGGGGTGAGCGCGAGTTGCCGACGGATAGGAGTTGGGGGAGTGGGTGGGGAGTGTGTCTCCCATGTCATGTATGTTTCGGCGGCAACCGTCAACTTGGGTTTGGGGCGTCTGGAGCGTAGCATGTCCTTTATACCTGTATTCTCCTCTCGAGCATGTAATCATATAGTCTCTGGGCTCACAGGACCTTACCGTGTCCATCGCGCTAGTCATCAGTGTTTTTTCAACAGCACCCTTTTTCACATTTACCCAACAAAAAACCGATCGTCAAATCGCTTTAGTTTTTTTATACCTGCCGCTACGTAGGAACTCTATAAGGATCCAAGGGGTGAATCAATGAAAAGACGGCGAAGAAATAAGCCAGAAAGCCCCTCATTCTCTAATGCGCACTTGTCTGTCCACGTTCCCCGGTCTATGTAGCTGACCACACGTTAACCCAATGACGCCCAAGGAAACCCCAAACTAACCAAGGAGAAGGCCCACTGAACAAGGTCCGGGAAAGAAAAGAGATGGGAAAAAAGAAGACAGAAAAAAGGGGGGGGGGTCAGGCGATACGACCGTCAACCCGTCTCAAGCTTCCATCTAGAACCGATGAGTCTTTCCGTTGACGCCGTTGGCGGTGGTACCGTTCTTGTGCTCGGCCAGCACGTCGGCCGTCACCTGGTCGAGACAGCCGGCGCTGGCGGCGACGAGGCCGAGGAAGGGCTTGCTCGGGTCGAGGACGCGGCTGAGGTACTCGGGGTGGTACTGGACCCCGACAAAGTAGGGGTGGCTCTTGAGCTCGACGATCTCCATGCGCTCGCCCTTGTCGTCCTTGCCGAGGAACTCGAGGCCGGCGGCGTGCAGGCGCTCGACGACGGCCGGGTTGACCTCGTAGCGGTGGCGGTGGCGCTCGCTGGCGACGGCGCCGCCGCCGTAGAGGGTGCGGATGCGGCTGCCATCGCTGCCCGGCTGGAAGTGCGTGTCGTGCAGGCCCAGGCGCATGGTGCCGCCCATGGTGGTCTTGTCGATCTCGGGCATGAAGATGATGGCCTTGTGCTCGGCCTGCCCGTCGAACTCCTCCGACGTCGCGCCCGCCAGCCCGCACACGTTGCGCGCGATCTCGATGACGGCGAGCTGCATGCCCAGGCAGACGCCCAGGTACGGCACGTTGCTCTCGCGCGCCCACCTGGCCGCCGCGATCATGCCCTCGGTGCCGCGCGTGCCGAAGCCGCCGGGGACGAGGATGCCGTTGGCGCCGCGGACCTTTGCCCAGGCGGTGTCGTGCGTGGCCTTGTCGGCCGACGGCTCCAGGTGCTCCGAGTCGACCCACTGCAGGTCGAGCTTGTGGCGGCACCGCATCGACGAGTGCTCCAGTGCCTTTATCACCGACAGGTACGAGTCGTGGAGCTCCGTGTACTTTCCGACCAGCGCGATGGTGACCGTTCCCAAGTTGTCGCCCGCAAGCACTCTATCCTTCCACAGTGACCACATCTCGGATCCGTGCTGCACCCTGCTCGGCGTCGGTGTGATCTGATCAAGTCCCATGGAAGTCTCTAACAGGGGTATGAGTCCCTGCTCGTGAAGCAGCATGGGGACTTGGTAGATGGACGGCATGTCGTGGACAACAAGGACCTGCTCCGGCTCGAGCTGGCAGTGAAGCGCGATCTTGTTGACGGTTCCCTTCTCCAAGCCCGTCTCGCACCGACAGCACAGAAGATCGGGAATCAAGCCGGCGCTGCGGACTGTCTTGACCGAGTGTTGGGTGGGCTTGGTCTTCTGCTCGCCGTGGATCAGGGGTACGAACGAGACGTGGATGCTGAAGAAGCCGTTCCGACCGTAGCGGTGACGCAGCTGCGTGAGCGCCTCGACGAACGGCATGGACTCGATGTCGCCTACGGTGCCGCCGAGCTCGATGATGCAAACGTCCGGCTCCTCACCCGAATCGTCGATAGGGATCCGGGCAACGCGCTCGATGCGCTCCTGGATGGCGTTTGTGATGTGGGGCACGATTTGGACCGTCTTGCCAAGGAAGTCGCCCTTGCGCTCCTTGTCAATGACCTCCTTGTAGATCTGGCCCGTGGTGACGCTGTGGCCGCGCGTGAGGTTTACGTTGAGGTATCGCTCATAGTTTCCAAGATCGAGGTCCACCTCGCCGCCGTCGGACAGCACAAAGCACTCTCCATGCCTACGGGCGTCTTGCGGTCAGCAAGACAGTAGAGAAACGGGGCAGCAGGGGCGCAACGATCAGGAGCCAGCGATGCCAACTGACTCCAGTGGGTTCATGGTGCCCGCGTCGACATTCAAGTACGGGTCGATTTTGATCGCCTACAAGTAGCGACGCGGATCAGTATCACTATTACGAGTGCGACAGGCAGCTAGAACGAGCAAGCCGTGGCAGGTATACAGGTAGGCGGGCATATCCTTACAGTGACCTTGAGGCCAATCGACTTAAGCAGCAGGCCGGTCGAAGAGGCTTTTTACACCCACGTGCGCTCATGTCAGTTGAATGGTGCAGCAGCGCCGCCCTCGAGCCGAGGGTCATACCAATAATGCCCTTGCCCACGCCGCTGATGACGCCTGGTTCACAGTTAGCCGTGATCTGGTAGATGGTATATATGATGAGTGGGCAGGCACATACCTCCGTTCACTACGATGTACTTCATACTGGCGGTAGTAGTGAGATGTGACTAGTGGGTGATGGGAAAAGCGCAATTAAGGGCAGGCAACAAATGCTGATGAGCAAAAGGACTGAACAAAGGAAGAAGACGATTGGGGAATGAGAGGGATAGTTTATGCGCCGGCGTGACAGCCCAGTGCAGCAAAGGAATAGGACTATCCGGGCTGGATTGCTAATGCTGGGCAGCAAAGAAAAGTTTGGCGGGGTTTTACGGAGAAGCACGGCGGAGGGGAAGAAAATTTCAGCCCCTCAGGCGTGGAACGCGTAAAAGTCCCATAGTCACGTGTGCATCTCTCCACCCAGAAGCAAACTGATCCAGACCTTTGCACGAGATAGCCACGCTGTCACGTGTATGCGGCGTGGTGATGATGAAAGGGCGCTTTGAGAGTTCATCAGTGCAGCCGCCCTGGACAGGTCAGGTGATGGCCACACCAGCGGCAAAGGGTAAGAGGAAGAAAGAAATGTTCAACAAAGGACAGCGAAATTGGCCGAGTTTTTACACACCCTCTAACATTCGGTTCTAGATTGATAGATCCCAGCGATCCCCTCATCGAATCCGCATGTGCCTCCACGCCATCTCGATGCGACCCTCGCAATCAGCGGCGTGTTCGGGGTGGTGCCCGGCCACGGTGGCCCGCGCACGGAAGTCCGGCATTGCGGCCGTCCGAGCAAAGTGTTGGGCCTGTAATCCAAGCACGCGGCCAAGCAAGGTGTGTGCTGTAGGTGTAGTCAGACAAATGCGACGAACCACTGCTCATCATCACCCTATTGCGCATCCCCGTTGCTGGAGGCGGGGAAAGTGGGCGCACGAACCCACACAGCTCGCCGAGGACGTTGGAGCAAGGTCGATCTTGGATGGATGATAGCATCGATGCCTGAGCCCGAGCTTGGCTTATTCCCACGTCAGATTGCCTGCATCGAGCGACATCTGACGTTGGGACGCTTGTGGCGCGGCTTGACGAAGCCCGTCGACGCTGCCAAGAAGTACCGTGTGCTTTTTATCTCAAGCTAGATATCCTAAAGCATATCTCTATGGAACGAGACTGATCTACGCGCTGGCCAACTCTTCACGTCATCACAGGATAGACACCTTTGCCTGCGCTCTGTGGGAAGGTAAACTCTACGCCACTCCGACAGGCATACAGTTCATCGCAAGGACGAGATAATCAGCGACGCGACAGTCCTACTGGCGGTGCGAGAGGTTCTGGATCGCCTTGAGATTAGGCTGGAGGCAACATCTCAGCAGCCCCCTCTCAGTCGACAAGGCAGCAGGAGCGGTCGTCGAAGAGCAAGCTCAAGCGCGGCGCCCGGCGGACGGCCATCTCGCCCTCAGAGAGAGCAACCGAATTGTCCCGGCCCACGTCCCGAGCGGCAGCCAAGTAGTCGCCGTCGCTCAGTTCAGCGCCACGAGCCAGAGGCGGCCACCCAACGCGCTCCTGAACCACACCACAGTCCGAAGCGAGATCACGCGACATACTCTGAGCCACATCCGACGCCCATCCAACAGAACCGTCCGCTGGCCATCGACTATCAACGGTCTGTGCTGGAGCTCCGGCGCAGCTTCGGCTTGATGGGAAGCCAGAGCGACGTTTCCCTCGGCCGCCCTTCCAGCTCTCACAAAGACGCAGCGGCAGCAAATCCCCGCCGGCAGAGCTTTTTGGAGCTTCCGGCATTCACTCGGCTACAAGATGACCTGGAATCAGTCTCTGTATATTCGCCTTATATGGCCCCTTCGAGCCTGATCAATAATGTTCACGGGGAAGAGCCGTCGACGGATACGGGTGCCTGAGCAGACAGCCCAAAACCTGTGATAGCGGCGGTCTCTTCGCCTGCGCTAGAGCCAATCGCCGCGGAACCCGAGCGGGAAAAGGCTGTGCCAGGGGTTGAGATTTTGACGTCGGAGACTGCAAAACCTCTGCGAGAGATGGGAGCCATTGCATCGGAGCGGGCAGCCCCCTCGCGTGAACCGGCGAGAGTATACGCCCCCGTTGCCGTCAGGGTCCGCAGGGAACATACCAGCCGATCCAGTCGCTGCTGCCACTGTACCCCCAAGAAGAAGCTCGGGGCACCGCAGACGACCGAGAGCAGCCAGACCGCAGACAGCACGCTCGTGGTCCCTGAGTACCTGGACACTGTCGTCCTACTGGTGGAAAACTGCCGACAGAGCGTCGCCGTGCGCGTGTCGACGGCGAGATACTTTTTGCGGGGGATGTGGGCGAGTCGGTCGACCTGACAGGCGCAGGAGCTGGCGTCTGTTTCATGTTTGGGTGACTTGCAACCCAGGACTGGGTGAAATCTCAACCCTTCAATTTTCCTTCTGCTCTGGACTGCCCTGGGCCTAGGTGCGATGGCCGCCCTGCCTCCCCGCCCGGTTTGACCGAGGACTCCTTGCTGCGATGGCCGGCCCATCCTTGCCGCCCTGGATTTTACGTCGCATTGATTGCCTGAAGTTCGTGCCGGCCGCTCGTCGTAAACTTCGGATCCTTTTTGACAGCATTAGATGTGCTAGTCGACTCGCCAGCAGCCCCCCTGGTCACATTTTACCTTCTCCCACAAAACGCCGAAGATCTTGGCGACATTCTGCGCAGTGAAGAGATGGCATCCTGATGCTTTTGTCTGAAAGATTCATGTTCCGTGACACATGGTGTCCAAATCGGGGTCTTGTTTACCTATTTTAGGCAGACAGCTCTTGACTTTCTATGCTTTCGTTCTCGTCTCTCATTTCTCCATGACCCATTGCCTAGGCACCTACGAGGAATAACATCTGGAAGCGATACTTGCTCGGAGTTTCTACGCGGCTGTGAAGATCGACAGACCAAGCACGCAATGGAGCCATTTTTAGAGGACACCAGCGGCTCTGCACCCCTGCAGTAGGCTGGACCCACCACCCCTGAGCCTCCCGCCTGCCGAGCCCCTCGCTCCCACCGACCGACCAACACCAGACGCCTCCACCGTTGGGGCTCAACACCATCGCAAAGCTCGAGCCGAGACCTCGGCCATCGGGCGCAAGCAAGTGGACCCGCGCGACCCGGCCACATGCACCAAGCAGGGCACCCCCGTCTGACAGACCCAGGAGGCACCCAAGAAGTTGGTTTCAACACGCTTTGCATCCCATTATATCACCATCTGAACTTTGTCTTTGCCCCTCTCTAGCAGGCAAGCAACCCCCATGGCGAATGCGAAGATGGTGCCTGAGAAGGATGGTCTTGTTTCTCCGAGGGGACCTGGAGATGATGCGGATCCCCCGTCATGCCCCCATGCGTCGATCGCCATGCGTTTCCCCTGGCGACATGGGTGACGCTACGGGGGTGTTGCTTGGGGTGATCCCTGCGCGCCGGGAGGCTTTGCGGTGGGGGCGCGCCGACATCACGGAGGGTGCAATGCAGGATTGTTGTCCAGAAAGGGCATAAAAGCTCGTCTTGGCCCCGAGTTTCACAGCTTCTATTTCTTTCACCATCCAGGAGCTCACTAGCTTTTGGTCACATTCTTTTCTATCAGTCATTCTGATACCACTGTCGTTTTCCCGCTCTACTCTCCTTCAACACCAAGATCAGCCACATTGACACCTTTTCAGGATCTACTTTCCACATCCAGCTCCTTGATATCTACCCCCCGGATTTTTATTCGCTCTGTATCCTTCTGCCAAGGCGAGGAAAGTCTCACCGTCCAACCCAAGGCACACAAGCAAAAAATGCAGTCACTCTCTGTCGCAAGCCTCCTCCTCGCGGCCGCGACCGGGGTCTTCGGGCACGGCCGTGTCCTGACGCCGCTGGCGCGCGAGGCCGGCGACGCCTTCAAGCAGAACTGCGGCGAGCAAATGTTCAACAACGTCAAGGGCGACCCCAACGGCAACATCCAGCAGCTCGCCCAGCAGGCGCCGCGCCAGGGGTTCGACGCGTCCAAGTGCCAGCTCGAGCTGTGCAAGGGCATCCCCTTTTCCGACAACAACAAGCCGGAGCGGATCCAAAAGTTCTCGCCGGGCCAGAAGGTCGACTTCAACGTGGCCATCACGGCGCCGCACTCGGGCATCTGCAACGTCAGCGTCGTCGACACGACGTCCAACTCCATCATCGGCACGCCCCTGATCGAGTTCGACAACTACGCCTCCACCAAGACGGGCGTGGCCAAGAACAACACAAACTTCAGCGTCACCATGCCCGCCAGCCTGCCCGAAAAGTGCGGCACCGCCGGCGCGTGCGTGCTGCAGTGGTTCTGGGACAGCCCCATCGAGGCCAAGCAGACCTACATCAGCTGCGTCGACTTTGCCTTCTCCGGCGCCGGCTCAGGTGCCACCCCTCAGCCTGCCCCTAGCGCCCCTAGCGCCCCTAGCGCCCCTAGCGCCCCTAGCGCCCCTAGCGGCGGTAATAGCACTGCTGGGACCGGCTCCGGGACCGGCACCGCCCCCAGCCCTGCCACCAGTAGCGGGGCCAACGCTGGTTCCCGTCCCAGCAACCGCGGCTCGGGGGCCAAGTCTGGCTCTGGCTCCAACTCGCGGGAGTGCTCGGGGAGGTAAACGCGCTCGGGTGACGCTGGCGCCTGGTGCACGAGTTGGAGGAGGCCGGTCCCTTGTTAGCTGTACATAGATATGATTAGCACCCTGTACATGATTCTCTTGATTTCGCTTCTCTCGCCGTTCCGAATCTAGATCCCGTGATTAAAAGCTTGTTCTTTGTTGTTCCGCTTCTCAGCGGCACTCGAATGCGAAGATAATAGGTAAACTGAATAAGAATAATGCCCTCCTTCTTGCTTCAAGACCGTTCCGACACGTGCGAAACCTCATCGGGCTCGGCGAATGCGATAAAAACGCATACACAAGCTGGCGTACCGGATCGCCTCTCCCGAATACGTGTGGCGCCGACATGGTATGGGCAAACCTGCGCCCTCTCCAGTGCCATGTCACACTTTAGGAGCATGGAAAGTCTACCTGGTGGGGAAAGTCGTGCCCTCGCCCTTCTGGTCTGGCGGCAGGGCCCAGAGCTGCTGCTGGGGCTTCTTGGGCGACATCTTCCTGCGCATGGACGACGCAGCGTCACGTAGCAGCGGCCGCATGATGGGGACGGACGTTGCCATGATAACCACGGCCGTCTCTGCGGCTCCCCAGATGACGAGCTGGGCCCCGGTGTCTGCAGGTATTTGATAGCTGTCAGCACCGCGGAATCGCATAGCAATTTCGGGTTGAGGATTGGGACAGGGAGGAGAGATGACTGGGCACATACACGAAAAGTCGCCGTAGATAAGGGTTGGCACATAGGAGCATTTTATAAAGGCGGCGATACCAGCACTATACAAGTCAGTTAGGACATAAGCGTAGGTTCTATCGCTGCATTGAAGGAGGGCTAGCGAGATAGGGGGCTTACAAGATTCCTAGGTTCATGGTCAGAATTACAGCAATCTTCTCTTGCTGGTCGATCTGGACATCCTTCAAAACCTTCCAGGGGAGTGCGGAAAGGATAAGGTCTATGATACCCGAGTACCCTGCAGCGATCTATCGGTTAGTTCTCTCTCTCTCTCTGGCCCAAAGGGGCACAGCAGACCGACTGACCTCCTACGATGATGCCGTAGACGACGTTGATCCTCGGATCCATACACCTGCCACCGGCCAGCGACGGCCTCCACAACTTCTCGAGCGGGACGCACTGCACCCAAAACAGCACGGCACCGATGGCGAACAAGACGTTGACGAGCACAATATTGACGAGCACAAACGCGCGGACCCGGCCGCCGCGCCGCGTGAACCGCAGCAGCGCCAGCGCCAGCCCCGTCTTGCCCAAAGCCTGGCCGGCGAAGGAAAAGGTGGACGACAGCAGCCCCGCGACGGCCAGCGACGGCAGCGCGCGCGGGTCGACGTCGCGCGCGTGCCGGCCGTAGCCCAGCTCGACGGCCGCGTGCGTGAAGACGCCGTTGGCCAGCAGCGCCGCCCACGCGCCCACGAGCACCCAGTCGTCCCAGTAGAGGCTGGGCCGGCGCAGCTGCTTGTCGGGGGTGCTGCTGCTGCCGTCGTCGCCGTCGTCGTGGTCGTGGTCGTTGTCGAGGGCGCCGACGTGGCGCTTCTTCTTCTTGGCGCCCAGGCGGAGGGCTAGGAACAGGCCTGACACGGCCACGAGGGTCCACATGCCCGTCTTGACGGCCGGCCCGGCATCCTCGCTGCTGAAGCGCTCGATCTCGAGCAGGGGCGGCAGGCGTGAGGCCATTTCGGTGAGATTGATGTTGGAGGTGGTTATGGGGAGATGGGCGAGGGGGTTCACGGCTGTAGTGGTCGTGTCTGGCTCATCGTTGGCTGCGATTGGGATGAGGTGCTGGATCGCGTCGAGGGCCTCCATGGCGACGAGGAGTAGAACAGGTCGGGGATGTAGTGTGCTTGGCGGGATACGCCCGAAGGAGTCCCGAATGAAGGACGACCAAAAGGAGTGGCGGTAAGAAGGGCTGGCAGATAAACAGCACCGGGAAGAGGAATCACAAGGGAGACGCAAGCTGAAGAGGGAGTGAGAATCCGGGAAGCGTACGTGGAGTGCCAGTCGGGGCTTTTATCAAAAAGTACCCAGCTACTAGAGGCATCTCTATCTCGGGATCGCAGTCAACGGAGACTCCGGTCAAAACACGCAGCAATTGTGAGGGCCAAGACATGGCGTTGCAGATCGCAAATGGTGCAAACCCGGGGCGATCGAGTGTGTGTTGTGACGGCATTGAGGGGACGGCGGCAGCAAGGCGCGGAACAGGACCCCTGATCGACAGGCCCGGGCGACCCCATAGAGCGGGAGGACGGCTGGATATCAAGCAGTGCTTGGGTAAATGCTTGGTTTTCCTCAATGCCGCAGCGTTGCAACGCTAAAGCCGGCCGACCTGGTACCAAGTATTCAGCCCTGACCGCAACCCGGCTTTGGGTATGCATTGGCCGTCGACCACGTTCACGGGGACGAAACCAGTCAACGGCCCGGAGTGAAAGCCCGGGTTTCTGTCTTCTCGTCTCATCCACAAAAAGCTAGGAGAGTATCAGTCTAACGGATCCGGGGAAGGCGGGAAGAATTCATCAAACTACCAGACATGTAACCCATCCCAGCCAGTTCCCAGCCAGTCCAACATCTACCACGCAGTATGCCCCCCGTCATGACAATATTCGACCCCGCCACGAAGCTGCTCGCGCCGCTCATCAGGAACAGCACGGCGCCCTTGAACTCCTCGGGCTCGGCCGGCCGGCCCATGTTCTCGGCCTCTCACGTCTCGCGCAGGCCGGGCACCTCGTCGAAGTTGCTGCGCACCATGGGCGTCATCTGCCGCGCCGCTGTCTTGGCCGTCGTCAGCACGCCCGTGTAGTTGACGGCCAGCATGCGCGATCCTACGCCGTAGCAAATGCTCTGGGCGGCAACAGCCACATGATGGGCGCTTCGCGTGTTGGATGGGAATGTTTGGCAGGTCAAGGACGCGGTGGCTGTTTTCTCACACATCTTTGACGTTATAGAGCCCCACGAGCGGCCCTGCGGTGTAATTCGTCTCAGTGATACATTGGTGACGACAATTCACGGCCTAGGAACAAGTTCCGTCTATAAATCGGAAGCTGAGACACTCATGTACAAGCCTACCCAGTTATCGGGCAGGATTGCCTGCCTAGCTGGACGAAATGATCTTCTCCATTTCTGCTACATCCTTCACCGCCGTGGTGAGGTTTTCGGATCCGTCCTTGGTGATAACGAGGTTGTCCTCGATTCTGCATTGGTGGTCACACAAATGTCAGCAACAGGGGGATTTGGAAACTTGGAGCCGAGATGCCGGGGGCTGCAGCGCTGCAAACTCACCTGACTCCACCGACGTCCCAGTACCTGTCCAGAACGGCGCTGTCGATATACTTGGAGTGGACCGGGTCCTTCAGGAACGGCTCGATGATGAACTTGCAAAAGTAGATCTATCACACAAGGGCCAAAGCGAGCGGTCAGCAAAAAAAAAAAACTCGTCCGACACAAAAGAGGCGCGCACAACACGAGAGAGCAACATACACCAGGCTCGACGGTGATGACGCTCCCGGCCGGCAGCCTGCCCCGGACGCGGAGGTACTTGAACATGGGGTCTGGGTCCGCGTAGTTGGGGTTGCCGCCCGTGTCGTGCGTGTCCATGCCGAGGTAGTGGCCCAGGCCATGGGGGAGGAATGCGGTGCTGGTTCGCGCCTTGAGGATCTCGTCGACGGTGCCGCCCCTGAGGACGCCCGCCGAGAGCAGGCCCTCGATGGCCACGCGGTGCGCGTGCGTGTGCACGTCTTCCCAGAGCACGCCCTCCTTGAGCATCGCGATCGACTCGAGCTGCATGCGGAGGACCGTGTCGTAGATGGCGCGCGACTCTGGGGTGAACTTGCCCGAGATGGGGAACGTTCGCGTCTGGGAGTGGGGAGGGAGCCGCTGTCAGTTGTTTGCCTATAGTGATATAGGCAGGGACAGACACAAAAAAAAGCAACACACAATATCAGACGCATAGCAGTCCCACTCGCACCCCGCATCTAGCAGCAGGTTCAGCTTGCCCTCGAGCGGCTCGTTGTTCTTGACGTAGTGCAGCGTCGCGGCCGCGCAGCCCGCGGCCACGATGGAGCCGTAGGCCTGGTTGGGCCCGCCGCGCGCGACGCACTCGGACAGGAAGACGGCGTGCAGCTCTCGCTCGTTGGCCGCCGTCCGGACGCGCTCCAGGACGGCGCGGTGCGCGGCGCCCGAGACCTCGTTGGCCTGGGCGATGAGGGCCAGCTCGTAGGGGGTCTTGACCACGCGCGCGCGCTCGATGGCGTCCTTGAGCAGCGACAGGTCCTTGTCGCCGAAGCCCAGGAACGTGACTTGGTCCGACACCTGGCTCGGGATCGCGTGGACCGTGGCCGACGGGGCGGCGGCGGCGGCGGCGGCGGCCAGGCTGGCCAGGACGGCGTTGACCTCGTTTGTGTAGCGCACCTCGTCGACGTCGTAGCGCTCGAGCGCCTCCTCGGCCGAGAGGGGGAGGCCGGACCAGATGACGGATTCGGCTTCGACGGGCGGGATGAATAGGGTCGAGCGGGAGGTGGCCATGTCGTAGACGTAGTTGCAGTCGGGCACATCGCAGCCGGTGAGGTAGTAAAAGTAGCGCCGTTGACTGGTCAAGTGCGAGGGGAGGAGATTTCATGTTAGCTTCTGTTCTACGATGCGTAGACTTGGGCGTCAAGCTTGGAAGCAAAATCAACAAATAAGAGCATACCGAAAGTGCTCCTCTCCGTCATTGTCCTCGATCATCTTCGTCTTCTGGCCTTCCAGGTAGAGCACGCCCGTGGCACCGGGCTGCTTGGCGCGGAGGGCCTCGACGGTGCGCTTCGCATGTTCCTTGGCGGGGTACTTTCCCTTCAGGATCTCTTTGTACTGCGCCATGGTCGCCATTGTCGCGGTGGATGCCGGGTATCTCGATAGCCTCGAAATCAATGGGTGATTGTTGTCGCGCACACGGAGAGGGCCGAGGGCAGGGGTGTAGGCAGGAGTGCTGGAGTAGCCCCGCGGCTGCTGACGTATTGCTGGATACACTGAGAATGCGGCCGCTGGTGGTTTGACCCGAGGACAAAGGCGGCACCTGCAAGTAGTCACGTACTACAGCGGGGCTGTGTAAATATCAATTGTCTCACCAGTCGAGCTGATGCCACGGTACCAAAGCAAGGTGCTAGTAACATACCCGTGAGGTCACTTGATATCCGCAACCCCTCATGGCATCCAACGGCTGTCGCATGGAGCCGAGCAGTGCGCGCGATAACAGTCGGCTGCCGCGCCATCATGGGCCGAGATAGCGGCGGCGGGGTAGCAAGGACAGGCCCCTGCAGGGACGGGAGCCGTCAATGGTCGCCAGGGTGCGGGCCTGGAGGGGCCGATGATTGCCGCCACCTACCCTCAATTGCTTTACTGTGTAACCCCAATGGACCCTGCCGTTGTCATGTCTCAGCCACTGCCGCTGCCACCCGAGCACTCATCAGGCACTTCAGAAACCCATTTTCCACGTCGAGTTCTGGGCATTATCACATGGACGCTTTGTTATTTCGGAATAGCAAAGTCTCGTTGTAAAAGGCAACTCGGGATCAGGGTCGCCGTGTCCAGCTGGGTATCAAATATGCCTTCCTTGACTAAAGGCTTCGACAAAAGCACGCCTAGCAACCTTGTAAAAATTCAGGCTATGACAAGCAAAACAGGCAAAAGCAAACCGCCAAAAGCTAACAGCGCTAAACAATGTTGACAGAAAGGCAATGCAACAGAGTAGGAGTGATGAGATGTATGATGGACTGGTTACGCGGTGAGCCATCAGGCCAACGCCACATCATGGTGAAGTGAAATCCACTGTCGGCCGGGCCCGTGCCAACCTCGGTGTTCACTGGTGCTGCTGGTCGTCGGACGAATCGGGCTCCCTCTTCTGCCTGCTCGGGAGGCTCATCTCCAGCGCCCCGTCGGCGCGGCCGCGGCCCGAGCCCCCCTCGCCGAACTCGCCCAGCGACGCACCACCCATGGGCGAGTCCCGCATGACGACCCAGTGGCGCCGCATGGCCTCGGGCGAGACCAGAAGCTCGAAGCCGGCCAGGAAGCAGAAGCTGATCTCGAGGCGCGTCAGCTCGGCGACGCTGATGCCGCCCACCTGCGCGAAGCGGCGGTGCGGCCAGCTGCGGTCCTCGAGCGCCTTTGTGGCGACGCGCACCGAGGCCAGCAGCAGGCGGTGCGCGTTGCGGCGCGTCACGGCGATGGCGCGGTCGTCGACGGCCAGGCGCGTGATGTAGACCGACGCCGCCAGGTATACGGCCGGGCTGGCCGGGCAGAAGCGGTGCAGGCGCCGCAGGTAGTCGCCGATGCTTATGGGCGGCGGGTTGCGGCTGTAGAACTTGCGCGTGATGGCGCTGTGCTGCACGTTGACGGGCTGCTGGTTGGCCCCCACCACCACGTACGGCTCCGGCGAGGAAGGGGGCGGGATCGGCTGCGGCGCGTTGCGGAGGCGGACGCCATCTACTTCTATGGCTTCTTGCGAGCTGCTGCCGCCCGCGTTGGCTGCCGATACGTGTGCCGCCGACGACTGCTGGCTCTCGGCGGTGCGCGCGGCTGCGGCCTCGGCCTCGAGGCGCATGCGGACCAGCGTGCGCTCCGAATGCGAGCGGACGATGTCCTTCTTCTCCGCGTCCATGCCGCGCATGTGTGGCATCTCGGGCCTCTCGGGGGCTGGCGAGGGCGGGATGTCTCCGGTGAGGTGCACCAGGGCTTCGACGCTGTCGGCGAGCAGCTGCAGGGTCGCCCGCGCGGGGATTTGGAATATGTCGGCAGGCAGGTCACGGAGAGAGGAGCCCGTGCCGTCCCCATACTTGCCGGCCGTTGTTGGACTTGTGACGGCCGAGGGCTCATGGTCTTTTGCCAGCCTGGGGTCCGAGGCTGGATTTGGTGCTGGCGGGGGCTCGCTTGGAGCGGGTGAGTGAGGATTCGTCTCGTGTGGTAGGGGCGGCGCCAGCGTGGCCATGCCCTCGTCGGAGCCTGGGGCGGGAGACATGACCGAGGTCGTTTTACAACCCCCGACTGGTGCCCGTCTCGACTTGCTTCCTTTTAGTCGTCCTTGGCTCCCTCTTCGGCTTGTCAATCGTATGCACTCCTCTTTGCCCACTCAATTCTTGTCTTTCAACCTCCTCTGTGTCTCCTCTGCTTGTTTTCCTGCTCCTTTCTTCTCGTCTTCTTCGTAAGCGTCTGCAAGTCTTGGATGGGCGGCCGTGTTGTACACGTTGGCTTCGGCTCCCTCCAGGGACAGAAACACAACGGATGGGTGATGCAAGACGGCACGATCAGGGCCAAGGTGGTGGCTCTGACAAGTAGTTCAATTTCCGTGTCTCCACCTGCATCGTCTTCCGGGCTTGACTCTATTCCAGTTCCGCTCTGCTTGGAGACGAATCGGGCGTGGCCAGGCGGCTCGTCGATGGGCCTTCTCGCCGCGGCGGAGCGCGTCGGTGTCGCGCCACAAAGGCCTGGTCGGGTGTGTCGCGTGAGGGTGGACAGGGCGCGGCGCGAGGGCTCTGTTGTGTCTATCCGGGAGGAAGCTGGCGTCCAAGGCAAATCGCAGGGAATCTGTGGCCAGGCTCTCTCGTATTAGGAAGGCTGTGATGATCACGAGAGGAAGCAGGGATCGCCGAGCAACTGCCCGAGATTCCAAACTGCGGGGCATACTGACAAGGGGCGCGTGGCCTGGGCCAGCACCGACCGAACGCCAGGGGATGCGTGCTTTTGGGTGACAGCCCACCCAGCGGCACCCAACGGCGGCTAAAAAATGCGCAGCCAATGGATAGGTAGCTTCCACACGGCCGGAGGAGGGGAGTCAAAAGCTGGAAGGAAATCTTCAAGAAAAACATGGGGGAAAATAAAAATTTGCGCGGGCTGTTCTTGCCATCCACTCTTCTCACCACCAATCTGGGATACTCTCTTTTCCGCCAAACGTCTTTGCCGTCGACGCAGGGGACGAATGTAGCTTTGGGACATGCGATCCAGGTTACAATTGGGTGTGGTGGAGGATCCAGGTTCCTTTTGGGCAGGTCCTAGTAGCTGCAGGACTGCAGCTTTATATCTAGAACCTTTGGAAAATCCACCCTCGCCATTCCCATTCAATGTCGGTTGTATTCACCGGCTCTGAGATGGCAGCTTTTATTGGACCTTCATTGGAAAACCACCACCACCCCAACTCATTGTCGGTTTGATATTCACCGATTCTAATGGCACCCTTCATTGGAAAAGCCACCCTCGCCATTCCCATTCCATGTCAGTTTGTATTCACCGCCACCCTCGCCATTCCCATTCAATGCCGGTTTGTATTTACCAGTTCTGAGATGGCACCCTCGCCATTCCCATTCAATGTCGGTTTGTGTTCACCGGTTCTAAAATGGCAGCTTTTATTGGACCTTCATTGGAAAACCACCACCCCAATTCATTATCGATTTGATATTTACCGATTTTAAAATGGCACCCTTTATTGGAAAAGCCACCTTCGCTATTCCCATTCAATGTTGGTTTGTATTTACCGGTTCTGAAATGGCAGCCTTCATTGGAAACCTACCCTCGCATTTATGATTGGCACCACCCTTCATTGGAAAACCACCACCACCCCAATTCATTGTCGGTTTAATATTCACCGATTCTGAGATGGCACCCTTCATTGGAAACCACCCTCCCATTCATTGTCGATTTGGTGTTCACCAATTCTGAGATTGCACTCCCATCCAATGTTGGTTTGGTATTTACCGGTTCTGAAATGGCACCTTTCATTGGAAAAGCCACCCTCACCCATTCTCATCCATCGTTGGTAATATTCATTACCCTCACCCATTCCCATTCAATGTCGGTTGAGATGGCATTATTTATTAAAAAAGCCTTTATTGGAAAAGCCGCCCTCGCCCATTCCCATTTAATGTCGATTTAATATTTACCGATTCTGAGATGGCGCCTTTCATTAGAAAAGCACCCTCGCCATTCCTATTTAATGTTGGTTTGGTATTTACCGATTTTAAAATGGCACCCTTTATTGGAAAAACCAACCTCCCATTTAATGTTGGTTTAGTATTTACCAATTTTAAGATGATACCTTTTATTGGAAAGCCTTTATTGGAAAAACCACCCTCTTATTTATTGTTAGCTTGGTATTTACCGATTTTGAGATAGCACCCACTTTTTATTGGCAAAAGCTACCTTCGTCCATTTAAAATTGGTAATATTTACCACCCTTACATATTCCCATTTAACGTTGGTAATATTCACCATACTTACCCATTCCCATCCTATTGTTGAAATTCTATAACCAAAACTTCGCCCATATTGTATGGACACCCCAGGATCCTGTGCGCTCCTATGCGCTCCTGAGCGCTCCTGAAGGAAACCGAGCCTCGTCCTTGCGGCTCCAATACTGTAACGAATGTTTGCTCCTTTGAATGACAAAAACGCCGACATCCCCCTCACCGGTAAGAAACCCAGGGGCAGCATCGCATCCAGACGGCAGGTCTGATCAGTTCAGAGGCTTGCGGCCCGAAGCCATGATGGCGGTGCGCTCGACGGTGAAGGGCATGCCCTCGCCGTACTTGGCATCCAGGAAGCGGCGGAAGGCCGGCTCGACGAGCGGCAGGCACTCGTCGCGCTGGCGGTCGGTCCAGTAGGCCTGCGTGACGACGGCGACGAAGGCGCGCCAGACATGGCAGAAGTGGACCGCGTTCTCGATGACGACGTGGCGCGTTACCGCCTCGACCCTCACGTCCTCGAACCCGGCCGCCTCGAGCGTCCGCCTCGCGAACCCCTCGCGGTGCCACGGCCCCAGCGCCCAGGCCGCCACCAGCTCGTCCGAGTCCTGCGGCCAGCCCGGGTTTCCGGGCAGGTCCGCGGCCGCGATGGCGTCGCGAGTGTCCGGGACCCAGCCCTCGACCTTCCACGTCGAGATGGAGAGCCTGCCGCCGGGTTTGAGCATGCGCATGCATTCTGTTGTTGGGGTTTCGTTGCTCAGTGATCCATTCCCTGTGACCTCGGGGGAAATGGGGAGGAGTAAGGGGGTGCGCGACTTACCCTTGATGGTGCTGTGCGGATCCGGGATCAGCATTAGAGCCATGGCGATGATGACATGGTCAAACGTGTCCGACGAGAGGGAGCAGTTCTAGCAGCCACGGCGGCAAGAGAAAACGGTCAGCATCGCGGCCCCGAGACATGGGGGATGATGGGTGTCTGGCAAGTGCTTACACTGGCATCGGTGACGGCCGCCTCGATGTTGCGCCACCCCATCTGCTTGATCCGGCGGCGCACCCAGTTGACCTGCGGCTCCGAGATGTCGGCGCAGGTGATGCTGACCAGGTCGCGGGCCCGCTGGCCGGAGCGCTCCATGGCGTCGTGCAACGTCGCCGTGGCCACGCCGGTGCCGCATGCCAGATCGAGCACCGCCGTGGACCGCTTGATCTCGGCGCTCAGCCGCTCCTGGCCACCCCCGCCGCTGGTGAGGAGCCCCGCATGCTCCAGCAGCGGGCCGGCCACGGGGCCCGTGATGTGCTCGGCGGCCGAGTAGACGTCGCTCGCGTCGCGCGCCGCGAAGAAGCCGCCCATGCCGTGGCGCCGGTTCGCGTCCCGCGCCAGCGTCTCGAGCTTGCCGCTCTTGATCGCTAGGGCGGCGCCGCGCACGTCACTCTCAGGGGTGGGTATTTCAAGGCTCAGCATTGTGCTTTTGGGTGTTGGCCGTCCTGTCAGGAATATGGACTCGGATGATCGCTAGCGCAGTCAAGTTCAACCTAAGTAATGCTGATACGCTTGATACGGACTCCCGTGTTATTAGAAGGGGCATGGTGGCCAGCTTTATACCACAAGAATCCCATCGCTTCTGCTGTCTTGCCCGAGGTTCTGAGCTTCGTGCCGAAGTGAAGGGCCGGAAACTCGTCATCCCTCGTCCCGCCATCCTTGGCCGGGGATTGCTTTGACCCGGCTACGGGGCTGAGGCTTTCGAGCTGGCGTAGGCTATCCGTGGCCGAGCTTGGCACCGCACAGCAAACCATCGGTTGGGCAATGTGACCTCGTCTCATCGTGTGGTTCCTGGGGCAGATGGGAGGCCGCCAAGCCAATCTTCGGCCTTGGTGTGAGTGATGCCGGATCCGGAGGGCGTTAAATCGACAAGCAAGTCAGGGTATGCCAGCCACTGTTGCCTGGTCACCACCCCCAGGCAATGGTCCTCCCGTAAACCCGGACAACGGCACCATCCCAGGCCTGGGTAATGGGATGGCGGCAGATATTCAGACGACTGCAGTAAACAATACCCATATAGGGTCACCCGCTCCATCCTTGGTGAATCGGCACACGCAATATCTCACCTTTCCATCCCTCTGCTTTCTCTTTTCCCTCTTCTTTTCCTTTCCACGAGAAACCTAATTTCAAGTACCGCGCCCATCAGCGCCCTCTCGCAGCAGGAATGCTGGCATGGGCAAAACCTGCCGAGTCAAAGTGGCACGACTTCTATGCGATGCATCTGTGCGTCTGCATTTTGTTTACTTTGGCGACTGCCTATGCGAGGCATGCGTGCTGTTCAGGCGTTCGCGTCAAGTGACAAGCGCACAGCCCAAAGCGCTTTCGCTGCTTGTTTTTATGTGCCCTCCGCTGGGGCACATAATTAGAAGGTTATCAACCAGAATCTGGAGCTTCGTATGATTAAGAAGATTACTACTCGTTTCTTTTCCCAGGTTTTACCCCATCGGCTTCCGGAGACTTATTTTTGAACGAAAAAGGAGTACTTTTATACACACTCAGCCCTATGAACGCAGACCTAAAATCCGAGACAATATTCCAGAAGATGAGGATATGAACATACGACAAAGGACCGAGGGCTAGGTTGATCTAATTAGTTCACGGCTCAGGAAGTATAGCGATAAGAAGCCTGCGGTTAACGAGATGGATTCCGGAATATAATATCGGTCTTCGTCAGCGAAGCCTAATGGAAAACAACTGCCAGCTATCCTTATAGGTCACTATTCGAATGAAATGCAAAGAACTCAGTAAGCTGCCGCAGATACGCCAGCACTTGATTGTGTGGATAAGAACAAAGGCCTAGGAAAAGGGCCTTATGAGTCACCCAGGGGGGCAGATAAACGCAAAGGAATAGGTGGGTGAGTTCCTTGACGGGTTCTCGAAATAATCCACAGTGGCTGGCTGGAAGAGCAGGAAGTTTGGCCTGCAGATCCAAAGAGCCCCGTGCAGTGACCATTCCATATGCTATCCACATGCAGACGACGAACGCCGGGCGTCGCTTGATAGCCTGCAGTTTGATACAAAAGCACGTGCTTTTAATAGGCGCGATCGTGATGATGGTACCTCCTTGGTAGCCGAAGCAGAGACAACGGCCAACCCATACAATCTGCTCGCGGTGTGGGTAAGAAGAGGGTTATTGTCCATCACCATCTGTTGCTAAAACCGACTACGTATAAGCTGGTGGTATGGTTATAATAATTGGACCCTAATTCTCCATACGATGTGGAAGCTTCAATTACGTTATAACCATGATGCATTTCTTTTGGATGTGTATCCCGATATGGTTTTAATAGGTCGGGATGCGGGCATGGGCCAAGATGCCATAATCTGCAACCCTGGCCATTGTGGCCGCGGCGCACCCCATCATATGGGAATTCTAGTAAAACCATTTACAGGGGGTATGCATTTTTGGACACCAAAGGTGTTTGGTGTATTAGCTTGGCAATTTGTTTGGTATTTGACGATAGTCGCTGTAGCGTCGTCAGCCAGTTCCGCGCAACTTGACGCGGGGAAGGGAGCGGGCAGGCGGGGTACGGTCTGGACTGAGTGGGCCGCTGCTTGGATAAGCTTGTTTCGGGGCAAGCATACAGCCCGCACCATCATAAAAGCAGGACGGGATTCTGCCTTGGAGCCGCCTACGCCAAAGATCCAGGCGGGGAATGGAGAAGAGTGCGTCAAGTTGTTCGTGGGGGTGGGGATTAATTCCAGCAAGCGCGCGAGGACAACACACCGCATCGGTCGAGCTTGCGCCCTGCCAGAGATCCTTGCCAGAGGTCTCTGTCAGATCCATGATATAAGTGTTATCTAACGGCAGGCGCAGTGGTTGGATCGCAATGATCCCTGAACCTGTGCTTGGAGATCTTACAGCCGATGGTAGCCGATTCGGCAGCAGCTAAAAGAAGCCAGCATTCCAGCTAGAACACAATGCATGCCAGATGTGCTAGCTCGACGCAGACCCGCACAGTTGAGCCGGGCTGCAACAAACATGTTGCTTCGTACTGGACAAACTTGTAGAGTATTCTTACATATGCCCTCACTTACGTTTAGGGGCTAAGGGCGAAGGTAGATGGCGAATGGAGCACACGGGGAGGAATAGGCGGCCAGCGCTGTCAATCAGGTGGACTCGGTGAACATGCGCTGTACCCCGCACTGTTGTTCCCCTGTAAACCCAATGGCCGTGCTTGTTTACCGTGCTCCAGCATCACCGCCCGCATAGCCGCGTTTCCAGCTTTGTTCCACCCGCGACCAAGCGCTCCAAGATCATCCGTCATGTGGCTTCCCGATCCCATTTTGGCAGGAATGGACCCTGCGCAGCTTCACCAACAAAGCCGGGGTCCGCAGCTGCCTCCATATAAAGCCAATGCCGCGGCCCAATCCACAGCATACCTTGTTGCGAGCTACAAAGACATCTTGTTTGTCCGGACGAGCAGTTGACCTCGGCGACATCGACCAGACCAGACCAGACCAGGCCAGGACCGCTCGTGGATGTCGAATCGGATACGATACTAAGCCGCCAGGACTCGACCGAGAATCACAAGGCCCTCCACGGCCCCATCGCCGTAGCCTCCGCTTGCGAGGGACCGCCCAGATCCGAGACCGGGCATTCGTCGGCAAATCAGGCTTGGATAGCCGACTGCCACTTACCCAGGGTTGCCCCGATCAACACGCCGATACGTCAGGTGAAGGGGGGACGGGAGTTACAAGCCACCCCCACACGCGAACTCAATCCCGAAATTATGCGTCTACCGACGACGTCCCCACTGGCACCCCCTCTTCTCACCCGTATCTGGGGCGGCCGGCAAACAGCGCGGGTCGGTTGTGCTGCTGCGCTCCGACAGTCCGGAACTTTGCTTACCAGCCGGCGCGGATACACAAACAAAGCCCCGGCCGTCGAGGGTCACGGACGTCGCGGCCAAGGACTGCAGTCTACCCTCTCTAGGACGCATAAAGCTCGCCCCTCCCCCATCCTAGCGCCCTTTGCGAGCAAGGGGCCGCCCAGCATCAGCAGCAGCACACGCCTCCTCTCGACAGCGCCGGATGCATCGGACAATATGTACACAACATCGTTTGCGTTTTTCGAGGCGCTATGGGAGGCCGGCGTCACTCACTGCTTCGTGAACCTGGGGTCGGACCACCCCAGCATCATCGAGGCCATGGTCAAGGGCACGAGGGAGAAGAAGGGGCAGTTCCCCAAGATCATCACGTGTCCTAACGAGGCAAGTGCTGTTGCCCTCGCGTGATCCCCTCCGTGCCTCCTCGACCGTCGGCTGCAAACCTGGCTCTAACACCTACATACCCACGTTTCGCGATATGGTCATTTCTAGATGGTCGCCATGTCCATGGCCGACGGCTACGCTCGCCTGACGAACAAGCCGCAGTGTGTCATTGTGCACGTCGACGTGGGCACCCAGGGCCTGGGAGCCGCCGTGCACAACGCGTCGACGGGGCGTGCCCCCGTCCTCGTCTTCGCGGGCCTTTCGCCCTTCACCATAGATGGCGAGATGCGCGGGTCCCGCACCGAGTTCATCCACTGGATCCAGGACGTGCCCGACCAGAAGCAGATCGTGGCCCAGTACTGCCGCTACACGGCCGAGTTGAAGACGGGCCGCAACGTGAAGCAGATGGTCGGACGGGCCCTGCAGTTCGCCCGCTCCCAGCCACAGGGCCCCGTCTACCTCTGCGGCGCCCGCGAGGTCATGGAGGAGGACATCGAGCCCTACGAGCTGAACCAGCGTCACTGGGGCCCCGTCGAGCTGGGCGCCCTGCCCGAGCCCGCGGTGGCGGGCATCGCCGAGGCGCTGGCCGGCGCAAAGTCGCCACTCATCATCACGGGCTACGCGGCGCGCAACCACGAGGTCCCCGGGGCCTTGGTCGAGCTGGCCGAGGCGGTGCCCGGCCTACGCGTGGTGGACACGGCCGGCAGCGAGATGTCGTTCCCGGCGGACCACCGTGCCTGGCTCGGCGTCCGGTACGGGATAGCGCCCGAGATCGAGAGCGCCGACGTCATCGTCGTGCTCGACGTGGACGTGCCGTGGATTCCGACGCTGTGCCGGCCGCGCAAGGACGCTCGCATCTTCCATATCGACTCGGACCCGCTCAAGCAGATGATGCCGGTCCACTACATCGACGCGACGGAGCGGTACCGCGCCGACTCGCTGCAGGCCGTGCGGCAGCTCGCGGCCCGCGTCAAGGGCGACGAGGCCTGCCGCGCCCGCCTGGCGGGCCCCGAGGCCGCGGCCCGCTGGGAGGCCCTGGGGCGCAGCCATGAGGGCCTGGTGGCGACCATTGAGGCGCGGTCGAAGCCGCACGCCGACGGCACCTTTGGGGCGGGCCACGTGTGCCGGACGCTACGCCGGACGTGCCCCGAGGACACCATCTGGGCGGTCGAGGCCGTGACCAACACCATCTTTGTCTACGACGGCCTGCAGCCAACGCTCCCGGGCTCCTTCATCAACTGCGGCGGCGGTGGGCTCGGCTGGTCCGGCGGCGGCGCGCTGGGGATCAAGCTCGCCACGGACCGGGAGCACGGCGACGGAAGCAAGAACAGCGGCAAGTTTGTCTGCCAGGTCGTCGCCGACGGGACCTTCCTGTTCAGCGTGCCGGCCAGCGTGCACTGGATCGCCAGGCGGTACGGCATCCCGGTGCTGACGATTATCCTCAACAACAAGGGTATGTGCAAGCTCTCCTCTTGACATGAATCCAATCACCCACAACTGTCTGCTTTCTTTTGCTCAACCATTCTGACATGTCTCCTTCGCACAGGCTGGCATGCACCCAAGCGCTCTCTGCTGCTGGTGCACCCTGACGGCGAGGGGTCCAAGGCGACCAACGAGGAGCTCAACATCTCGTTCGACCCCGTACCCGACTACTCGGGCATCGCCAAAGCGGCGGCCGACGGAGATCTGTTCACGGCCAGGGTCGGCAAGGCGGACGAGTTCGAGGCAGTGCTCAAGGACGCCATCGCCGCCGTGAAAGGAGGCCAATCGGCCGTCGTAGACGTCAAGGTCGTTCCGGGCAGTTGAAGGTAGATTTATGGGGCGGGGAGGGTGAATGGAGAAGAGTGGTGTGGTATTCAGTGTACATGGTCAAAATCGGGTTCCATCCCTTTTCTTCGGCGGTCTTGAATTCACTGTCGAAGATTTCTTTGTTGCATCTGCGCGTGTCAATATGAAAATTCCCCAAACCATCCTACTTCACATCCAGTACACCTCCCAACCACCTAACGCCCTGGCTTGGATGGGGTACCCGCAACCTCTACCTAAACATAATTATATACAACATCCGTCAATGAAGTCGCTTATGGATGGGGTATGTTGGCAAATTGGACGGCTGTGTAAATATTTGAGATGGGCGTGAGGGAATACATTTTGACAATACCTTTGTGCCACGTAGGAAATTAGATACAAGTGTCCGCGCTTTTTCAGCGTTGGCGAATGTGCCATAACCGACAGTAAATATGGATGGGCAAAGGCGGCTTTTGTAAAAGGGTTGGAAAAGTCAATCGTGGAGTCCCAGGATCAAGTATAGCGTTTGGGAATATATCACAACTACAATAAATACGGATATCAGGGAAAAGGCCATCACGTGCTTGTGGACATGTACACCAAGTCGACAATGAATGGAAATGGGCGAAGGTGGCCTTTCCAAGAAAGGGTGGGTGCCATCTCTTGGGAGACACCAAACCGACAATGTTACAAAGGAGGCCATCACCAAGGGCCGGCACACTTTTCCAGGCCTTGGCACGGAAGGTCTGCACGGGCACCGGGCAGATGGGCATCACTGTATATAAGGAGGGCACAAGGCCTACGGCCTCGTGCCCGTCTTCCCTTCTCTTCAAAGATCTAGATAAGCATACAATAAACTCTTTCTTGCACCCTTTGTCTGTTATAGACAATAAATGGGAATGGGTAAGGGTAGTAAATATTACCAATTCTGGGATGCTTGCGATGGGATCGTTTCCCGAATGATTGACCAATTTCTTCACACGACAGGCGGCACAAACCATCGCGCCTTGAATTTAGCGTGCTTAACGAGGGAACGGGAAATGCCTCTGCAACCCTGCTACTTACAATGACAAGGGAGAAAAGAAAAAGGGAGAAGAAGCAAGGTGTGACAACGCGAGTGCCCACAGACGTCGATCCTACAAATCCACAAAGAGCGACATTCTCTCGTCATGACAGGCTTCACAAGGAGTGCTCCCCATAGACTTACCACACATCTCGTTACCTGCAGTTGCGCACAAAGCCCTTAGGCGGCACGATCAGGCCGGGCGGGGTGGCGGGGTTCCCGAATGCGGAGGACCGCCATGGACGTGCGCGCCGGTGGGCCGGGCAGCCGGGGTTCCCGAAGGCGGCGGACCGGTGAAACGAGGAGGAGGGGTTCTCGAAGGCGGAGGACCCTTCGGACCGCCGGGGCCGTGCGTGCCTGTAGGCCGTGCCGGCGGAGTGCCTGACGGCGCATAGCCGGCCCTGCTGCCAGGACCGCCGCGATGGTCCGCGCCGGTGGGCTGTGCGGCGAGAGGGGCGACCTCCCCCTCGTCGGCGCCGTGCTCGCAGCGTCGAGAGACCTCGCCGCCCGCGTCACGGGCACAGCGCGGGGTGACCTCGGCCTCGACGCTGCGGGCGCCGACGTTCTTGCTGGGCTGGGGCTTGCCGCCGTGGGTGCCGTTGAACCTGTGGGGCCCGCGATGCCCGGGGTGCGTCCCGTTGCGGTCGCTGTGGGTGCCGTTATGGGGACCGGGCGGGTGGCGACTGATGCCAAAGCTCTTGAGGAAGTCTTTGAGCCACTGAGGGGTGCCGTCCGCGAAGCTCTTGATGCCCTTCGCGCCGCAGGATCCGTAGTTGCGTTGACATCCCTCTCCGCAAAAGCTGACACTCGAGCCGCTGTTGAGAGCGAGGTATTGGGTCAGCTTTCGGTAACGCCCATCTTCGTATAGGACTGGGTCTATGCAGGATTTGGTCTTGGACTGCATTATTGCTTACCATTGGCCACTCACGGAGCAACAATCTCCAAACGAAGATCCACCGCACGTGAACCCGTTGGCCCTTCCACAAGACCCGTTCGTGGTCACTGCTCCAGGAGCCACGACAGCGGAGTGTGCTTGTTTACCCAAGGCCGGATTCGCCAAGATACCGCTGGTAAGGCTTGCCAAGGCCAGAGATGAGATGATACCGTGGTAGTGCATGGTGATGTTGGCGAGTTGCGATATTGTACTTGTGGATGGTGCTAGGCGATGGCAAGGAGTTCGAGCCAGTCAATTTGACAACCAATGTGAGACAAAGATTCGGTCACCCCGTGGCCGTGGAGGGAGCCCTTAGGAAGAGCAAGAGGAACTGTAGGTTGTGAGCGAGGCCTGGAGTGCTGGTGTCCTGGGGCTGACTGTTGGGATGGGAACCGTGTCTCCTCGAGAGCGTAAGACATGCTATTTTATACACATGGAAAATAGCAGATCGTGGACCACACGAGCCTGGACGAGCATCATGGCATGCCTGGCGGGAAGAGGATGGTTTGCGCTAATACCGACGGGTGTTGTAGGCTCGAAAGCGCCATCGACACCTTCCGCGCGCAGCAATCGTGGCTAGTGGGGAGGCGTCCAGGTTTCGAGCCGGCGTCCGTGTAAAGCGCCACAGCTGGCGCGTCTGGGTGACGGAAGACGCCGTCTCTACGGCTAGGGCCGACGACCGGCGCGCCGCACGGGCATCCGGGGCAGCCGGGCCAACCTCGGGGTGGCGCTTCTGGGGCGCGCCGGCGCGACGAGGGCATCGGATGTCGGCACCACATTCTTGCTCGCCCCGGCACGTAACCAGTGTTAGCAGTGGGCTTGGGGCGGAGGCATGACGGTGTCGATCGGCAGGGGTCTGGATCACAGGAGGCTTGTGGCGGACGACCAGACGAGGAGGCTAGTGGCGATGGGAGACTGGGAGAAGCGTGGAGTGATTGGATGGCGGCAGAGCAAGTATGCCACCTCGGATGTGTCTGGGAGTCTGTGATCAGCAACCCCCTGTTTTTCCTTGTTGCTGAGTGTTGTCACTGCATCAAATGGTGCCCGGGTACCCGATATGCTCTCTTGGCCTTGATGCCGTTATGTAGTCCCGAGCGGGGCTCACCCAATCACCTTCCTCCGCTCCATTTCCGGGAGCCCCACACGAGCACGGCAATTGCACACAATTTATTGCCCACAATCGCAACCCTCCAACCACCTGGTGCTTAGTTCAGTGATAACCACAAAGTGGGTGTGCATGCCCCGTTTGGCCTTTTGGCCGATCTGCCAGCCATTTCTTACCATTCGTCGGCCCTGACGCGCTTCCCTACCCACTAGCTGCAGGGAGATGGTACCGAGTAAGGTCCAAATACTACACCGGGCGGGCAGGTGTGGGGGTGAAAGCTAGTTTTGCAAAAGAAGCACGCCGACATGATTGGCGCGCTCGTATCTCACATTACACAACCAGACCCGACTTGGTTTGTATATGGGTATGCGCAAAATCTTCGCCTCCGGCATATAGGCAGATAAAACTACCGCGATCCCTAGTCGCCGCTCCGACCCTCAGGTGCCGTGGTGGCTACCCAAGTAGCTACCCAAGTAGCTGCTTCAAGCCGTCACCTAGCGCAGCACATCCAGCGTCAAGCCATCGAGAAGCTTTCACGAGCACTCTGGGTCTCTTGGAAACGCTAGAGCTTCAAGATCGCGGCCGCCCCTACCACAATGCTGCCAGAGCTGCTCCACTCTAGCCTCCGTGCCCTCCAAGGGCCATACCTGGTGCCGACCGCGCTGGGCGCCGCGCTCCTCTATGTCATCGCCTCGTACGCGGCCGCCTACCGCCGCCTGCGCCACTTCGACGGACCATGGCTCGGCCGATTCTCCAGCCTGTGGATGCTGAGCCAGATCCCCAAGAACCAACAGGGTCGCGTCTACGAGGAGGTGATGCGCAAGTACAACCCCGACGGCCCCTTCGTCCGCGTGGGGCCCAACGACCTCGTCACCAACTCTCCCGACATGCTGCGGCGCATGGGCGGCGCCCGGTCCGCCTACAAGCGCAGCTCCTGGTACCGCGCCGTCAAGTTCAATCCGTACGGCGACTCGATGCTAAGCCTCATGGACACGGCCGCCCACGACAGGCTCAAGGCCAAAATGGCGTTCGCCTACGGCGGCAAGGAGGTCCCCGGCGTCGAGGGCCTGGTGGACGAGCAGCTCGCCAAGCTCGTAGACCTGATCCGCCGCAAGTACATCAGCGACGAGAAGGTGGTGGCCGGCGGGGCATTCAAGCCCATGAACCTAAACGACGTCATTTCCTTCTTTACGCTCGACACCATCGGCCGCCTCGCCTACGGCCAGCCCTTTGGTTACCTCGACGCTGACAAGGACTTCAACAACTACATGGGGATCGTCAAGCTTAGCTTGTACGCCATCGTTGCCGGCTGCGAAGTTCTACCGCTGCAATCTGTTCTTCTCAACCCGCTGTTCTTGAAATTCTTTGGGCCCAAGTCCACCGATAAAGAGGGCATGGGGCGTTTGATGAAGTAGGTCCATGCCGATACTCACGGCCGTTCTCGCGCCAGCCTGCTTTCGGATACAGCAACGAACGAACGGAAGATCATCTGACATTTTTTCTTGTATCCGACAGAGTCGCCGAGGATGTCGTCACATCACGATACGGACCCGATGCCAAGGAGTCCCAAGACATGGTGGGCTCCTTTATCCGGCACGGCGTCACCCCGGAGGAGTGCGAGCAGGAGGTGCTGCTCCAGATCCCCGCAGGCTCCGACACCTCGGCTGCCGCCATAAGGACCACCATCATGATGCTCTGCCAGAGCCCCTTTGCATACGGCAGGCTGCTCCAGGAGATTGACGAGACCGTCCGGGCGAACAGCCTCGGGGAGCAGCAGATATCACTGGAGCTGGCCAAGACGCTTCCTTATTTGCAGGTAATATTTTCCTGCGACATGACACCCGACAGCACCACGACTATCACGGGGATGCAACTAACCATTTCTCTGCAAATAGGCCGTGATATACGAGGGCATCCGCCTCAGCCCACCCTTCACGGGCCTCCTGATGAAGGAGGTGCCCGCGGGCGGCGACACGGTCGAGGGCAAGTTCGTGCCCGCCGGCACGCGCGTCGGCGTGGCCATCCGGTCCGTGATGCTGCGCCCCGACGTCTTCGGCCCGGACTCGCGCACCTTCCGCCCCGAGCGCTTCCTCGAGTGCGACGAGGCCGCGCGCGCCCACATGCAGCAGACGGTCGAGCTCGTCTTCGGCTACGGCCGCTGGATGTGCGCCGGCAAGCCCATCGCCTTCATGGAGCTCAACAAGGCGTACTTTGAGCTCTTCCGCCGCTTCGACATGCAGCTCGTCAACACGAGGGACCCAGGCCAGGAGATCAGCAACAACATCCACTTTCACGAAAATCTGCTCGTCAAGGTGACCGAAAGGCAGCCTCGTGTCTGAGTGTCTGGGACTTCGTGGTTGGGTACTTGGGCGACGCAGAGCACTGGGCTACGATCGGCTGATAGGGAATCGGAATATGGCACATGGCAGGGAGGATAACGGCGTTACGGATGCCCGGCACCAAGCAGGGAACGATAGCACGAGTCCGGACGCAGCGCAGGAAGCAGCTCTGTGATGAATATTGCCTCTTCAATATCGAATCAATCGTGTACACCTTGGTCCAGCACAACCACGGACCGTGAGCGAATCCGCGATGTCTTCCGTTGCAACCATAGCCCCCCAAGAGCATAGGCTCCCGATCAGATTGATTTTGAACGCGATGAATGCTTGTCGAAAGCAAAGACCACCGGCCAGGCGGAGTGCAACAAGCACCGCCCCGGCGAGGCGTGTGAACGCTGCCGTTGTGGCAGGTCTGAGCCTTGTCACACGTCCGACCGGCCTACGCCTCGTCGCCTCGTCTTCGTCGTGCCCGTCGCTACATGTGTGCGTTGACTTTGAACGGACACTGCCCGGCGTTCAAAGGTGCTACTTCCGGCAAGGGTAGGCGGTTTATCACTTTCGTTCCAGTCGTCATGGCCAAGGGATCAAAAACAATCCAAGGCAAGGACCACGGCAAGATCGACAGCTAGATCACTAGTCTTTAGTGCCCCTTAACGCGGGATCTATTCCAAGCCATCCGAGCGATCACTGACATCATCCAATCTCATTTCGTGATCTGTCATGGCGATCCTTTCTCTCTCCGACTGTGGGGCGGACGTGCACCACTTTACGCCCTAGCCACCACGCGCAACAGCCCCATCAAGACCCCCCCAGAGGAAGACGAATTCTGGTCGCATTGGTTCACAGAAGGCTGTGTCACCCAGCCAGATCCAGCAGTTGGTTGACTCAATGTCGTCAACCTGGCCTGCTCGGCGGAAGGTGACGCGGCGGAAGGTGTCAGCTGCTTGCGCCCAGGTCGAGAACGCCCGAGGCTTTCCCAGCGATCGCACCACCTTTTCCCGGAAGCGCTTGTCGCGATTTTGAGGGTGGCCACGGCGAAGGCCCTTGTACCAGTCGTTTCCTCGGAATAGGGGGCTCGTACTTAGGGCGCCAATCTGCGACGCGGTCCTCGAAATTTATATAAGCCTTCTCCAGGTGGTGGTTCAGTTGGTGGTGGGGTGGGGGTGTGGGGGAGGGGCCCTCCAGAATGCCTGAAGCTATAGCCCATTAAATGCAGACACGCCGTTCAATATGTTTAGAATTTTCTGGGACCAGCAGTGTTGAAAAGTCATGCTGGGTAACGAAAAAAACGAACATAGCTATCAACCGAAAGGCTATAGGGAACAGGAAGGAAACATTGACCAAAATCACAAATTCTGTCTTGCATAGAGTGCGCGGCTCGCAGTCGATAAACCAGTTGGCATGGGGACGAGCCGCGAAAGTTGATCGGTCGGATAGATCAAAGCTCGGATTTCAAGGCACAGCGGCGAATTTAGGACACCAAACACATGGCGGCGGATGTACCAAAATAATCGAACATTTATTTTTGTCAACAAAAATAAAGGCTAACACTACTTGGCCAGCATTGGCCACCCTATCTAGTCCGCCCAAAAGAGGTGGAAGGAACGGAGGGAGGAGGAGGGGAGGAGGGGAGGAGGGGAGGAGGGGAGGAGGGGAGGAGGGGAGAAGGGGAGGAGGGAAAGGGACACACAGCCACAAACCACCACCGCCGCCGCCGCGCCACATCAGCCCGAAGAGCTGGGAGACGACACCGAGGTTGGGGAGGATTCCGCTAGCATGGCGGTCACCATGGGCGTGATTGTGGCAGCCGTAATTGTCAGCCAGGGGCCCGAGGCGGACCGGCGGACATGCTTGGCCTTCCAGGTGCCGTCAGGGCCATCTGGGACGACTGGGGGACGTCCTTGACCTTCAGGGTCGGCTACGTCAAGCGAGGGCACAACCGCCTTGGGTGGGAGATTGACAGCCGGCCGACGCTGCAGATTGCCGTAGGGAGCCCAAAAGTACAAGTCGAGGTTGATGTTGCTGTAATGTGTTCCCTCGCCATAGGAGCACTCGCAGAAGTACCAGTATCCGCAGGTAAGGTTGCAGGCCTCGCAAGTGTACAAGAAGTTCTGGTCGCCGAACTGCCCAAACATGGTGTCAGCACGAAATGCCACATGTGTTGGAGGGAGAAATGAAGCCGGTGGTGCAGAGGGTATGGGAAAACAGACTGGAGAGAAAGGAGGCAAGAATGCTTACAGTCAGGTGTCCCTGGTCGTTGCCGAAGTGGGCGTTGAGGTCGAGCTCAGCCTTGACATACTGAGCGACGTCCATCGTCTCTTGGCACTCGGGATGGCCGTTGAGGCACATGCAGCTGAGCAGGGTGTCTCTGTGCTCCCTGGGATCCATGACCCTGAGCGAGCAATTGCGGCAGGTCGCCATGTAGCCGGTGGACCAGTCGCCCGGGACAGGGGCCCTGGAGTGGATGGGTCGCTGTGCAACTGCGGTCTGGGGGCGACACGGCTCGTCGAACGTGGGCCAGGCGGGCGTCCAGGTGGAAGAGACGATGGCTGCCGGAGACGGCATCGTGCAGCTGTCGGCCTTATCGATGGCGGTGCGAGCACTGCCGAGTGTCTCGACGGTGTCTGTGAGCATGGCCGCCACCACAAGGAGCGCGAAGGTGGAAGCACGCATCTTGAGACTAGTGGGCGGGGGTAGAATCAGTCTTTGGTAGGGGCCACAGAGTAGATGGACGAGGTAACAGAGATGGCGGCGAATGGACGCCAGCTTGAAGGCAGTTCAAGGGATCGTCGATCCACACAAGATATAGGTCAAGTTGGGATGAGAAGCCTAGAGGCTGTTGGGTGATGAAAAGAGAGAATTGTGTACTGCAGCGATATGTGCGACTTTTCTGCTGCGGAGGATGGTGGGGGATGGCTCGGCGGCCCCTTCCTTCACCGAGAGCTATGCTAGTGGGTTGGTAGAGGGCTGCAAGTGGGCGCGCCCCTTCCCGATCCAGTTGTGTTGCTGTTTGTTGGGCTTCCCATCTGCACTCGCGGAGCGTACTCTGAGAGACTCGGCAGCCAGGTGGGAGAAATGGTGGGGCCTGTACTTGATCAGCCAGCCCAAGCATGTTGGGAAATGGGGATACAGAGTCAGCTCGGTGTCCTCATGATTGCTCGTGGGTGACACCTCCCATCTTGAAGCATCTCTCAGCCGACCTAGCTGTTGAGGAACTGATTGACAGGCAAGTGTAGCCGACTCTAGAGATGGTGTGTCTGGCCCGTCATACATGGCAGCTGCCACCTCGGGGGCCTCCCCTGGCGGCAGTTTTACTCCCTCTTTGTATCTCCTTGCCGTGACTGAACTGGCGAGGTCGGGTGTATGCACTATGACGACTGAGACCACACTCCTAGGTCATCAACAGAGCAGATACCTCGGTACCAAGCGAGCTCCCGCTATCGGCGCATACACTTGCAGCTTCCCATCGGTCTAGATAGACGTCTGCAAAGTCTCGTTGCTGGAATTGGAATTCTCCGGTTTTCTTCTGCTCGTGGTCGGCATCTGTTATGCTTGCTTCCAAATCACAAATTTGCACGGCAATGCCTGCTGCAGATGTAGCACCGGCGAAAGAAAAAGATTTCATCACTCCGGCAGACTCATAGATATGGAACCAGAAGGCCTTAAGCCCTCTGCAAACCCCGTGAAAGTACATGAAAGTTACCTACCTACTTACCCCATATTCTAGAACTGATTTGTGCCTTCTTCCATCTTGCAAGATTTCCCTTCATTCGAACCGAGCCAAGAAAGCATCTGCCCTCTTCCACTCATCCCGTATCACCTGAGCCTTCGCCTCGCTGCGGACCGCAAACACGACAGGAAACTTCTTGGGCCCCATGAGTATCGAGTTCGTGAAAGCAGTGCGCACGTCCGTGTCGAGCGGTTGCCCAGCGCTTCGCATGTCGAAGGCCCACAGGAGTTTGGCCATGCTGAGCATAACGCTCATCTCGGCCATCTTCTGGCCGGGGCACAGCCTGCGACCGGCCCCAAAGGCGTAGGATTCCCTTCGCCCCTTCATGTCCTTCTCAGCTTCTCCCGGCGCGAGTGGCAGCGAGGAAGCTCCGGTACCACTTTGTGCTTCTCCTTGTTCGTTTTCGTTGTTCTCGTTGGATCTGCTTTCTTTGGCACCGAACCTGTTCGCTAGGAACCGCGAGGGCCGAAACTCGTCCGGCTCCTCGTACTCGTCGGGGTCATGGTGGATGGCCCAGGTGTTGATCAGTACTGTGGTGCCCCTGGGAATAAAGTATCCCTTGTAAGCGTCGTCAGCAGTCGTCGTGTGCGGGATAGCCATTGTGAATCCTGGGCGCCATCTCAGTGACTGTGAGGATACAGGTAGTTAGCAGTTGGTCTCCTTATGGCATCCCTGAGGGCACGGAATGGGCTTCTGGTGCGTACCTCGAGGAAACAAGCTCTGAGAAAAGGAAGCTCTTTGCCGGCGACCGAGTGTGGCATACTTTCAGCCCCGAGCACAGAGTCGATCTCGGCCTGGGCTTCCTTCTGTATTTCCGGGAACGCAGCCATGGCCAAGACAAGAGTCAAGAACGCCATGGCCGTTGTGTCGGAGCCGCCTTCGAGCATAAAACCAGCAAGATAAGTCATTTCCAGCTGGGTGAAGGCTTCCTTGTCCTTCTCGTCACGCTCAGCCTTTTCCTGCTCTCCGATCAACCTTGCAAAATAGCTGTCTCGGCCCTTGCCACCCCTAACCCGCTCGAGAGTCTCGGCATACAGCTCCTCGTAGAGCCCCTGCTGGCGGCGGCGAACGTCGGCGGCACGGGCCCTCCAGCCACTCCAGGGTGTGAGCACATCTGGGATGTGCCGGATCCAGGGGAAGACGTCGAGTGGCGGAAAGGCACCACCGGCCAGGATGGCAGCCCAGTCCTCCTGTACGTCGAAGAAGCGGCGCGCCTTGTTGGCCGGGTCCCAAATTGTCCTTGCCACGCTGCCCGAACACGCTGGCGAGGATGATACCGGCGAAGGCGCGTAACGCGTGGTCTTGGTATCTCCCGTCGTCGACCGGGCTGCTGCTATTTCTGCTGTCCTGAAGCAGGTCCCACATGAGCTGCGTGGTCTCGGCGTCCTGAATCGGCAGGAGTTTCTCGAGCGCGTCTTCCTTCATGAACTCGGTGACGGCGCGGCGAGTGCGACGCCACTTGGGACCGTAGGCCAAAAAGGCAGGGTGGATGTCGCCGGGCGGCGGGAGGACATATTCAGCGGCAGGCAGGCGAGGCCGGCTCGAGTAGATGGCGCCACGCGCGTCGAGCAGGTCGCGGACTTGGCGCCAGCGGCTGAGGATGACGATACGGGCGGTAGGCCCAATCTTCAGGCCCAAGAGGCCGTCTGACGAGGCGGCGGTGCTGCGGGCCCAGTCGGCGTACGTCAAGTAGCCATAGTCCTGGGGGATCTGGTGTAGGTTGCCAAGAAGTGGGAGTGTGGGAGGCCCTGGTGGGAAGCTGGCAAGGAGAGGAGGAGAATGGACTGTCGATCCTTTCACGAGTCGGCGGAGGAGAATGATGGCGAGCGACAGGGCAGAGACGGCCAAGAGTAGGGAGGGGTCGAGTGCCATCTTCCGGTTATTCTTGCCGTTGTCAAATGATGCTCTCAAGGGGAGATGTGCGGCGGGACTGCGTGTTATAGGTGCCAGAGGCGAACAAAGCGAAGGGGAGGTGTTTATGGGTTTGCATTTGTACTCGGCTTCGTCGACCTCCAGTCCGCTTTTGGGTCAGTATTATCCCGTCATATGTCGACCTGGGGCCTACCGAGCCCCCGTCGTATTCCCAGGAGTGGAGATCGCCTGGTGATGGCTGTGGGCTAAGTCAGCAACACCCCACCATGCTGGAGCCTACGCGAGCAATACCATCCGCACCTTTTGCAACTTTTGATGCATGTCACCCACACTGTTGTTCTAGCGTTGAGAAGGGTATGGTGGTTGCATAGTAGCGTCGTTACCTGCGAAGACGAATGCATTGTCAAGTCTATGTTTGGGCGTGATTAGCTCATCCCCAAGCGGGCTGGTGCGGAATGGACTGTTACAAGAGGGCGAAAACATTGGTTTTACGTGGGGTGACAAAGCAGTGATGTGAATGTATTCTGTCTGATACGTGGGCAAAAGATCAAAATATCAAAGGGCCCAGAACTGGCTGGCCATCTAGCTAAGCACCCAGGCAGGTCCTAGTACAAGCCAAACAACCTCCGAGGCGTCCACCGGGTAGACAAAGAAGATAGGAAATCGGAGAACAATGGAGAGCCGCCAGTGATGGAGTACTCAGTCACGGCCCGCATGAGCAGGGATCTCCCCAAGCTCCTCGAACCGCGCTTTGAGGAAGTGCATGGCCGCTAGGACCTCCTTGGTGTTGGCGACGGTGGGATCTCCCCGCACGTCGGGAAAGTACACGCCCCTCTGGCGCTCGCAGGCCAGCAGGAAGTCCTCCATGGCCCCGACGTCGGCCCGCATCTCGGCCAGGCTGTACCGGGCGGAGCGCCAGCCGCACCGGATCCTCGACCGCCGGAAGTGGACCTCGCACCGGTAGCAGTACGCGAGGCCCGGGCGGCGCCGCACGTCCGGGTGCATGCGGCAGTGCGGTCGGTGCTCGGCCTCGCGCGCCTCGCGCCGGCACTCCTCGCACGGGACGGCCTGCGACTGGTCGACGGGGGCCGCGTTCGGGTGGTAGAAGCAGCGGTCGGTACGTGCGCAGGCGCCGGCTTCCTCCAGGGTCGCGAGCATGCACTCCTTGCACGAGTGGTGGGCGTTGTGCTCGTCGAATTGCAGGTCTGGGTAGCCGACGTGGAGCTGGAGAAGGCCCAGGGCGGCGATTTGCTCATTCTCCCGCAAGCACTGTCGGCACAGCGAGGTCTGGTTGGTCTGCTCTAGAGTCTGGTCTGGATGCTTGGCGCAGACTAGGTTGGCATCCATGCCGGCAAGGTCGGGAGTGTGGTTGGGCATGTGCGAACCCATCTTGAGTAACTAGCCCACCTAGGCAGGTCCTTGATGATAGCGATGAAGAGAGTCGTGAGCAGCGTTGTGGCGTTCCCTTGTGCTCTGGGTGGTGTTGTTCAGAGCTTGGGTCTCGTCTCGTAAGATGGTGTAGAAGGGTGCTGCCGTTTGTGTGCGGATTGGATTCGTCTTGATACACCTTCAATTTAGCTACTTGTAGGGCTGCTTTTTTCACAGCCTAGAACACGACCTTCCGAACTACAAGGGCACTGCCATATACCCTCTGGGTCTGGCCCCACATCAAGGCAAACTTGTCCTGTCCGCGTCTTTATTGTGTCTGCACGCCCAATGCGAGTAGCATTCACTCTTGTCTGTCCTTGATACAAGGAATAGCTACCCGGATTTTTGCTGTAACTTGGCGTCATTGTGAGATCCAGCGGCTCCTGGATTCTTTTTCTATGGTCTAGGAGTCTAGGGAGGGCGGCTTTCACACGAGCTGCAGGTACTGGAGCCTGAAGATAACTGCCTGACATCTCAGAGACTTCCTTTCTTCCTTTGTATTCTCCGCCGGCTGCAAACTTCCGGAGTGAACCCAAGTTTTAGACACGTGCACCTACAAGGCACCAGACCTTTTCCTGCACCCCACCGCCCGTACTTTGCGAGCGGTTGCTCTGAGTCACTGACACCCGCTGCTCATCTGGGAAGGCACGCTCCACACCCTTCTCAACACTAGAGCAACAGTCCTTCCGTTTCAACGTGCAGTTAAGCACAGATACTACAATGTCACGGGCTGGCTTCTGGGATCTCCGGCAGGACGAAACACCAACACCTCCACAACCACGACGAACTCCCGTCCAAACCTACCATCGCATCCATCTGAGCAGCGCCAACATTTCCCACCTGGACGGCATCGTCAGCCGCGCCTATCACTCTGACGTTTATAACTGCGAGATCCTTCTCAAACACAACTCTTCACGACCAGAGTACCCTCCCGCACCCAGCGACCCCCTCCTCTCGGGACAGAAAACGCAAAGCCCTACCCTCCCTCAAAACAAGCCACCAAGACCCCACCTACAAGATGCGTTTCCTCCAGATCATCGCCGCTCCCCTCTTCATCCTGCTCCAGGCAACCGAGGCCAAGATCACCGGCAGGCCCAGGACCTCGCCCGCCGTCGTCTACTCTCCCGCGGAGGAGAAGTGGCCCCGCGAGGCCGCCCGGGCCGCCGGCAGAATCAGCGAGACGTGCAGCGAGTGCCTGATGACGGACGGCTGGATCCCCGACTCTCGCCACGGCTCCGTCCTTCAGTGCTACTGCATTGACGACGGTGGCTGGTACCACACGGCGTACATTTGGCTCGACAGAAAGATTGGCAACAACAACGGCCAGCTCATTGTAAGTGGGTCTCGTGTCCCTCCCAGCTTCCGCTCCTCCATCCAGCCTTTCTCTCCCACCCTGCCTCTCCGAATGAGGCTCAGCTCTCTGCTCCTCCCAGCTTGTCTACGTTTGTCCGCACAAGACTAACCTCGAAGTGGCACAGTGGAACTCGTCCAAGTTCTTCGAGACCTGCGACAACCAGGAGATCCTCGACAACCACATCCTCCAGGCGACCTGCGCCCGGTCCGACGGAACCAGGCCCCTGAGCAAGCTCGACCTCGAGGCGTACATCGAGGTCAACCAGGTTGGCGATTTCATGGTCATCCCGGTGGCGGGAGCCCCACCACCGGCTTAAGAAGAGAGGCTAGCTGGGGGAACGTTGGCTCCATGTCTTTTTGTATGTTAAAACCAGCCGCTCGCTCGTCATAGGGGGGAGGGCATGTACGTAGGCGTGCCTTGGCACTTACTTGACACAAACCAGCCCCAATAGATTTGGTCTCGTTTCACTGTTTTCGTGTTTGAATATCTTCCAATGGTATCTATCCGTTCATAAGCGCCCAAGCTTCCAGGCCCAGTGCATCAGAAGCTTTGCCATTCAAGAGGATATATATTTCTGGTTGAAGTCTTTCCTGTGGCCCATCCGAGCAACCAGGAAATACAAAACGTCATCTGGCAACGAGGCTGTAATGGCCTCCAAACTTCTCGCAAATTCTTTGCGGCTATTAATGGCCAGGAGAAGTTTTGTGATATTAATTCCTCTCTTCTCTTGTTTCTGTTTGCACCTTATTTTGCTCGTTCTCTTCCTTTTCTTTGGGAACACATTACAATTTGCTGATACGACTCCTGCGAAAGTGATATAATGTTGCCCGAAAAGATTCCGGCTGTCAAAATTTAATGCGATTCTACCAAAGTTACAGATTGGGTATATAAATTCACAATCACTCTGTCCCAGTCCGTGCTAGTGCCGATAACTCCACTCGCCAACCTTGACCTGGACGCCTCGCTATGAACCTAAAACCCCAGAGCAGTTAGGGGGCCTCTAAACTCCTGTACAATGAAATGGCATTATGAGAAAGGTGGTGTGCTCATGATGTGTGCCATGCGCAAAATCAGATAAAAAAGGGAACAGAAATCCCGGGTAAAGTAAGTCTGGTAATGTGAATCCGGAACGCCGAAGGATAAGAAAAGGCAAGTCAAGCAGACTAGGGCTGCAGCTGCAGCGCTAGGGCATTCTCCCTAGCATGCATTTGCAGAAGAGCAGCCTGGCAATCATCTTAGCGGATGGTCTTGTCAAAGTACTCGCAGCCAAGCCCCTTGAATACGGTGAGCAGCTGCTCCGTGGCAACGCGGATGGCGTTGTGGCGCAGGCCGCTGGCCTTGTCGAGCTCCTTGAACCGGATCGAGGGCCCGACGAGGGCGGTGGCGCGGACGGCCAGCTTAGCGTCGACGTACATGTCGGTCGGGTAGATGGTCGAGTAGATGGGCACCTTGTTGTCCTTGAGCCGGGCTACGTCCCACAGATCCTCGGTCTGGCCGGCGAGTGCCAGCCGCTCGGCGAACTTGCGGCCGCCGAGGGCGCGGAGGCCAGCGTAGTCATCGGCGTGCTCGGGCATGAAGGCCTCGCCCAGGAAGTAGAAGCTGCCCCTCTTGGCGAGCGCGTCGAGCTCGGCGGCCGACTGGGCTGAGACCCAGGCGTACCGGTCGCTGTACTTGCCGTCGTCGCGCACCTCCTCGGCGCTCCACATGGACTGGCCGCCCTTGTCGGCGACATAGCACTGCATCTCGTGCTCGACGCCGTAGATGAGACGCTTGTTGAAGGTGTGCGTGTCGATGGCGTCGAAGACAGTCTTCCCGTCCAGCGCGACGCTAGCCGCGCTCTCCTTGCCACGGGCGTCGTGGAGCGCCTTGTCGATCTTGAGCAGCTTGGCGTACAAGTGGCTTGCTCCGTCCGGCTCGCCCAGGCTGCGGCCCATGCTGGCGAATGTGGTCAGGCTCAGCCTGTTTTTGTCCTTGTTCTCGCCGGGACGATTGAGGATCGCCTTGGCGATGCGCAGGACCAGCGTGCGAGGGTCCTCCGTGCTGCCGAAGCGGATCGACGCGTCGTTGTAGAACGTCTCGTTGTCCTTGGCGACCGAGTCGAACAGCCGGTTGTACACCTCGATAGGACTCGCCCCGATGGGCGGCATGCCGCCCGTGAGCAGGCAGCCGCGCACGCTCTCGGGGTAGCGTTGCGCGTAGAGCATGGCGACCCAGCCACCGTACGATTGTCCAAGCAGGACGAGTTTAGTGGCGTCAGTGTTATGCTTGCTAGTCGGCCAGCTCGCGGCGAGGTACAAGCGGATCGCCTCTAGATCGCGCACGATGTTGCCCTGGCGCGTGTCCTGGAAGGCGCGCACCACCTCGCTGCTACCGTCCTTGCTGCTAGCCTGCAGATCCTTGATCCTCTCTAGGTCGAGCTTCTCGCTGCCGCCCGTGCCCCGGTAGTCGAGGAGGAGCAGCTGAAAGCCGTTTCGGACGACATGGTCTGTCAGAACCTGGTGGCGGCCCTCATCCTGAGCAGAGCCTGGCCCGCCACAGAGGTATGCAAAAGTGGGCAGGGGGTCAAAGTCGGAAAGGCGTGCCTCGCGCCCCTTGGCGCTGCCCTTCTTCGCCCGGATGATTTGCGCATGAAGGGTGGTCTTTGAGCCCTTGTCGCTGCTGAGCGGCTTGCTGTAGTCTCGAGGAACCTTGAAGAAAAACTCGTGCTTCTGCAAGGATGGGCGTTCCGGCACGTCTGCCACCGGCTTCTCCTCCTCAACCTTCGCAGCCTCCATCTTGAAGTTCCGCGGAAGGTAGGGATCGCTGTTCTTGCTGTTCTTGCTCATGCCCACGATGTCTGCGTAGCCTTTCGCTGGTAGTGATTTCGACGTTGCGATAGTGGTTTTTCTTCTTCTCGCTCGCCTCTCTCCGTTTTGGCTGTGCCGTGTGACTCCCATCTTCACTTTCTGAGGCCTCTGCCTCGCCTGCCCTGGATATTTGTAGTCGGGTCGCCGGCGAGCAGAGCATGCCGTGAACAAAGGTGAGGAGAGTTGCCATGTTGCCGTCAATGGGTCAACAGGCCCCTTGCAGAGGATTGCCATGGTGACAGCAAAGAGAGAGAGGGAGAGAGGGAGACGTGTGATGGAGACACTGAGGAATGGGCAGTGATAAAGACGACGGGGAGCACCAGTTGTCCTTAGGTATGCTATGGCATCGAGGGGCCTGCTGTTATGGGAGGAAACAAAGCACCCGTGGCCAGTGACAAAGAGGAGGTTGACGACATCCACGGCGTCGACGGGAAGGCGAGACGGAAGGATGCCAGTGGCCGGCGGCACAAAGGAGGGAGGCGATACGGCCCTCCTTTATGGCGCCAGCCCTCCTTTGTGCGCGCGTGTGGCCACGACTCACGACTCGGGACATGGTCAGTCTCGGTGAGCTACAGCGGCAGAGCGGAGAGTCAGCTTCAGTCTTTTTTTTTTTTTTTCCTCCTTTTTTTTTTTGGACGAGATGGATCCTCGGCAGCATGGGAGCATAGGGTACAGATGCAGAGCCGGGCCTGCAAGGGCCAGCGGGTACTGAGCGGTTGGTGGCCCCAACGGGTGTCGAGGGCGGGCGCAAAAGAGGTGTGTGGGGGGACACTGACAAAAGGGGGTGGTAGCATGGCATGTCGTTACCGCCTCGCGGGAGGTCCGTTGATTAGCTCGTGTCAGGGCGCCGCCGAAAGGGCGGAGGGCGGCTGAGCAGGAGTTGACGGTAGCATTGTATCGGGGTGCACGACATGGGATCATTAATGCCGGGCGTAGACTAGGCTTGCTGATCGGGCTTGCTGCTGTCGTGCGAGTGTGCGTTGCGTGTGGATGTGGAAGTGGGTTTTTTTTTGTCTGGGGGTGTTTATTGATCCTTGGTTTTTTTGATTTGTCCTGGTCCCTGGCTAGGAAAAAAAATCTAAGTTGAGGGAGCGAAAGAAATTAGCCCGTCTAGGCCCTCGATCTGGGCAGCGTCGAATCAAAGCAGGCCGTGCCAGCCAAAAGCGACTCGAAGCACCAAACAGCTCCCCCACTCCCCAGCGACCGGTGTACTCCCGCCCTAGGATTTTTCCCACAACCGTTGACCATAGGTCTTGGGTCTGGGGCAACTTGTCGCCAACACACAGTGCGTACCAGAAACAACCTCCGGTCCCTGTCAGCCAGATGCAACAGCAGGGCAAAGCTCGGCGGCCACACGGTCGCAAGGACGCGGCAAGGCTCTGCTGCCTGCCACTGCTCGCCGCCAGAGACGGCAGCGGGGGAGGTGACGATCCTCGACCTACTTACTGTACCTGGGCGGTCCAGCCTGCATGTTGGCCGCCTGGTTCCCCAGACGCTATCGCCGCAGCAGGCCGCCTGGCTAGCCTCGTTGACTCGCATCCGTCTATTCCTTAGATCTAAATTAGTGGGTTCCCGTTAGTGGATTTCCACAGTCTTGTCACAAACCGCTAGCTCCACCAGCGCCACCAGCACAACCAGCACCACCTACCGGCATGAACGCTTGACCCCCAACCTACCTGCAGTCCGTCCTTTGCCTGCTCCAAAGGCCAGAACGTGCCGTGTCTTGGCCCAGAGCAGGCCGGTTGTTATCAGCACGCTGTCCGGATGAAGGAAGCGAGGTGGGCGCCCACGCTCCCAAGACGGTCTCCCCCCAGGCCGTCCTCCTCTCCCCCGCGCATCATCCATGGATGGATCGTCAACGGCGCTACCATCTACGAGGGAAAGAAAGAGGAAAAACCCACCCAGTAACAGGGGGTAACAGGGGGGTTGAAACTGGAGATCGCAGGGGTCGTGGTAACTTGGGGAGATGTCACGGGACTTCAAGAATTTCTCGTCCCTTGAAAGCTTTTCTCGATTTCTCCACTTCTTTCACCAACTTCAATAATGGCAGTAACTTTATGCCAGCACGTGACCCCCCTTTCGCCGCCCCTGTGATCTCCAGTTTAACCCCCCTGTTGGGAGGTGGGTTTTTCCTCTTTCTTTCCCTCCTTGCGAGGCCCTGGCCCGACTCCAACCCCAGCACCATGTAAAAAATAACAAGATGAAAACGCCACAAGCCCACGCCAGCCCGCCCTCCAGGACTGACTGCCCCAGCCGAAACGCTCTCATGTGTGGTCCTCCCCTGGCTGGCTGGCGACCTTTGCCGCCTGGGACTCTGACTTGTTTCCGTCCCGGCGTGCGGCGGTTGACTTGGCCCACGGTCCTCGGTGGGGTGTTTGTTCGCTTACGGCATCACCCGAGGGGACCCAACTGGTGAGCCGCAGCCGATCGGCCAAACGCCCAAATGTCTTTCTTATCCCGCTCATCCCATCTCGTGGCCTGGGCTGATTGGGTGCCCGTCCATACTCCCCTTCAATTTCATCGTCCCCCTTGGCTCGACCCAACGCATAGATGAAATTTTGACGTCTTGACAGGAGGTGACCCACCATCTTTTTCTCCTTCCTATTTCCTTGCATGGGCGCAGATCTAAACACGCGGACAGACATGCCCTTCGTGATTCCTCAAAGCGCGTCTCAAGCCCCACTTGTCAGCGAAGGCCGACGCGCTGTCATCGACACTATCCCTCGCTTAGGCGACTAATAGGGAGTTTTCTTGCTTTTTTTCTTTCCCTTCTCCCTTTTTTCCTTTTTTTCCCCGCCTTTTTCCCCGCTTTTTCCCCCACTCCTGCTCCCTAATTTCTTGGCTAGCCAGACATGTCCAAGGACACGCCACAGGCCACCCAGCTTCAGGAAAGATGCTCCCTGGGTTTTGCAGGTGGGTGCACAAGACTTACACATTCTCACTGTTTATCTGTGTGGGGGAGCCCGTTGAGCGGGCCTAGGCTTAAAAGTACCCAACTAGGGAGAGGTAGGTAGGTAGCTAGGTGTCAGGTCTCGCTAGCATACCAGCATCAGTTATAAACTATCTTGCAATTGGCAGAGGATCGTCGCGTGCCGGGACACGCGGGAAGCCCATCAGAATGATCAGGTGCCCCCGTCCGCATGCATGATGCAGGTGTGTTGGCGTAACGAAACGGATGGATTGTCCATGGCGTCGAGGCGTCGAGGCATCGAGGCGGGCGAGTGGAATTTCCCTGCTACGTGGAGTCGGACAGGATTTTGAAGCCAAGGCCTACGTTCCCAGGCATGAAGTCGATGAGCGCCACGGTGGCCAGTCACTGGGCCGACAAAAAAAAAGGAAGAGAGCCCGTCCAATGCTGTCGCCGATACCGCCCGTATGGCACTTCCACCCATCAGCGAAACAGAACCACACCCTCCCACGAGTGGGAGGGCCGGACGATGCCGGTTTTGCGGGAACAAGGCGGCAGTGACGGCAGAGGGGCAAAGAAAAGGCCACCTCCAAAGGCTTGGCCTCTCACACAAAAAGCACGAGAGGTCGAGTTCTGGGGATCAGTGACTGCCGACTAGACGTAGCCCAGCCAATGGTGTTGTCGGCCTGGTACATACATGTAGGTACCTACCTCGGCAGTCAGCCACCAAGGCTACTGGGCCGCTAAAAAAAAAACGGCAGCCATGCTAGCTCCGGTGACGGGGCGCGCTAGCATGGGGTACGCTAGTATGATGCTCGCCTGGTCGAATCGGGCAGGTGGCTCTGCGTTGGCGCCGGCGCTGACCTCGGTCTCCAGCCAGCTTCGGCCGTTGCAATTTTTGCCGTCAACACTGAAAAAAAAGGGCACCCGACATAGCCGCCGCCGCCGCCAACAGCTCCAGAGCAAGCCCTGGGGCATGGAAAAGAGAAGAACCTGGCAGCCGCACGTCGCCAACCCAGGCGGCCTGGCACGGCGGGACCTCAGCCGCAGCATGGGCCAAACCACGGCACGGCGGGCTAGCCGCCTCCCCGCCGGCCCACGGGGTTTTGTCGAGATGGGCAGGTCGAGCCGGTGCTGGTCCTTTCGCCCCCAAAGCCGTAGAGAATGCACCACGGATGGGGCACCCATGCCCCCGCTTCCAGGCTTCCAAAAGGTGTGCGGAGAAAATACGCCCGCTTATTGCGTACTAGGTCGCGTTTATTTGGCCGGGAATAAGCTCGCGCGTCACTGCTGGCAGCGCAGGAGGAGGCTGGCTCCTCGAGGTCCAGCGAGCGTTTGGGAGCAGACGCGATTACCGACAGACCGGTAGCGGATGACGTTGCAGTTCGAGAACAAGTGACATGAAGACTGTGCATGATCCCGTGCGTTTATATTGCCCCGATTTTTCCTTGCTTGTCGACCATCCAGACGCAATGCTCCAGTCTGCTAAACCCAATTAGAAGCAGTCGACGGCAGCCAATGACGGGATACCAAGGCCCATCTTGACCGGGCTGGATACGCCGATAAGGCCGTGCACAAGAACGAGGGTGAGAATGAAGGGGTAAAAAGCCAACCCAATCATTTGTGACTCGGGCAGTTAGGAAAAGGAAGGGGACAAACCTCATTAACCGTACTTTGTGTTCACTTCGCACATGCCACGATAGGGGGCTTATACCGAAGGCGCCGCAAGTCTCACCACGAGTCCCTTTGATGGGAGACCGGTGTGAATGAGGGAGGGTGGTACCGGGTGTCGCTACCGTCCTTTGGAAGCGACCATGCTTAGGACAGTTCGGCCGTGTATTACCCACACTGTTGCGCCGGCGAGGCGCGGGAATGAAATGGCAGAGCAGGACGAGACCAGAAAAGACCAGCAGTACATCGCGTTGCCTAGATGCCCAGCCAAGAGATGCCTGCCCTTCCTCTGCCCGGTCCGCCAATGGCCGCGTTTATTCGCCAATTAGTGAACAGGAAGCAAGTCAAAGGATTAGGTACATGCCTGACTTTCCAGCCGAGCAGCAGACAAGCACAGCAGCAGCTCGGGCGGTCTGTCTCTCCCCACCGCCTAGTCAGCATGCGTGGCTCCTCCAAATAAAGCTGTGTACCCAGCTTTTCTTTTTCTCGGGATCCCGCCGCAACCAAAGCCTCTCGTCGTCGCAAGCCACAGCTACGACCGTGCACAGCAGCAGCGTCATCGCTGTCGCACCAAGCCAAGCGAGGCAGCGGGGTCAGGTGGGGAGACATGTGACACACAAGCTTGCGTCTCTCTCTCCCGCTCCAGCTCCTCCCCCTCGGTGCGGCCACGGGCGAGGACAGCAGACCGCCCGGTGAGGTCTTTACATGTGAGGGCGCCCACGAGCCACCCGTGGTCGGTCCGGCCTGCGGCGGTTAAATTACCCCCACGGTCGCACACGAGTACCCTGCAGCCTACGCCTGCCCGGCGCGACGCCCTCTCCTTCCAACGACGAGACACCACCAGTGGCTTTGCCCGCGGAGGGTGACGTGTTTACTTGCGCTGGGACAAACAGGTGCTTGTGGGGTACTCTCAGGTGTCAGAAATAACAATCTACTATAGAGAATAAATCTAGCAGGCCACGGTATCTAGGCCCAGGTTTGGTTCATACCTACCCCTCACATTTAAAGCTTCTGCGCATCTCCCTTCAGCGTCCATCAGGCAACCGAATCCCTCAGGCTCCCACCGTATACCCATCCCCCTAACCAGCATGAGGCCTGTGTCACCCCCAAACACAGCCCTGTTCGTCCTTTCCGAATGGCTTTTAGAGACCGGTGGGGGCTTTCCTGTTTTGCTTGCTTGCATCGTCGAAGCTGTTTCGCAACGCACACAAACATGGTTGCTGTATTGGCGTCATGGATGAATACCGATATGTATGTAATGGCAGGCAGAGCGCCAGATAAGGCATCGTGTTTCAAATACTGCAGAGCGTAGTTGCCGAGGAGCGGCATTGGTTCGACAGCAGTAGTCACATGCCGGCTTCGGCTCCCGTGCCCGATCTGTCATACCTGCCTGCATCCCGGGCTGTCCTGTGTCGTTCGTGACCTGCGGAAACACCTGCTACGCAAGCAGAAAAGTAACATTTTGCCCCCATTCAGGGCACTGGGAGAAACAGAGTGCTGCGGTCATCCGCGGAGGAGGTAACTACCGATAGTCTTTTTCTACAAAGTTGAATAAATTGTAGTTTTTGTGAACAGCTGTTTAAATTGGAAGTATTTACTGCAAACTAAATTCCCTCTTTTGATTTTTTATTTCAAAGAAAACCCGTAGACCTCTTTTAAAAATCGGTTAAAAACGGTCATCGGTAACGGTTCCATATTCCAAAAATGTAAAAAAAAAATCGATTTAAGATGGAAAACGCCATTAACCATCCCAAGCAGCTTTTTCACTAAGCATAACGAGGTAACTTTTGTAATTTGCCTTGGCTAAATTTGCATAAGCGTAAGCAAATAGCAGAACTTCGCCTTGAGCAAGTGTATTTATTTTCACTTTAGTAAGCCTTCCATTGTGGGTTTCGTGAGGTACTATGGTAATGAAAAACAAGGCCTTCGACAGTCACACAGCATCTATGGGGGTACGTCCCGTCGGTGTGTGACGCACAGCGATGTGACGGTGAGTGCCAATAGCCATGGGAGGAAGGAGCAGACGGGGGACCCACTAGCTCGAGGATTGTGGGACTCAGCAGTCTAGGCGCAGAGCCTGCCCTGCCCGTCTTGTTGAGGCTACCATCGTGACCGAGTTCTCTGGTCTTTGAGGGACAGAATGCCCATGCGTCTATTCTTATGACGCCCCTGCATCATCCCTACCCCGCGTTTTGTTGGACCTCCTTTTCCCCTCCCTTTGTCACTCTCCTGTCACCCTAGAGACTGTCTCAACGCCGACAAACATTGACAAAGCCTGCACAACATCCTCTCCCTACCTAATCTCAGAACTTCTGCCCCACCTCGCACGCCAGAGTCACAGCCAGCACCTGTTTACGACAACAGCAAGATTAGCCCACTCGCCGCCATACCTAGGAGCCGAACGCCCTGCTCGTGTCCTCGAGAGCTCCTTGCTAGCACCTTGAAGCCTGCTCTTCGGGCCCCGCGGCCCGGCCACTTGTACGCATCCTTTTCTAATCCTCGTCGCCCTTGTTTAGCACGCTACCACCTTGTTCACATCGCCGCCGCACAGGTACACAGGCAAGGCGCCACTCATACAGCATGGATATCCGTCGTCCCTCTTCCCTTTGGCAGCCCCAATAGGTCGGTGCATCCTACACACTCCAGCAGTCCTCTTCCGTCACCACCCGGTCCACCAAAGAGGCTCAAGCCTGCGATCCTTCTTTGGAGGCCCCATAGCTGACTCTGCCGTTGCGGTATCTGTTATTTCAGCACCCGCGATATTACTTGGGAAACCGCCAGCACATGTCTAGTCCAAGTATCCCAAGAGTATCAATATTTGAAGACCTGCGCGTCTGGTACGTCATGCATGCTTGTATTGCACATACGGCGAGCGAGGCTGACAAGAAAAGGGATGAAGACCTCGATAGAAATGGGACGTCATCCACGTGGGCTGCCATCCCGTTGACGCCACAGCCTCCTTCCATGCTGGGCTCTCCCGGTTTTACACAGCGTCGAGGGCCAAAAGCCATGGCACGAGAACTGCAGCCCGGGTTGTCAAGTTGAAGCACATTACAAGACGAACCGGAGATACGTTGCAAAGGCCGAACCCTCAGGCTACTGGGACGAAAAACAAGGGAACAAAGATCGGAGAGCTCGAGTCACTGCTTAGGCCAGCGTTTGTTGGGCTTGCCCGAGCGCGAGATGCATCGGCTCTTCATCTGGTGATCCCCGATGCTCATTCTTTGACCATAAGAAGCAAACTCAACCCAGATGACAGGAGCACTGGCGTCCGTGGTGGAGTCAGACCGGACCGGCCGGCCGGCTTGCCTTGCACCTCAGCCACTCAGCTTGGTCCAACCTTGCGCGGACAAGCTCCTATGCGGCAGTATTAACGCGGGCGCTCCTGGTTCGACAAGACATACCTTCAGCGGAGCTTGCACTCCCAAATCCTCAAAAGCTGATCACCCGCCCACCGCGTTTGGGGAGAGTCGCCCACTCACCGGATCCAGCCGCGCACATCTGGACCCCAACTTGCGTCCTTCGCACCCATCTTGGTTCCCAAGCTTCGATCGGTACCGTAGATCGCTGTATCTTCGGCAGCGGGCGGATCTCATCCATTCGTCTGGCTCGCCTACCGCTCCTAGTCTGGGTAGACAGTGCCCGCCTTCCCCTTGGGACGAAGGGGGGCGTGCAGCTGAGCTCCCAAGGTCACCTCCCCCCCGTAGAGATGGGGATCAAGATCGACAAAAGCATGCCGCTGCATGAAGGGGAAGGCCGCCCAACGGCCTGTGGACGTTTATCTTGGATCCACTGTGGCCCCTTTCGGAGCGCGAGGGACGCGTCGGGGCAGACATTCAAGCACAAACAACCCTAAGGAACTGCTACCACTGCGAGAAAACGGACGTCGGGGTGCCCAACGAGACCCAGGAGATAAGGGCGATGACAACCTCCTAGCCACCCCCCTCCCAGACCAACCTGCAGGTCTGACCTTCAGACTTTTTCTCTCTTTCGCCAAGCATCAGCACCATCTGCAGTAGCACGTCAGTCACTGTCATGCCGCCCATTTCTTTCTTCTAGCCCTGTTTCCACACACACACACGCCCCGCCTTGTCGCCATCACCCCTCTCTATCCCTCAGCAGGTGTGGGGAGGAAGGACTACGGATCGTCGGGGGTGTTTTGCAAACGACAGGCAGCGGTGCCTGTTCGTCCACTGGGCCGCGCTGCGTCGGCCATGGCAGGCTCTTCTAGCGGCTGTCGGCCGTCCACGTCGCCTCCCCCCGCCGGCGGGTCTTGCGGCGGTGCCAGGCACGGGCGCAGCCGGCGAGTTACGTTTGCGCCTTTTCTTCTCCCCTCGCTCTTCTACCCCCATCTCTCCTGAGTCGTCCGACGCGCTCTCGCGCGCGCATATGCGGTGCGTTCCCCGCCTGACGACATGTCGTCGTTGAGGAATGGGAAATCCCAAGACACAAAAAAGCCGCGGGGATGGGGAGGGGGCAAGCGGCATCACGACGCTGCCCAACCCTAGTACCTACCTACCCACCTACCAACCACCTCTGTCCGTCCTGCGGCTCCCACTCGCTTGGCCGAGGCTCCCTTCTCCACTAATCCGGCCCCTTGTGAAAAGCACGTGGAGCCCGAGTCCATCAGCTAGAGGGACAGACGCGCAGGTGCGCATATCCCCCTCCTACCCTCCGTCGCGCGTCGACAGGGTAGCAACAAAAGCTGGCCGGACCGCCGGTCGGGCGTCAAGAGGCCCCAGGGCATCCGTCAGCTCGCTCGACGACTTTTTTTCCCCTAGATCTGCAGGTCGATGCCCACCCCAGAACCCCAGCCAGCCAGCCCCTTGTATTAGCAAAGGCCTGTTGTCTTCCTCAGTGCCGACTTCACGCAGCTTGGGAGCAGCAGTGCCACGCAGGTCGCTGTCGGTAGGCAGCTAGCGACACTCGAGCGGCCATACGAGGCGGCACACGTCAATATGCATGTCTGTCGGATCCGCCCGATGTCCCCTCAGCGGGCGACCCAGTGGCCAGGCCTTTTTTTTTTTTAACGCATGCAACATGCGTCCGCCCCGCTTGAAACATATTGAGCAACCGCACCGACGACCGCTCCGCTGCAGAGGGGAAAGAAACATTATTCAGAATAATCATGCTTTCTGGCATTCTGTTATTTATATTTTTATTTTTGTTTCTTCTTTTTGTCCACCCCTTGTATCTCCCCCACTGCATGGAAACCCGAGACCCCATTCCCAAACGCACTGCTAGGTCGAAACGCCCTTTCCCAGCCCGTAACCACAAATCCTTATCCGTACCAGTCAGGTTCTGCCACGACAAACTGCCTGCGGAGATTTCCACCGCCCCCGTATCCTCATCGCCCGGAATGCTTTCACACCCTAGCGCCCATCCTAGGCTCCATCGAGGCCAAGCACAGTGCCTTCCAGCGACGGGAGTTTGTCCGTCGGTGGTCGGCTACCGGCGGTTCACCTCCGAGCCCAGCCACAGTGGTGACTACCAGGCCACGCCGTGCGGACGTCATGAGGAAGGAGAAAAAAAGAAACCAAAGAGAAACAAGAACCGTTTGAAGACAGCAACAACTCCGGTACACCTTTCCCTCGCTTTTATTTAGACCATGGCAACCTCTCGTGTGCTTGGCGTTCCAGGTCCACGACCAATCATGTGAGGAAACCAACCTGACAAACAGGTAGACAGTAGCAAAACATGCGCCAAACCCCAAAACGGTAAAAACCAACAAGCAAGAGGAAAATGTCGACTTCCCAGGAGTGGAGATGCGTAGCGAGAACAAGGACGAAATCGCAATCTGAAAATAGACAAACGGAAGCATCGTGAAAACAAAGCGACGCACAGGCACTGAAAGCCAACGCTCGGTGGATGATCGAAAGTCAGGAGGATCCAGGAAAAGAATAGTAAAAGGAGTGCGAAAAAGGTGAAGAAGCAAACAACAGCAGAGAATTATGCATTAAGAAGAGAACGTTGAAAACGCCGTTCCCAGCCTGCCAAATGTCTCGCAAACTGCATTCATGCAAAGATGGGGTGAGTGTTGATGAGGGGATCTATATCGACCCAGTAGGTTGCGCCGTGGGAGTATCGTATATGACAAACAAGACGCTGTCGTGTAGGTGGTCGAGGCAATATATCGAAAAAGAGAGTGAGGCGACATGTGTCGTGTGGATACCATGGGTGAACATGGATCTTCAAAACGTAAATTGTGGAGGCCAAAATGCTGATCATGTTGATGCAGTTGGGTCCAGAAAAAGAATACCCGGCGACCCAGTCGAGAAGGTGGCTGGGGTGGCCGGTGTATACTGGTGGTTGTTGAAAAGTCGAATGTAGGGAGAGTTGGTTGCGCGAGTGTCGAAAAGGCCATTACCGAATAGCCACAGCAATTCGTCCGGCAACCATGGCTTTTTGACTCCGCGGAAGTCACCGAAGCTCAAAACCGCTTAACCCCTAATTGCCGTGGCCGTATGAGTCTCCGCAAAAGGGAAGCGACCGTAATTGTGCTGATGATACTGAAGCTCATTCGGCGGCGACGACGTACCGGTCATGGGTTGGAAGGATCCCACCATGCCCGTTTCCGGCGAGGTCGAACAGCCAGGGTTCGCGGGGGCGGATGACGACGGGGCCTGGGGCTGGGTGGGCTGCTGCGAGGGCAACGACATTGGAGGCAGAGCCGGCGGGAAACCGGAGGTGGCGACGTTGTGGAAATAAGGGTTGATGCTCCGGAGAGAGTGGTGCTGTGCTCCGTGTCCCTGGATCCGGCTGGGGCCAGCCATGTGCAGGGGTGTGCCAACCAGGCTGGAGTCGTTGGAGCTCAGCGTCCTGATCTCGTCGTCGGCGCCGTCGAATCGGCCAGCTGATCTCATGGTCCCGTCGTTCATCTGGGGACTGGACTGCTTCGAGCCAAACTGCAAGGGAAAGATCAGAAGTCGTTAGCTGGACTGTTTTGACTTGACTTCTGGCGAACGAACGTGTCTGATTGGGTTGGAGTGGCGGCGGCCGTTGGCGACCATTCAAATCGTTCATCTTGGTGCACATACAAAGCAGTACTTGTTAACCAGCTCCTCGTACGAGGCAGTAGCAAGGCTCGATCCGGTTGGGGCGTGGGCCCCAGTGAAGGGAGCTGCCGGCTGGAGGGCGGGCGCGGGCTTCTTAGTCGGTTGGCTCTGTCGGGTGGGAAGGGCAGGGCTCCCGCCCGTGTTGACAGGAGGCGGGACCCGCTTCGGCGCCGCCAGAGGCATGCCCCGCGTGTTGCCCTTCATGTAGAGGTCATCACCCTTGGGGGATGATTGCTTGCCAGCCTGGATCGCCGTCGACAACGACACACCAAAGTCATAGCGGTTGGCAAAGGCTTGGCCGCTCGGAGTGGAGAGGCGGCTGGGCAGGTTGTCGCTCGGGATGCTAGTCGTCGACTTGACCCCCTTGAGCCGGATCGCCGTCGACTCCTCCTCGCCGAGGTAGTCCTCGATGGACTGCCCGAACTTGACCTTGCCATTCTGGCCAAACTCGGCCATTCCAAGGGGCGCCGCCTTGGGCTTGGAGCTATCCTGGGCGTGACCGCCACGGCGGTTGCTCTTGGGGAGCCCGCCCGTGACAGGACGGGACGACGCACCCTGGAACCCGCGCTTGCCGTTCTGCGGCAGCATCTTCTTGTGGAAATCGACCTGGAAGTTGGTGCCTCCGTTGCTGTCCCACAGCTCTTGGCCGTTGACATTGTAGCGTATGCAGAAGTACAGCGTCTTGGACTCGAGATTGGCCATCTCGGACAGTTTGACGGTGAAGTTGAACCTGTCGTGGCTTACTTGCGAGTTGAATGTCCGGATCTCAGACGAGTACTCAGCCACGACCTCTGATGTGGTCTTCCAGTAGTCGAATGTGAACCTGCAGGTAACGTGCTTGTGGAACGCCAGGTTGGCCACATCGACCGAGCCGACCAGAGACTTCTGATCAGCCGTCAGCCAGACGCGCTCTAGCCTCACGGGCATCGCCTTGCGGTCAGGTGTCTCCAGAGGGAAGTTGGTGACGATGATCTCCCACTCGAATGGGGGCGAGCGGGATTGGGGCCGGCTGTTGTCTGAGGCCGGGAATGGGAACTCGTTATCACTCCCGTAGTTATCGTTAGGCGACGACCCGGCACTAACAGCGAGCGGCCTGTCGACCTGAAGGAAGTGGCGGACGTGCTCGAGGTGAGAGTCGAAGTGAACGGCCTTGGAAAAGGTAGGCGTTCCGGGCATGCTAGATGGCCGCCTCCGCGAAGGTGGACGCAGGGCAGGCCTCACCAGCTCGCCAGACTTCTTCCTGACCATCTGCGGCTTCCTCCGCATGAACTCCTCGTCAGAGTCGGCGTCCGATGTCGAGATAGAGTTCTCGTCCATCTTGGGGATCACGATGTCCGACTCTGTTGCCGACCTCTGGTGCGACTTGCGGCGGCCGGCACCGGCGAGGGCATCCAAGGTGCTAGTGCTAAAGCTCGTGTGCAAGACCTCACCAGCCTGGGGCGAATCGATAACCACCTTCACGGGTGCTGCTGCTGCGTCGCCCTTTGTTGGGGAGCTCTCGCGGTTCTGGGGGATCTGGCTGATGGCATCGTGCAGCTCCTTGAGGTTCTCTAGTTTCCTTCCTCGGACCCGGGGCAGGTCGTCGTCGTCGCTACTAGCCGATGACTCTGGAGGGGAGAGGATGGCGCCATTTGGGATACCGAGGCCGTCCGTGACAGGTGGGGGCGACTTTCGCAGACTGGCACTGATCACCGTGTTCTTCACATCCTCTGGTGTCCCCTCCGGAGTGGGCTGGTACTTGGGGGCGACATTCTGCAGCGTGGTGGGAGCGGACGGGGTCCTGCGGTGACGGGTGAGATAGGACGCCGACCGAGGCAGCGAAGGGCGCGAGCCTCCGGTGGCCAGCGAGGGACGACGGCTCACTTCTGGTGACGGGGTGGTCGACGAGGCGGGGGAGCGGTGGGATGGGGGTGTGTAAGGCATTCCCGCGTCTGATCGGCCGCGTAGCGATTGTGAGGGGGATACAAGGGCTGCGGGGGAAGGTCGGGTGTGTGCTGGGATCGGGACAGAGATTATGTCCTTCGCAACGGGACCATCAAAAGGATATGCCGTCGGAGGTTTTGCTTCTGTGGTCTTGGGAGGACCTGGGAAGAAGAAGTCGGCGAGCGTTAGCAAGCGGTTGATTACTGAGAGCAACATAGGTGGTGGCCATTGCAGTGTGCAGAGGATCGAGTATTTAGGGGCCGCGGGTGTATTGTGTGATTGGAGCGGGAGAAAGCGCAAAAAAGAAGAAAGACGAGGAAAAGCTCCAAGCCACGACAGCAAATAGAATTCTGGGCTTGCGTTTGTTGTGGGCGAACAAATAAAAGTAAAGAAAAAAACTAAGGTTGCATGAGAGCCCGATGAGGGGAGGGTATGCGGAGGGGAGTGTTGGGCTTGTGGTTATATCGGACCATGACGGCAGGAATCAAGCAGCCCGGCGCCAGGCAACCACAGGCAGCCCAGTGTCTTGCCTCGCAGCTGCCACATGACGAATGTGGAGAAGACGACGGAATGTTGATTGGGGCACTTACTGTGGCGACGAGATAAGAAGGAAGTTGGGCCTATCGAGGATTGCTCTGGCAATGTTCCAGCAACAGAGGCAATCCGCGAGACAGCCGGCGGCCCCGGATTTGTCGGCGGGGAGGTGCGGGCGGGACTGGAGGAGGGAAAGGGCAGCAGCGCAGCCGGCAGGACCGGCGATCCAACAGCAGCCACTGTTTCGAGTGGTCGATGCTTGCTCGAGGTCCAGTCGAGATCGAGAGGTCGGGAACGTGTGGTTGCTGGTTGCTGGTTGCTGCTGCGTCTGCAAGGCAGGTAGGTTCAGCAAAAAACGGGGTCGGGCGCTGCTGCTGCTCCTTGTTGAGCGGTCGAGCGTCCTGTGTCTCGGGGCTCCGCAGGTCAGGTCCTTCTCTTTGTCCGTGGACGGCGGGCGGTCGAGACGCAAGAGAGTCCTGCTAACGAGCTCTGCTTGTCAGCCGCGATGGTGAAGCGAAAAGGGAGGAACCTTTCGCTTTGCAACGGGGCACTGCTGCGTCTGGATGGAGGTGGTGGCCGGGCAGCAGGTTGGTGGACTGGAGGAGAGAGGAATGGAAGGTGTGGGTTTGGGAGCAGGGGACGGATACAGTTTTGAAGGATTGAAGCCGCTACGGAATGGTTGAGCCACCGTGGGGGGAGGGGGTGTGGTTAGTGTGTCTCTGGTCGCGACACTGTGTTGCTCGGTGGGGCACGTACCTTGTCGATCCTTTTTTTTTTCGTCGATTTTTTCCCACCCATTTCTGCTTGGAGCGACGGATCTCAGATGCGAGCCACAACCTTGCCAGGACCGACCGGGATTGGCACCAAACGAAACAGGCAAGGTCTCCCGCGAAGACGCCAGGAGTCGGCGACAGAGAGTCGAGACGAGAGGGGCTAGCTAGATAGGCAGCATCGGCCGAGGTTGCAGAAAACGACAGTAATAATTATTATCATGAGAAATCTGTTGCAGGGCCGGAGGTGAGCCAGGGCGCCAGGAGGGAGGCACAGCAAATTACACTGCAACCATCACCACGAAAACTCTCTTGCTGTCGCCTTCCGGTTTCGCTCAAGACTGTGCGCACCTCTGTGGCATGCTGTATCGCACAGGCTACCTACCGGCCGTGTGTTGCTCCAGCAGGACGTGATACAGCCGTGTGTTGTGTGTGCATGGGAAGCGCTTCTTGTCAACTGAAGTGCGATGCTTGCGAGGCTCACAAGGCCAGTGAGGCAGACCAGCAGCCATCATTGTCATTGTGCCCGTGGGTGTCAGGTGAGGGTAGGCCAACATCCAGTCAGTCGACTGCTTCTATAAACTGAATTTTATTTTTATCATTTTACCCTGCAAAGGCCGTGTCCGTCTCTTCCACCTGCAGTATCCCAAAGGCGCCGCCGTGGGGGTGCAGAAACCCCAGCCTTCCTAGACATGCTTGGGCTAAGAAACATTGGTCGCACGGGCTCGACAAGGGGAAGTGAAGCTATCCAGGGTGAGCTCCCCGGTTGGCCTGGCCTCTGAAACCGCTTGGGCGAGGAACCATGACGTCGATCGACAAGCCCAGTCGTCCCTACAAAGCGCTTTCCTAAGTAGAGCGTGGCTTTGAAGCAACCGCGAAGGTGCCCGTTCCGAAACGTGAGCCATTAATGGCCTCATTCTGGCAATTCAAAAACCAGCCACCTGCAACCTCCAGGTGCAATTTTTCCCAGCCGTCCGAGAGCCATCAGTCGATTTGGAGAAGCATTCTCTGGTCCCCTACCGTTTCTCCCCTTGTTCAGCTAGAGAGACGCCACAGCCAAGATGCTGCTAACTGCTGCAGCAGAGTTTTTTTCTTCTTGAATTTGGGGGCCGGCGGCCTCGGCGAGCGAGACCAGACTCGAGGTAGCGTGCGCGGTCCTAAGCATGGGTAGCTTTGGGCGGCCAGGCCCCCTGCAAGCCCGGAAATGATGGGAGTCTGGCGCGCGAGGGCATGCCTTGCAGGTACCTGGAGCTGGGCTGCAAGCAGCCACATGGGGCCCTGATAGGGCCTGAAAAGGGCCATGACGTACGCGCTCTAAGGCTACGCTACAGCGGGACGCGCGCGCAAGCCATGGCAGCGAAACGCCATTGATGTCGAGATTCCATTGTGGTGATGATCAAATGCAAAAGGTCGTGAGCCCAGACCAATACCATCCATGGCAGTTGTCAGCTATTATCGGCCAAACATGCCCGCCCCTCACAGCCAGCCCTCTTCGTTTCGCTATTGCCTTGTTCTATCACTGAACATAGTCCACAACCGTGCCCGCACCGCGCTTGGCAGATTGGCCTCTGCCCTGTAGCTTGTTTCTACCACATAGCGTTTGGCCCTGCCCCGCAGATTCCCATATACCCCGGGGTAGGGACTTTGGAGGTCGAACGGAGGTTGAGGTTGATTGCCTTTCATGGATATTGTTTTTAGAGACGTACTGTGTAGGGCAGGTGGGAGATAGCTCCCGTCGCTGACGCAGTCTCGGCTCGGCGCGGCGAATCTCAACGAGATAAGCGCGCCACGCCCCCATATCCAACGTCAATCTCTAGAACTCGTCCCACCACGGACGGGCTGACTCTCGCATGGGGCAGCACTTGGACGGGCAGAGGCAGGCGTTTGACATGTCTCCTCTCTGTGCATGCAGTTTGCGCTTGCCTTCTTTCCTCGGGCTCCGCTACGTTCCCGTCTCCGGAAAACGCACAAGTCCGTCATCCGGCCGGCAGCATCGCAGCGGACAAGGCAGGTAGGCGGCAGCAACCAAGTAGCTGCACTGTGTTCTGTTATCACCATACCTATCTCTCCCCTTGATACGTTAGAATTGCCTCTTCGAGACGCCCCCAGAGCGACTAAGACAGAGGGCCCACACCTGATCGACGTGCCCTTGTGGGCTAGGATCACCTTGACAAAGAACCTCAGGCGAGGCGGTCTTGGCTCTTGAAGGCAGGCTGGCTGGGTGGGGGACGCTGGGACCGCCCTGTGGCAGGCGCGCGCAGCCTTCCGCTTGTCGCTTGCTTGTTGGTCTTCCCATCCATTGTGGGTTCGCATTCCGCGATAAGTCTAGCGCCAGAGAGGACTGTGGATGTCCTGCGCGTGTGCGACAGGCCTGGCCCGGCTACTCGTGTCTGCAGATCTGATGGCCGGGGTTCACCGACTGGCCCTCGGACCCAAGCATCTTGCATGCAGACCTTCCCATTACTCATCAGTTTTGTTGGGGCCCTGTGTTGTCTACAACCCGTCCGCTCTTGTTTTCCTCTTCTGCGCCCTGCAGGCAAGATTGGGCGGTTGCAGCGACGGTGGCGGACTCCCCAGCAGAAATGCCGCCATGCCCGGCCCTGGGAAACCACACACACCATCCCATCTTACCCCATCCTATCCCATCCTGACTTTTTGCACCTGGGGCGGACGGGTGGGATGCAAATACTGCGGTGGGGTGCTGCTGCGCCGGGCCTGTTTACGTTAGCTTTAGCTCTGCAAAGTGCTTGTCCTCGGCACTTCTCCTCGGCGCACCAGGCCATGGCGGCTGCAGATTATCGCTCGACAGGTCCCAAATGACAGCGCAAAGTTAATGCCCTGGCGTCCTTCTCCTGTCGTTATCTCAGCTCGGCCTATCTGCGCATGGCCTTATTCCCGGCGGCGCTTCCATGGACTCACTGAGCCTGCCGCCGCTAGCAAAGGGGGGCCCTGGCTGGTGGTGGCTCCTCTCTTCCCTTGTGTTGTCTTTGCCTTCCCCGCCACAGCTACCACACCACCATCCGGCCATGCCGCTGAGCTTCTCTATTTTTTTTTTTGTCTTTCTTCAGTGGTCGACAGCTCTCCAAGGGGCCGCCAGGGTTCCGCAAAAAATGCACTCACACTCGGCCCAATTCTCTCTTGCGGCGCAAAGTTCCCACTTGCGCCACGACTTTGGCGTGCATACGCCGCCTTGGTATCAGGCCAGTCAAGACTCAGCAAAACGATAATCAAGCCCCGGGCGGCAACACACCAGTGGTGGCCGTGCTTTTGCAAGGTCCAGATTTGCGGGTTTCCTCTTTCGGGCGAACTCCTTGGTATGTTTACCGTGTGATATGTGCGTACCCGAGAAAGAAAAAAAAATGATAAATGGCTCCCCACTTGTTCGAGACAAGAAACGGCCAGGCAGGCGGCGTCCAATCACGTCGCAGGGCCCTTCTTGTGGCGGGATGCGGGTGCAGGCGCTAGTCCTGGGTCCTCTCTAGTGATATTCGCACACCATTGCAAGCACTGCACAGACGTCTCTCGACCACCACTCGATCCATCGTCGTCGTCCCTGCACTGTCTGAAGTAGCAGGACGCGCAAAGCTGGGCTGGAGCAACCCCCAGCTGGCAGAAGACGTACGTTGGCGTGAGGTAATTCTGGCCCCACGAAGCCGCATCATGGCTCCATCGAGTTGACTCCTCGCATGAAGATCACCAACTGTCGGGCGCGGGGATTCACAAGGAATGGTTTTTTTTGTTCCTTTGCTAGTGTGTGGTTTTTTTTTTGTTGCCACCACACTGATGCGTACACCCCGCCGTCAGTCTCCCTGGGCGGTCAGAGGCGTGTGGTGGGCCGAGACCACCGGCGCAGTGGCTTATAATCGGTCGGGCAGTTTCTGCATCGTTCGTTATCTCAGAGCCTCTAAGGGGCAACGCTGGATTGGTAATCCTTGATTGGTCCGTCTAAATTTTCCTCGAGGCGCCTCACGCAGTCAAGCCCACCCAGTCGGAGATGCAGAGAAGAAGGGGGGAAATAACAGGCGAGGGGAGGAGAAAAAAAAAACTTGAAAAGCTAACAGATCCCTGCAAGCCACCACCGATCGTTTGTGATGAGCTTGTAACTTGCCAACCCTCGCCGTCAAACGGCCGACAAATACTTTTTAGCATGAAGGGCGTTACGGTTTCGTAAAACAAACCAGATAACAGACTGACGGGGGGGCCTTCCGGACCAGGGCCTGTCGGTCGGCAAGTCAGGGTCCCTTGCTCGTATCACCACTTTTTCTTTTTGTCCTGCCGCCCGGGGTTCCATAGTAATGTCTGCGCCCGCCTGGAACACATTTCTGATAAGCGGCTCCGAGAGCGGTCCTGGGCGTTGGACAGTAAGGCGATTGATTCATCTCCAACCTAGGCCGGCACGGCGCAGCAGGCCTTCCTGCCAGCGTTTCAATGCTTCGAGCGGCACGCAAGCCTGTGCAGGGTGGTGCGCAATCCTTGCCTTGCGCGTGTCCATAGGCAGGCACTGAAAAAAAAGCTGTCACCGAGAACTAGGGGGTTTGGTAGGAAGCTGCTGCTGCTGCGACATCACATCACTTCGCTCACCGTAGCTCCGAGCAGGAACAGCTCAACTGCCTGCACCCCAGTCCATGTCGACCTTTTCTCTCCATACCTTTTTATTTTTTATTTTTATTTTTTTATCCTCTCATCGTCGGGTTCCGACCACCGCCCGGGATCTGGCGCGTTCGCTCCGATGCATGTACCACCATGACTCGCGCCGGGTGTGTGTTGTGTGAGTGGGCGATAAAAAAAGGAAAAGAAAAAAAAGTCCTCGGAGGTGCTGTCTCTTTGTCGGATCGACGCGCAAACACAGGGGGCCCCGCCGTTTTTAGGGGAGCACCCGGCGGAGGACCCGCGAGTCCCCAGGGGGAGTCAGGTTTGTGGGCCAAGCTCGATATCCACCGCCCGCGAGTGCTCCCATCTCGCAGCCTACCGCCGACCCCCGCCGCCCTGAGCTTATTTCAATATCGGATAACCCGGGCATGTTGTACTACGTGCGTGGTGTGTCTTGGCTGTGGTTCTCATGGGATACCTAGGGCAAGCGACATCGCTGTGTCAGTTTTTTTTTCGTTTTTTTGTTTTTTTTTCGTGGATTAGGATATCAGGGCTGTTGCTTGTCCTGATCCATCTACACCCGGCAGGCCTCCTCCCTGTCCAGATCCTCAATGTTGGGGCGGGCGAGACAGGCGGCAGCGGCATGGTGAGTGGTGCTGAGGGCCACAGGTATATTCCCTCTCCAAGTCCCGCCACTGGACAGGCGTGCCACCCTCCCTGATGGCCTGGCACCGGGTGCTCCCACAGACTCCGTCTCACCAACGACTATTTTCTTCTCTCTAGCCGATTGAAGTGAGACTCTAGCGGGCCATTCCATCCAATCCCAACCCGCCTCTGACCGAGAGGTATTCTGAGGATAGAGCACGCCGCGGTTCACACCCGCCAGAGTTGAGATGATTGGTACCAGATGCACGGAGTATATTGAGTTCAATTTGTAGTGTTTGCTCGAATGTGCAACCATCAGACTCGGCCGGCTTATCGTTTCGCTGGCTACTCCTAAATTCTTATTCTGGTTAAAACCGACAGACCGCCTGCCTTTCCTTCCTGGAGCTACTAGCAGACGGCGGTTCTGCTACCCTCCTCGGCTTTTACGAGAAAGCGCCTAGGATGCGTCTGCACTGCGACGCGACGCTGGCTGTCCCGCGCGCCCCGAACTGCAGTCCACAAGGGATGGGCGCGTTCTCGAACAGGCTATGATTCCCGAATACCCAAGCTCTCCCGCCCGACAACGGCATTGCACGTTCGTGGGGGCTGTTTAAAAATCTGGCGTGCTTGCCGCATAGTTGTTTCTACTAACATCACCTGATATCGGCTCACTGCTAGCTTGTCACGTCGAGCAGCGACTAAGAGGATGATCCAGTGAAATGACATGGAAAAGGTGGCAGATACAGATCCCATCCTTCCTGAACTGGTGTTGCCTCAGGCTGACTGCATGCCGGGGCGTTCCTACCGGTGAGTGGCTTGCGTGCTTGCATGGGAAGTGTGCGAAATGTCGTTTCCTCTCTGCCCTGCCCCCGCCCGAGGTGGGGGCCCACCGGTGTGGAGGAATTGGCCAATCATGCCGTCCCGACGTGACACCAGCCTCAGCCATTCGCTCCAAGGCTGGGTCCCTGCGCGCGACGGATATCAGACAAGCGTCAAAATGACGGTGCATTTTCCGACCCATCCATCTCGTTCGCCTACCCAACTTCCGAGACGCACCACGGGCAAGTCGACGGCTGGGCAGAGAAGAGGGGGAAGGCGGTCAGGGAAAATGAGTATACCGCACCCTTTGGCGCTTTCTCCGTTTTGCTTATTTCCCCTCCTTCTGCAGGCCGCGATGTGGTGGAACGCTATCGTGCAGCAACGGCAATCACCTGGACGGATATAGCGGCACCTCGTGGAGAGGAGACTGGGAGAGAGGGGAAGGCCAGCCGCCCTGCGTGGCTTGCGCGAGCGCGTGTACCTTGATAGTCAGGTAGGTAATGCGAGTGTGTAGGATGCGTGCGTGCGTGCGTGGCTGCGTGTCATCAATGCCCTTGTGTGTGCGAGCAAAACGCCGGCCGAGGGCAGCACCGCACCACTAAGCACGGCTCCCCGCGGCCCGTAAGATGGCCCCAGCCGTGACATGGCATACAACTTCCATGTCTCTACTACTCATGGCTCTGCAGCCGTAAGCAAGCGTCCTTGCGCTCGCGCACGCGCTCTGGGTCTGCAGCGGGTGCACACCAACGCACGCTATCACGCTAGGTTCCCAGCATGGCGGGCGCTGGCCCCAAGATGCGGCGGCATGGCTCCCTGAGAGGGCACAGGGAGGCATGCATGCGGATGTGAGGGACGATGCCTCGCCGAGGAAGCCGGTGAGGGAATCATGCCGGCGGCTACATCCTTGCCATGGTAGCTGCCTTCCGGTAATATCACAAGGCCTGTACTTTCCGGGAACGATCTCGATGGCAGCAGAGGATAATACCAGCGGCACCGTCGGCTTTCCGTCTTGGTAAATCCGCACCAACAAAAAAAGAAGCGTCAAGGCACAGAACCCTGTTTGCTTGGATGATCAGGGTCGAGGGGACTTCCCGTGAACGCAGGGCCTCGACCGATGATCAACGCCAACTACGACTAGATCATTGGAATAGAGGCAGAAGGGCGTGGCTGGTTTCCCCATCCAAGTTGGAGATAACGAGCCAGCGATGGTGGGGCTCCCAATTTGCAACACCACCATCTGAACAACCTCCGTGCCTCCCTATCTATCCGGCAAGGGCGCACTGTTGGGTGTGGCTTGGTGTGTGAGTGTGGGTGTTTGGTGGTGTGGGTGGGTGGGTGGGTGGGTTGGAGCGGCTGGTGCCAAGGCCAATGAAAAAAAAAGGAAAAGCAATAAAAAGCGTTGCATGGCATGGCACTCATGGGTAGCACGGGC